TATATAGTTGTTTTTTTTTTCCCCAAAGGCGGCTGCTACAGATTCAGAGCCCTAATGTTAGAATACATGAAAACTAATGGAGGAGCCAAAAAAAACTAACTGATTGCCAACTTCTTTCTAGGTTCTTCTGGAGAGAAATCGTTTGATGTTGTTCTGATTGTCGTCGTCGGATTTGTCTTCACGATATCCAGTGTTGTTTTCTGCACAAACGGTGGGGTTAACCGTGGACTTTTTCTCTTTTATTGCTAAAGATTATTTCCTCACTTGCTTTTTGGTTTGCAATCCTTTAATTGAGGAAACAACAGAGCAATTTACCGATTGTGGATTGCAAAGATAAATTTTTTTTTTTTTCTAATAGTGGTTGAAACGGTATTGGATTTCTCATATAGATTTTTGAGCGGTAAAATAATCAACCTTAGCCTGACACGTCAACAAAGTTTATCTCACTGGTTTCTGCAATCTATCTATCTATCTATACATCCCATTATAACAAAAATCACTTTTAACCCAATATTCCAATCTATTTATCTACCTATCTATCTACCCATTATAACAAAAACTACTTTTAACCCAAAATTCCAAGTGTCAAATTGTCCTTAAATTCAGCCCAAAAAACAAATGTCAACTTGTCATTCAGAAAAATGATTGGGTACATCCGTTGTATTCTGATTTTTAGTGCAGCAAGTACTAGCACCCCCTATTTTGGTGGTATAACTTCCGTAAAAATTATCTCTCTCCCCTCCAAAGTTACTACTTTACCCCTACTATTATGTCTGGTTACACAATCCTACATAGTACAGTAGCTGCACTGAATAATTTATGTCCTTCAAAGTTTTCCACCCAAAATCTTAACCCATGTGGTTTTGATCATCCTCAAAGATCGAGTCACCATAAATTTTCAATTGACAAAAATAGTCCCCTAAGATGTTTTTGTTATCAATTTTAGTCAATTTAACATAATTTTTAAAGACCTAACGGTCAAACTTTTGTTTCGGTTAAGTATTTAATTTTTTATTAATTTCCTTATGAATAGTGGGGTCCACTACTTTTGCCCAACAATTTTTTATTTTTTTATTTTACATTTCTTTTTAATAAGATTTAATGTTATTAATCAAATTTAAAGGGCTAATCTCAAATACACCCCGAACTTTGTTTGATTATCTAAACTACAATTTTATAACAAAGATAATATTGTATCTCATTTTCCTTTTCTCTCGGTTCTTCTCCACCCAACTCCTTCGCCTCTGTTTTCTTCGCCTCTTTTGCCCATTCGTTCATTCACTGTAAGGGTTTGAATTGGGGGTGGTGGAGGAAGTTAATTTTTAGGGAAGAAAGAAAGAGGGGGTGGCGGCGGTGGCGACGGAAGAGGTGGGGGAGGTGGTGGTGACGGCGGGGTGGTGAGCCGCTAGTGTTGATTTTTTTTTATTTTTAATTTTTGATTAATAATTTTGAATAACAAAAGGTGGTCTAAAAATTGAAGAATTTTTTTATTGCAAGATAAAAGATGAAATATGGGGAAAAAGAAAATGAAAAATAATAACAATAAAACAAAGAAAGAAATTTAACTTGAAAAAAATAAAAGAAAAGGGAATTAAGAAGAAAAAATGATAAATTTGAAGTTTTAGTAAAAGAAAAAAATAAATGAAAATCTGTAGAGAAAGTAATAGAAACAAAAAAAATTTAAAAAAATGGGAATAAAAAAGAAATTTCTTTAAAAGAAAAATTTTTTTTGATATTTTTATTGTTGAGAAAAAACTTTAATAAAAAGAAATGAAAAAAGAAAAAGAAAAAAGAAATTTTTTTTGTTTGGGTCAAACTAATGGACTCCACTATTTAGGAAATTAATAAAAAATTAAAAATTTAACGGTCAACAAGTTTGACTCGTTAAGTTTGAAAAATTTCTGTTAAATTGACCAAAATTGATGAGAAAAACATTTTAGGGGGACTTTTTTGCCAATTAAAAATTCATAGTTACTCGATCATGCTACGCTCAAAAGCTGAGGGACAAAAAATGCATCCGGTCCTTCAACAAATTCAGGGGAACTCAAAAATTTCTTCTCTCATGTCAGATGCTCAATTTGAAGCCGACTGTCTGCTAAATTTGATTGAGGCAGTTGCAGCAAGAACTATTTATTAGGTTTGAAAATCCTAAAATACTTACACTAAACTCGAAACCAGGAATGACACAATGAGTATGTTCTTCATTTTTCAGTTAATTAATACATTCACTCTATTCTTTCAGTTGGCCACAAGGCCCTCGGTGTTATTTCCGACGACACTCAAAGTCACTGCAACAACTGAGAAAGAATTGTTTAATTAACGAGTTACATCAACAACTTTGAGGAATCCCTCTGTCAAGCAGGAGTAACTGATGGCTGCCTAGTTCGTACGAAACATCATACGGTGATGATGTGTGGTAATGTTTTTAGGAGCACTTTCTTGATTTTGGTGCTGAAATCCATCAGTGCCTTATTAACAATTTCATTTTTGAGAAGAAAATGCTAATGTTTTCTCAGGAATATATGGATACGAGGTAAGATGCTTCGCATGGGTTTATGTTTCTAACATACTTGTGAAGTAGTAATGTGTTGTCATATAACTCAATTCATAAAAGCCAAAGTTTCTTTGTTGGATTCTCCTAATAATAATAATAATAATAATAATAATAAGGCTCCGTTTGGTTGGATTGAATTGAACCCAAGAATTGGAATTGGAAGCTTTCAATTCCAATTTTTGTGTTTGGCTGACAAAAATAAAAATACCGGAATTGGAATTATAATTCAAGATGAGCCTCAATTCTTTATTTTCAATTCTTTTGTTGGAGCAAATAATTGCAATTCGAACTCTAGGGACTTTGAAAACACACGAGTCACATGCGGATCGTTTTTCGGGTATGAAGAAACGGGTCCTTTTTATATTTAAGTAGATGTTTTTTTTCCCCTTTTTCCTTCAGCGCTGCACATGCACTGCTTTTTTTTTTTTTTCCTTTCTTTTTTTTGTTAAAAAAACGTTTTTCCCCCTTTTCTTTGAGACTTTGAGCGCTGGCCTTTTCTTTTTTTTTTTTTTCTTTTTTTGCTTTTTGTTAAAATAACATTTGTTTTTATTCATTCGCAAACTAAGTATACATCAGTTTAATAATTATTAATGAAATCTATACATTAAAATTAGTATTGTAATTTTTTTTGACAAAAACTATCAAATGTATTATCATACTCGTAATTTATTAAAAAATTTAAAGTATTAATTATGGGTTCACAATTTTTTTTATCATATGTATAAATAATTTTTGAACTATACTTGAATTTTTTTTCACTAAACATTATGTAAGCTTTCAAGAAGATGAAATATATATTATTCCATATATAATTATATACTAAAAATAAAAATAATTAATTAGTACCATGTATTAATGTTAATCTATACATAAATGAATGGTCTTTACTTTCAACTATATAAAAACTTTCCACTAAAATTCAAAAAAAAAACTAAAGATTAAAAATTTATAAAATAAAAAAAAAATAGAGGAACAAGGATGTTCTACATGTTACTTGTGAGAATTCCATTCATCAAATTAATATTCCTTACGTAATAATAAAAAAAAAGTTTTCCATAAGTATGTACGTATATAGTAAATTATAAAATTGATATATATATATATATATATATATTACTCATACAACAAAAGTTCTAATATAAATGTACATAATAAATTTATTTATTTTTTATCTTATACATGTAAGTAATAAATTTCTTTGATATATAAAATTAAGTATTTCTTTTACTCAATGAAATAAAGTACTAAATTATAGTTAGATATTAAAAAACTAATTCCAATTCTAGATTTTATAAATTTATAAGGATTCAAATACAAGAATTGATATTAGAACTTTAATTCTAGCAATTCTTAAGATCTTTCAAACAAAGAAATTAAGATTGAATTACAATCTTAATATCTCATTTTTAATTTAATAATATTGTAATGACAATTTAATTACAATTCAATCTAACCAAACGGAGCCTAAAGGGAAATGTTTGGATTGCACATTGATAGGCAAAAGTTGGATTCAGAAAAATTGTAAAAGGATATATGCTAGCTGCAAGCAATTCATATTTTATCTCTTAGGTTTTTCTCTTATTGAATCATTTCCCTTTCAAAGTAATTATCTGTTCATAATTATATATATTGCTTGTGATACATATAAGCTTTTTCGTGGTGCTTTATGTCAAAAGATACTAAATTCTTTTATTCTTATTCTTATTATTATTATTATTATTATTATTATTATTATTATTATTATTATTATCATTATTATTATTCAAACGTCCTAAAATGTTTTCTCTTAGTTTAATGTTTTCTTTCGTTGCCTTTTATGATCGGCATGAGAACTAAGTTTGTGACGTCCTTCTTAATATCTAATGTAGTGGTCTATAATATTGTATAATAAAAATAATAATTGTATAATAAAACAATTTATATTGATACAATAAAATACTCATTTAATTTTTATTGGTTCTACTTAAATTGATTAAGATAGAAAAAAAATTATTCAATAATTATATAATTCGCACGGGTCCAAAACCTAGTCATTATACCAATTTGTTCCAGGTTGATTTATTATAATATGATAGTCAGTTGAATAATTATTTTTAGAGTTTCATACCTTAAAACTACTTCAAAATTTTTAAATATCCCTTTCTTTATTTTAAAATTTTTGTGGTACTGCTATCCTTCTTTCGGTGTGTTTTGCTCGAATTTTTGTGAGATTTTACAAGGTTTCGACCGTTGTATGAACTTTTTTAATTTAACGTACTTCCAGAATATATCGTGTGCTCTCTGGAAGTTTTTTTTTTTTTTTGAAGAACTCTACAAGATTTTACATCAACACATCTGATCATCTTTGCTATTATTTCCTAACATTTTCAGTTTAAGATCAAGCCTAAAAATGAAGTTATCTTTAACTGTGCCAATATGTGGTTTTCTTCCAGTTCATTATTTAGGGGGAAGAGAGAGACAATCGTCCACTATCTAAGAATAGGCTGCTGAGGAAAAAGAATTATTATTATTAAAAACATTGATGCCCATCGTCCACTATCTAATCAACAATTGACTAATTTATAACATATGAGTAGTATATATTCTTAAAATTTTTGATAAAACAAAAAATTGAAGACATGATCACCAGTCTCTCTTTACGGGTGCATGATACAATCATCAATCATCAAAATCTTCAAAGTTGAGCCAACCGCTGAATATCAATCGGGTATGCGTCTGTTGATTTTTCAGCACGGTAAGATCTTCTTCCAACGATGATATTTGCTGCTTCACTCGGATGGAAAGCATCCCAAAATAGATACTCATCTCTATTTTGGCAAGGGTTTTGGAATGGCAGGCATGTTATCTGCCCATTATTCCTTCCTACCCCGCAACACCCTGCATTTGTGACCCTAAATCCTGCAAGCACCAAAGATCCCATGATTTTTAAGCAATCAGGTTTTCATTTTGGGACGAAAAGAACAAATTATATAGACATGTGAACAAAAGGGAAATATGTGAAGGTTTTATCGAGATGATTACCGAAAGCTGAAGGGTTGTTGATTAGATCCTGGAAAATGCCATAAGCATCAATGTAAATAAACTTCGCATCGGAATTCAAGTTGTTGAATTGATCAACTAAGCCCTTGAGTTTGCGGTTGAATATCTGATTAGCGGAATTGATCCGGGTCACACAGGTTTTGCCATCGGCGCTATTTTGGGCCAATGCATTTGGACTGCACCCAATTTGGCCCACACCAATCAATACGAACTTTCTCGCCCCAAAATCATACAGCGTCTGACAACAAATAATTACACATTAGTTTAACCAAATAGACTATTAAAATGATACAGATACTATAACGAGTAAGTATATAATTAGTACTCTTCCGTCTCATAATTATTGTCCAGTTTGAATTTTTATTTCTAATTCAAATTGTATTAACAGTAAAATCTCAAACTGTACAAAAATTTTAGGACAGAGAAAGTAGTACGTACACTAAGTTGTCGGGAATAATCGTCAATGAGAGCTTGAGCATATTGTTCTGGTGTAAACTGACTACTGCTGGAGTAGTAAAGAGGCATGAAGTAGTTGTTGAGGTAGTCATTGCTCCCAACACCAACTGAAAATATACACTTGCTTAGGTAATTGGCAGCAGAATCTTCATCTCCTAGTATCCTTACAATTTGTGACACTGTGTTCTTGTAATTATTTACTTGGTTTGCAAAACTGATCCTTCCACCCTATATATCACCCAAATTGCATATCATTCATTAGCACAGAGTAGAACATCCGAAATTTAGGATGAACGAAAAAAAAAAGTACGAAGAACAAGTCACAAGTACCAATTGGGATATTAGTCCGAAACCTTAAAAAGACTAGACAATCATTTCTTGACGGAGGTGATACTTACTAATTGTTGGCCAGTTTCATCTCTAATTCCGGCGGCTGCGGATGCGAAATTGATTCCCCCGAGTATGGCTTCGCCTCTGGCTTCTGCATAAGGTGGGATTGGATCATCGAAGCCCAACAGCTCAGCTGGTAACAATCAATAGTCAAGACATGAGAATCACGAGACATTAAGGGGGAAATGAATGAAATTAATAAAAACGAATAAAGAATAGACGATACTAATTAAATTTAAAACGGATAGCTAGGACCAACAGAATTAAATGTTACATTTAAAATTACTTTTTGTCAAACTTGGAAATTGTTGTAGTTTTACTTGTGTCTGTTACCATAATACAGAAAATTTCCAACTGTTGAGTTCACAATAATGAGATTCATGCACAATTGCCAAATTGTCGTGATTAAAATTAAAAAAGGCTACAGTTTTACATGCAAGTGAAATATAAAACCGAGCTGAGATCTACGAAACAAATAAAGGCGCGGAGGAGCCAAGGAGTTAAAGGAGCTTATCAGAGTTTGTACGAGCACCAATATTATGAAATAAATTGTGAATGAAACACGATATAATTGAGATTTTCTATTAACAAAAATCTACTTTTGTAATGTCATCTTGATTGAGATGGCTTTAATTTTATCAGTGAAGACGTCAAATTAACAACTTTGTTACAATGCTTTGTTTGATTAAATTGAAAATCTTCCAAGTAACGGAGGGAAAAAAACCATGAAGATGAAAGTGGAAAGAGGGGGTACTTACCAACAACATCAACAGTGGTTTTGCCATTAGAAAACCTGCCACTTGGTCCGCCGGGGTAATCAATTCCGTAAGGCAAGTAATTAGCTTTTGCAAGGGAATTGATGTTGTTATTGTTGCCATTGTCGACCAGAGAATCGCCAAAAATGAAGTAACACGGAACTTGGGGATCTCCCACCACCACATTCTCGAGACTCAACATCACCATCGCCACCGCCACAACCCACAACATGAATCTCTGAAGTTTTGTCCTCATTAAACCCATTTTGACTTCAAATCTTCAAGGAGAATGTTTGAGGTATATATAGTACAGGCCTAAGAATTTTGCTGAAATTGTCAAAAGAAGATGAAATGAATAGAAGACTTGAGTTGTGTTATTATGGTGGTGGAAGAGTGATGATTAAGGATATGTTTGCATGAGAAGAAACTTTGTGAGTGGCTGATGAAATTTAGGAGCAAGAAAGGTGCTCCATTTATAGAAAGAATTTTAAGTAAAACGACATTGGAGATCGACAACATGCAAGCCAGCATGAGAGGCAATAATGCAGAAATTACTTAATTCTTTTTTTGTTTTGGGGGGATAGGTAGTCGGTAAGGTGCGCATTAAATTCACGCGGATGGGGGTGTTTTGTTTATCACTTCACTACATCGAAAGTGTTAGTTTTGCTTTCCATCTTTGATCTTTACTTTGGAATGCCATTGATGATTTGAACAATAATGTAGTACTGGCATGTTACAATAGCATCACTTAAAATGCCTATACATCTAGTTTTTATCACGAAATCAATTACCCATGTTTTAGAGTATAGACATTCCATATAGGAAAATGATAGAGTCGGACCGTCGGTAAAAATATATATACACATATTATAAATACTATCGTGTTTAATGATTTCGTATTGTCATCATTTCACGACCCTTTTCTATTTCAGTGTTTCCATCATCATTAGTCCTACGTGTATGTGAGTTTGCATACAAGAAGCGGGTGTTGAGGCAGGAGATGCAGAAATGAAGTAAATGTAAGTAGTTGTGGATAAGGGTCTCTACCCTTCCTTTGAAGTTGACTCATTCAACCGTTTTTCTTCAGCCTTTGGGATTCAATTGCAAATGCATGGTACTACTAGAGAGAAGTCGGAATCACATGCATAGAAGTAAATGCAATTGGCTCTCTCGCAATTTCGTTTCCTTTTAATGTTTGTTCTCGTCGACTTTTTATAATAATTGCTCCATATTTCTCCTATTCGTCTGTGTCGCTGTGATGCTGCCTAAACTTTTCTTTAATGGATTTTTTATGCTTTGCCTTCTTAGGTCCCCAACGTTAATTTTGTTGTTGGCAGTTACGCTTGTGGTATATGTAGAGACTTAAATGAATGAAATAACGCCACAAGAAAGCGCATCCCCGCACATGCAATGGAATGGTGTTGTTCTTAATGTTGTGGATGGATTTTTTGAGTAAATTGCGAACGGCTGCTTTTAGAAGTTCTCTTATTCTGAAAGTGAAACAGCAAGGGAAAGAGTGGATTATCATCATCTAAATGTCCAACCGTATGAAGTGAAGGCTCATGGTCTAAAATCTAAATGTCCTTCTGTATCAAGTCAAGTCATGATTGGAACACGAGATAATCAAAAATTTCCGATCCAAAAAAAAAAAAACGAAGTAATGTAACATATTTAACCGATGCCTCCTTTGAACCAAAACAAATAGCACAAGAAATACGATTAGTTATTGATTAATATCATTTCCGTTCTCATTTCTGCAATCAAACTGTATTTTCACTGGTCATTTGGTTTTTATTCTCTTTCCTTTCACCATCCTTTCTAGTCAGTATTGTCATGTGTAAACTGATACTCCGTTCCATAATGAGAATTGAGAATCTTGATGATCATAATAATTCCACAAATAAATATGGACAAATTTGTTCATTCAGGAATGAGCAAACAAAAGGAGCAAGAATGTACATGTAGGTCCATGAAGAAGGGGTAAGTACACAAAATTCTTATAGAGGGTTAACTTGTAGGCAAATTAACTTCCACTGGTCAACACAGTTACGGGATTTCGGGTTAAAGGGAATTAAACTTTGCAATTTCGTGAAGAAAACAAACTACATTTAATGGGTTGCAACAACTTACAATTAACAGTGAATCTAGAAAGCACCCTTCCCAGTAGACACCCAGAGACACAAAGATCGGGTTAAAAGATTCTTAATCTCTGCAAAGCTGATATGATATCCAGCTGATCATGTCAGAGTTCCAAACTCTCCTGCAGCACCTACTTAGTTAAGAACAGCAACTTAATAACTCAAATCAAGTTGAGCAAGCAGAAGGAAAGGCCTCGATTGGGCACCAACAATATACAGAATGATGTCAGAACCATGAATATCTGAATCAAGTTGAAGCCATAAGAAACCAGACACCAGGCACAACACAAACAAGAAACACAACAACAGTACAGCTTTTTTACACCTCACCCTCCAACACCAAATAATGATGACAATAATGGCACCAAAATCATCCATTATGATTATCATCTCTACTCTAATGAATTCAGAAGAGAGAATGAGAAACCAAAATCATCCATTATAATAATGGGACCAAAATCATTATTATCATCTCTACTCTAATGAATTCAGAACAGAGAATGAGAAACCTCAATTCAGCAAATACTGACAGCAGGGGAACATGAATCCTATGTAAGATGACATTCTTTCTCAAAATGTCAAAGGAAATTGAATTTAATCAGCAGAAAAGGCACAAACCTTCTAATTTTTGGAAAGATAACAGCCTTGCTCATTTTCTCCATTAGCCAGGAACTAAGGAACATGCTCAAAAGCCAAATTGAGGCTTTCGAGATGAAAAAAGAACTAACTCAATGCTGATGGAAGACAGGGATGCAGCAATATTGCATATGTTTCTATAGATTAAGAGATTATTCAATCTAATCGGGTGAGTCAAGCCCAAAACCCAAGCAACATCAGAAGAATCACAAACACCCAACCTAAACAGTGTGGAGATAAATTAAGGTTGTTCCATCAGCTTCCATATCAATAATCACGAAAAAAGACAAAATGCAATTCCTCTTCTATTTTAGTTCCTGAATGAGTATGAACTTACAAAATCATCAGAGCCATTACGATTTTCAGGCTACAACCTACCGATCCAATCATTGAACACCTGAGATGATCACAATTCAGCCCTTTCGGATGGAGAGGCAGTGTACTGTGAAGCCAAGTCCTTCAAAATCTGTGTCAAACCTTTCAAGTCATTGCCACCCAATTCAAGGCAATCCCGCAAGAACTCACCCTCCATTACCTCTTTCTGCATCGTCTCAACAAGTTCCCTCAATGGACCCTGCACCACAGCCAATCAAGAAACTACATAAGAATTTAATACTTCTGTAAGAATCAACAGTAAAAAATTAACGCATCAACAGATTAGAAAACACCATATACAACAAACGAAAATATATGCGCAGGTCCTATTCTATAAATACTGTTCGTCCTTCTTCAATTCCAAATGGCGCTAAAATATTTTCAAACTTCACAATGGAACAAACCGAATACACTTAAAAATATTCCCGAACAGGCGCAGTGTAATTCAAAAGCATTATTCGAAAAATTAAACTCCTGAAAAAAAAAAAAAAAAAGGTTAAGTATCACTGTCTCATACCGATTGACGACATGCTTTCAGGAGTTTGATAAACAAGGACCGAGAAACCTTCAGTACTCTACTGTAGTTCTGGCTAACCCAAGCGACTCGCTGCGAATCCGAATCGACCCGAGACAATTCATTGAGTGCGTTCAATAACTCGTTGAGGTCCGACACGGCAGAGGCGAGATTGCTAAACGACACCGTGTTAAGGTCACGCCAAGCGTAGTTCCGAAGATAGTCCCAGCCGAGCTTCCAGGTAAGCTTCAGAAATCCCAGTCCTTGCAAAGACACGATTTTCTCGGCTACCGCCCTGGCCCTGGCCGCTCCGGCGTATTCGCCCCGGGAGGCGCGGAGATTGGCAACCCGAGAGGTGAGGGAGTAGGATAAAGAGAGGAGACTGCGGTAGCGGGAGAGGGAGAAGTCGAAAGAATAAGAAGGCGTCGGGATGTAGAAAAGAATCAAGAGGACGAGGAAGACGGAGACTGGAGAACTCTCAGGGCATATGGGCATCGTTGGCTGCTACCGCCGCAGCCTCGACTGAGTACGACGGTGGTGGTGGCGGCGGCGGCGGCGAATTTCAGACGAAACGTAAATGGGGGAACAATAAGTTCTAAGGGTTAATATCAAAAATACCCCGAGGTTGATTTAATGATCTACAATACCCTTACTGTTTAATCAAATATCAAAAATACCCTTTAATTGGCAAGTCAACGAAAAGGATCCTCTGATGAATGGAAAATTGACGTATGCATATGTAGTCGGCAAAAAAAGTGCCAAAAAAGATGTTTGCACCCTAAAAAACGCTCCATATTTTTTTTTTTCAAACTCTATTAAAATCTAAATCTAAAATTCAAATTTTAAAAACTCCAAAAAGCGAAATTTCAAATTCATAAGTAGATATTTGATTTTATTAGAGTTTGAGGGAAAAAATATAATGAATGGTTTTTTGAGGGGTACAAATATATTTTTGACACTTTTGTTAGGCTGAATTCATATGTATATTTTTTGAAGATAAATCCCGAGGGCGTGGAGTCAACGGTCAAACCCGAACGCGGAACTGCAAGATAATGGTCAGCACTACAAAGATTAAGTGCTAGAGAAAAAAGCAGTCAATTAACACACTCTGAGAGTGAAACGAATTGTAAAATTGAGTTTGCAATAAATGATCATGGGATATTTATAATTCCCAATAAGACAATACTTGTGGGTTCCGTTGCTCGGGGTAAAACGTGTCAATGGTAGATGATAGTCATATAAAAGGGGCTTAACCACTTAAAGATAAGATGGGCCATTGGGCCCTACTACGGCCCAAGTTTTACTTTGCATTGAGCCAGTCAGGATTGACCTCCTACTATATTGGTTCAGTTTCCATTAGTTTGAGAACTTGTTTGATAATTGCCGCTTAAGGGATATTTTTGACATTTTCTTAACTAGTAATTATGGTTTAGATAATCAGATAAACATTGGAAGGCTCCGTTTGGTATATTGAATTGCAATTGAATTAGAATTACAATACTATTGAATTGAAAATGAGATATTAATATAATAATTCAATCTCAATTTCTTTGTTTGGGAGATCTTGAAAATTTACAAGAATTAAAGTTCTAATTCCAATTCTTGTGTTTGGATGCATAAAAATTTTGATACTTTAGAATTGATATTAGTTTGTTATTGTATAACTAATACTAGTACATTTTATACTTCTTGTCAAAAACTAAAAAAAAAAACTTATTTTTATTATAGATATGTATAACACATAAAATAAATAAATTCATTATATACATGTATATTTGACTACTTTGTGGTTGTTTAACTAATACAATTTTTACTTTTTTTGTTAAAACAAATTATTATTTTTAATTAATTTGCTATATCAATTTTTTAATTTATTATATACACACATTTTTGTTGGAAACAAAAGAAATATTATTATGTATAAGAATTATTAATATGATACTTAAAATTCTCACTTAATACACAAACAACTAACACGTAAAACATCCTTGTTTTCCTCTCTTTTATTATTTTTCAAAAATTTAATTTTTTATGTTTTGATTTATATCAAAAATTTTAAAAAATTTATTATATAACATTGTAAATTCAGTTTATGAATATTGAGGTTCATTTATACATAGATTAACATTAGTATATAATATATGCTTAAATATTTTTATTCTAGTATATAATTATATATGAAATAAAGCAATGATAGAGATAGTGACAAATTATTGTGAAAAATTATAGTGACTAATGAAAGACAAATACACCATCCTCACTAAATATGTATTTATTAATAAAGGGTAAAAATATAATTCTTTAGGGCAAGATAAAATTTTAACGGGAAAGTGGCAAAAAACTAGGGGCCAAGAATAAGCCACATCAATCACTATCTTTTTTCACTATTTTTTTCACTAAATATATCATTTTCCTATAAAATAATAGATACTTAAAACTCAACTTACATAATTTTTGGTAAAAAGATGCCATGAATAGTTTAATATATATATATATATATGTATTATAATATAGGTGTATACATGGAACAATTTCTATAAAAAAAATTAAAAATGTTATGTTGTTTACTATGTCATAATATAATAAAAATTTAACCCAAAACTAAAATATTTAGTTATTAATTTTTCTTTTGGGTACAACTATACTTTTGATTTTTTTGTAAAAAGATACAATGTTAATTTTAGATTGATTTCATTGATAATTATTAAAATGATATATATATATGACAATAATAATAATAATAATAATAATAATAATAATAATAATAATAATAATAATAATAATAATGAGACAAACAGCCCAAAAAAAAAAAACAAAGAAAGAAAAATGCGATTCAAGCAAAAAAAGAAAAAGAAAAAAGCTGAAAAACAATAAAATTAAAAATAATATATATATATATATATATATATATAAAGGCCAAAAGACAAAAATTGAGAGGGTGACCTGTTTAGGTTATAACCAGGAAACGACCCTGTTATGACCCGCGTATTTTTTTTTAAGTTCTTGAATTTAGATTCTAATTATTTGCTCCCACAAAAGAATTGAAAATAAAGAATTGAGCCCTATCTTGATTTATAATTCTAATTCTTGGAACTCTATTTTTACCGACCAAATACAAGAATTGGAATTAAAGAGCTCCAATTCCAATTCTTGGTCCCAATTCAATGCAACCAAACAGAGCCGAAGTGTTTTTCAGATTAATCCAAGTTTTAAGCATATTTTTCTTTTTTAGTTTAATATTTTTGGGATCAAAAGTGATGAAAACTGAAAAAAGGAAAAATAATTATGGACGAACCACATTTTCCCCGAGTTATAATCAGATTTACATTCTCCCCCCTTCATTTTATACTATTTAGTAATTTTCGGTGAGTAACAAAATGGAAGATTAAAAGGTCTTAATAACCACCCCCAAAAAAAAAAAAAAGAAAAAAAAAAACGAAATAAGAACTTTCAAAATGCTAGCTAGAAATGTATGAAATAGATTACGATATATTACAAAGCGTACTTTCATGATTATCCGACAAGCAAAAGTAGAGGTTTTGTCACGAACTGATTTCATTTTTTAAAATTAATTTTTACTTTTCTGTGTCCTCATTACCAAAGGTGGCTAAACTATTCAAATTTGAAGTTTGAATTATAACTATCCTATATTATTTAAAAAATGGAAAACTGTGGAAGTTATCATTCAAACAAGAGACAGCAAGTATTACAATAATAAATTAATAATCCGTCCATAGTAAAAGGATCAAATTGTTTGTTATACTAAAAATATTATATAAATTAGACGGTATTAGATAACTCGAAGGTAGTACGTGCTTAAAAAAAAAGAAAGAAAGAAAAAGAAAAGAAATGGGCAAGCTATCTCGAACACACACATAACTCATGCAAATATCTTCTTAAAAAAATAAAAAATAGAAAACTCATGCAAATATTTTAAAGTATAGTTGATTACTATCTCCATTTCAATTTGTAGGTCATTTTAGATTTAGAGAGATTTTTCAAAATGTAGGCTGTTTTACAAATTTTAGACAAATTAATGATTATTTTTTCAACTTTACCCTCAAAAAATGATGTTAATTTATTTTCATTTAGTTTTGTTTATAATTTCAATGTGAGGGGTAAAACGGATATTCAACATATAAATTAATTGTCCTTAGTTTACGTCACATTTTAAAATGGAGAGAAGATTATAATTGGGTTGAATTATTGAGGCAACTTTCTTTAATAATTGATGGGTACCTATTGCAAGTTGGATGACATTGATTAAATTATTATTAGTACATGCCTTTGACTCTATAAATATATCAACCTCCCATTACATAGCCTTAATTAAGCTCTTGAATCTTTATATTTTTTAAGCTCTTGAATCTCTATAATTTTGTTTTTCAACGAAGATCATGGCATCAAATCAAGGCTCGGCCGAAACCCCAAAGATTTTGTTGAATTCAGGGCACGAAATGCCGGCGCTGGGATTTGGTTGCGCCACCTTTAATCTTCCACCTTTCGATGATTTGATCTCAATACTGCTTCATGCAATCCAAATCGGCTACCGCCACTTTGACACCGCCCCAACCTACGGCACGACGGAGGCGGCCCTCGGAAAAGCAGTGGCTAAAGCTCTAGAGTCCGGTGTTATCAAGAGTAGGGATGAATTGTTCATCACTTCTAAGCTTGGGATTGCTGATGCACATCCCGACCTTGTCCTCCCCGCCATCAAAAAAACTCTCGAGTAAGTTTAATCCTTTTGTTCTAAAATGACTGTCGCGTACTCTCTCTGTCCCAAAAAAAATAGTCGATATTGAATTTTCAAATTTGTACTAAAATTAGTATAAATCTCAATAGTCTAGGGAGGTAGTAATATTTTTATGTAATATTAGTTTTTTTAATCAAATTGTAGGGTGAATTGAATAGAATACATTTAAATTTTTTTATTATTATGTTAACCAAAAAAGAAAAAAATTATTATTGGTAACTTTATTACGTCAGGACCATGGGGCTGGAGTATCTGGATTTGTATCTGGTCCACCTCCCAGTGAGGGTGAAACCGGGTGCTGATATGTTTAATCTAGCGGAAGGTGATGTTCTGCCCTTTGACATGCATGGTACCTGGAAAGTCATGGAAATTTGCTCCAATTTGGGTTTGACCAAATCCATTGGTTTGAGCAATTTCTCTTGTGAGAAAATCTCAACACTCCTTCAAAATTCCACCATCCCACCTGCAATTGACCAGGTAAACACCAATTTAATTATTTTGAGTGATTCCGCACCAAAAAACAAATACAAGTACACTTGTTGGATTTTAAATGATATAATTATTTTAGAACAGACATAGCGTAGCACTATACGCCATTCTCGTTTAGTCGTACACTCATATTCCATTGTTCTTCTTTTTCTTTTTGCTTGGTGTACATGTCTAGATTCGAACACATTACATGGCAATGTTTTAATAATTAGAATACATCCTTGATCCGAATTATATAAAAAAAAAGAAATAAAATAAATGAAGAATGAATTTTGTTACATCCAGGTAGAGATGAATGTTGGTTGGCAACAGCGAAAATTAGTACCATTTTGCAAGGAAAAAGGAATACATGTGTCTGCATGGTCTCCGCTTGGAGCTTATGGTAATTTTTGGGGCTCCAATGCTGTTATGGAGAATCAGATTATGAAAAATATCGCAATTTCTAAGAAGAAACCTGTTTCACAGGTAAAATTTCATTGAAAAAAAAAAAGTGTAATGGAATTTTTGAATCGGATACTTCATAATTAAACTAAATTAAAATTGTTGATGCAACAAATTAGATCGCACTGAGATGGATATATGAGCAAGGAGCAACTCCAATTGTAAAGAGTTTCAACAAGGAAAGGATGAAGGAAAATCTTCAAATATTTGATTGGCAACTCAGCCAGGAAGACAAAGATCAAATTCAACAGATCCCTCAGCAAAGAGTATTTACGGCAGATTGTTTTATCCAAGCAAATGGACCAATCAAATCTGTTCAGGAGTTCTGGGATGGAGATATATGATCTTCGATAATCCCTATCCCTATTGCATACCTCTTTCTTTCAGTTCATAATAGGAGTAATAAGAAGTGTATAACTGTAATAATGGTTTTAACGTCCAAAAATGTATTGCAAATTTTATAAGTCTAGTAGTATTGAATAAATAAGATGAATGAGGTAGTTAATGCGTCATGAAGTAATCACTTCATCAAATCTATTTAACACAACAAATTGGGCAATATTTTATGCATGGGACAAAGAGTTCTACTATTATTATTTTAGCAATTGACTTGTTCCAAAACTTGGGGTTTCGTCTGCCAAATGTGTAAAACCATTACTACCTTAAGAAAGAAATAAAAATATTTTTATCTATTCAGGCCAAAAAAAAAAGTATTTAATTTATTTATTATCAAGATGCATACAGTATACTGCTTGTTGTAATTAGTAATGTAATTTAAATTAAGCGTTTAAATTATAAGGAGCTTTTTTTGAAATGAATTGCTCGAAAGTGATTACAAATTTAGGACAGTCCCTAGTGACATCAACAAAACAGTCACGGACAATGATATCTTTGTAGCCTTCTTATGTAGTACATTATTAAACATTTTATCTTTGTACCCTTCTATTATAACATTTTGACCAGCAATCAAATGAAGCAAATACTAACATATTCATAAACCCAAGGGCAACACAATGCTATAAAGCAAAATAGATGCGACCTTTTTTTTTTTCTTTTGAAGGAAAGTGGATTTCATTAATGAATTACTGGAAAAACGTCCAGTACGATCTAATTACTTCATGCCGTATTCAGTTATTGATAATAATTTTTCAAGATATTTTTTGTAGTATCATATTAGTAACAATATAAATAACGAACGCGTACAAATAAGCTTATGAATGATAAAGTTATAAAATAAATACTAACAAAGTGAATTAATATAGTAAAACAGAAGAGTAAATTATACGATATAAATAATAGTCTAAAATAAAGCAGACTAACATCTTCCCCTTAATTTTTTTAAAAATAAGTACGACCGCAATGTGTAGCAATACTTAAACATAGTCATTTTATTTTTTTTTAAGTGATGATTACATATGTTTTTAAAAGGAAAACGATAACAAAACCAAAAAACGTGTATCAAAGCAAATTGAGGGTATCAAATAAGTACTAAGAAACAAACAAAAGTTAAAAAAAAAAAAGAAAAAGAAAAGAAAAATGATATCCAGAGAAGGAGTCTGCAGTCTGCATGGCTCAAAAGCGGTGCGCTATCGTAATCCCACTCCGCTTCTCTTTTTCAGACTCAAGACTCCTACTTCCTTCACAACTACTACCCCCCGCCATAAAACATTCATTCACCTGATTTTATGACGCCATAATTATCCCTCAATTTTGGGTAACTGAAGTTTTTATTTCACTAACATTTTCTTTAAATTTTACTTATTCTTCTTTTTTTTTTGTCCCAAAAATATTTTCTTTCTTATTTAGCCAAAAAAAAAATAAAAAATACTGAAATAACCCCAAGTTTCGTCACTTCTTCTTATATATGGAGTAATGGACCGCTGCTGGTGGAGTTCTTTACAAACCTCGCCAAATTTCTGGGTTCTCCTTGAATTTTCACAAGGATGAGTCTAGAATCATCTAAAGACAACCGCATTCTAGATTCCAATTTTGTAAGCGGCCCTTCTTCTTTTCTCAGATTATTTGTATTTTTTTTTGAGAGAGAGAGAGGAAATCATGTGATTTCTCTCTAACTGGGTTCTTAATAATGTTCGAATGGGTCTTGGTTAGTTCATAAAAGTATGATGTTTTTTTGTTTTATTGGGGTTGTTCTTAATTGTTGTTGCTGTGAATGAATTCCGCTTTGTTTGTTTATAATGATTATGTTTTTTTTGGGGGGGGTGGGGATTTTTAACGCATGCACAGAGTGGTTGGTACCACATTGGGAAAATTTCCAAAGCAGCGTACAGGGTTTATTCACATATATGGTGATTTTGTTAGTAATCGATGTCCATGGCTCATTAAATGTGTAAAATGTGTTCCCGAGTTGAATGTGTACTGTATACGTAAAAATTATACTGTGTGCATTCCAATTGTTGCCAGACTGCACCTTTATTCCTCTACTTGTTTTGCCTGTTGTTTGATGCTTTCATTGTTCTTAATTCCTCTAATGTACAATTTAATTCAAATATTAGGAGTACAAGAAGTGAATTCAGGTTGTTCCTGGTGAAATTTCGCCTCGGGTAAAATCCAGAAACAGAATTCAATAATTGCTGCTTGCGTTCATTGCAAGTATTTGTTTGATGTGCTATTTCATGCCACTTCTTTGTAATTACAACAAATCAACAATAGGAAAATGTAACTCACTGTTCTGTATGAATCAACTACTTATCATCAATTTGAGTATAGCATATTTGTTTGTGTTACTTTGCAATCAGTATGCTCTTTAACCAGGACTGCATTATTGTGACTATTTTCCTTTTGGTGTGTTGCAACTGCTGCAACAAGTTGCCTAAATACCTCCACAGATCAATATTTTTTTAAAAAAAAAAAAAATTTTTTACGATGAAAAAAAAAAAAAATTGTTGCTGACAAAGTGGGTAAAATAATTCTTTCAAAGAGTATTTAGTAATATATTTTAGCGTATCATTGTGGAATTCGAAAAACTCAGTCCATGCTAATGAATCTGGTTCTGCTCTCTGCAGAATGATATTCAGTCTGCAAACATGCCTGGGAAAATGTATGACTATAATATTGTACCCACTACAAGACTACAGCGTCTTTTGAGGGAAAGGGAACTTAGAAGATCAAACAGATCGTTTCAATCGTATGAGGATGTTAGAGATGCTAATGGAGATGCAGAAACAAACGGACACAGTAATGGCCTATATTTATCTGATCCTGATAAGAGATGTCATGAAGAAGATATATATGAGCAGATTACGGATGCTAGACCTGTGAATGATAGCTATGAGAAGCAAGATGCACGACCATCCAAGCAACGATTACTAGTTGTAGCTAATCGGCTCCCTGTAGCTGCATTTAGAACGGGTGAGGACTCATGGCATCTGGAAATCAGTGCAGGAGGCCTAGTCAGTGCTTTATTGGGTAAGTAATTTGAGAATTTCGGATCGTGAACAGTTTACAATTGCCGGGAAATTTGACCACATTTGGCATTAGTAACAAGTGTGCCCCTGCTTAAGAATCAGAATCAGCCTGTTATCTGCTTTTCTGATGAGATACTTTTGTTTATATAGTAGTTAATTCATGAATTCTTGCTGTGAAACACGTAATTATGCCTTATACTTTTGTCAAGGTGTCAATGAATTTGAAACCAGATGGATAGGATGGGCTGGTGTGAACGTTCCTGATGAAGCTGGGCAGAAATCACTAGCTGAAGCTTTAGCGGAAAAGGTAATTTTATTTTGGTGTGATGTGAAAGTCCTACTAATCCGTATCAACAGATTCATATTATGAATGATATGACCTGGGAGCGCATATACTTGTATCCCTTTCCAATGTTTTGTTGCTTCCATTTGGGAATTTGATTTCCTGTGCTTAATTTCGCTTCTCTCTACAGAGATGTATTCCAGTATTTTTGGATGAAGAAGTCGTTCATCAATACTACAACGGTTACTGTAATAACATACTGTGGCCACTTTTCCATTACCTCGGGCTTCCACAAGAAGACCGCCTTGCTACAACCCGTAGCTTCCAGTCCCAGTTTGCAGCATATAAGAAAGCAAACCAAATGTTTGCAGATGTTGTGTATGCAAATTATAAGGAAGGTGATGTTATCTGGTGTCACGACTACCATCTCATGTTTCTTCCAAAATGCCTGAAAGAGTATAACAGTGAAATGAAAGTTGGCTGGTTTCTCCACACGCCTTTCCCTTCATCAGAAATACACCGAACATTACCATCTAGATCAGAACTGCTAAGATCTGTTCTTGCAGCTGATTTGGTTGGGTAAGTCTAGTAAATTTTTTGGTCTTCATTTTTGTGGCGTTCCTTTTTCGTTGTCAACCGCGCAGGATGCTATTTGTTGTGCTTTGCCTCAAACTTCATTGTTTCCATATCATGGTGATGCTTATGTCTTAGAAACATAGCCTCCACAATAAGGGACTTATAGCTCCTCTGTTTCAAAATCTCAGCTTCCATACCTATGACTACGCCAGACATTTTGTTAGTGCCTGTACACGTATTCTTGGGCTTGAGGGCACACCTGAAGGGGTGGAGGATCAAGGAAAGCTTACTCGTGTGGCAGCAGTATGTGAACTATGTAGTTTGAGTTATCTTATAACATCAACATGACGAAGTTTTGTTTAATATCCCTCTGAAGTGAGGTCTCTGTAAACTAACACTCTTATGGGCATCCTGGAATTACAGTTTCCGATCGGGATAGATTCTAATCGATTCATTCGAGCTCTTGAGCTTCCTGAAGTGAAGGAGCACATTAAGGAGTTGAAAGAGAGATTTGCTGGTAGAAAGGTAAAGCTAGCCATGGAAATATTCATTATAAGCAGAAGCTCTTGATTTCATCTTACTTGTAATCCATTGTTCTTACATTGCACGGCATCCATTTTCTTGGAGGAATAGGATTTGTTTGTTTTATCAGTTTGCGAAAAGAAAAAAGAAACATTTTACCAAGTATTGTTAAGCAGAGTAAAAGATGTAAATAGATTGTTATCTACTTGAATTTTGAAAGATGATTGAGCACATAGCTTCTTGCATATATTAAAATTTGTGGCTTATACTGATTAGTGAGTCTACGAGCAGGTAATGTTAGGGGTTGATCGTCTGGATATGATAAAGGGAATTCCCCAAAAGATATTGGCATTTGAAAAATTTCTTGAAGAAAACCCTGTTTGGCGAGACCAAGTTGTCCTATTACAAATTGCAGTTCCGACAAGGACAGATGTGCCAGAATGTAAGTCTTCCTTATGGTTTCTAGAGTTCACTGCAATGGTTTCTGGTACACTTAACATCTTTTCGAAGATGTGGATGTTTTTGTTACTTGATATGCAGTTTTTCTTTTCACAAAATAATATAATTCATTTACCTCTTAATAGTTCAATTAATAATCTAACAGGCCCCAAATAAAGCTTTCCAGAAGAAAACATGGTCAATTTCTTTTTCTATATGACCATAAAATGTTTGTCATATTTTCTGCTGCCATCTGGATGTATAATTCTGTTTAGCATCTCCAAGAATGTCATTGTACATTCGCTGGTTACGAATTCCATGCTTTAAAGTTCTTTTCAAGTTTCGTCCGTCCAAAGGGATTGAAGATGAAATTCAGTCTATAAGGGCATGCTTAGGAACTATTGAGTTCTTTCGGAAGATGAGTACCATCTTTCTGAAGATGTGTTTGTTCAGAAACCTGAAGTTAAAACAATAATTCAGACTTCATTCCACTGTGTTTCCCAGAAGTATACCTCATTTTATTCACTGAGATTAAAGGGGAAATGTTTTCTATATGAAGTAGACCTACTATGGATGCAAGTGATTAGTGCTGCATGTGTTTTGCCTGTCTGTTATGTTAACTCAGCCTACTTCAGTTGCATTGGACTCACCAAGTTTTATTCATCCCACTGTTTTAGTCTCTTTCTTTCATATTTTGTTTGCTTGACAGATCAGAAACTGACATGCCAAGTCCACGAAATTGTCGGACGAATAAATGGAAGATTTGGAACTCTGACAACTGTTCCAATACATCATTTGGTAAGTCTCCAGACCTGGAAGTTACATTTAAAGAGATATTTTCAAATTTGTTGGATAATTCTTCAGAATGTCTGTGAAGAAAGTATTATATCTTTACAGATTAAATGGAAATGGAAAACAAAAACCCCTGGAGCTGCATGAAAATAACTTAAGCACACAATGCTTATTTACCAGATTGGTTTAATTTGGAGCTGAATGTTTTGTGGTGACATTAAAGTGTAAAATGCTTATTTTCATGGACTGTGCAAACATGAAAATGTGTATGTGATCAATGATAATTGAAGAATTTGGATCATTAACTGGAAATTCCTTGAGTTATTTCGATGCATTGTAACTATTGTTGATAATATTGCCAAGGATTTTGCTCATCTAATTGTTTCCTGGTGATGCAGGATCGATCTCTTGACTTTCATGCACTATGTGCTTTATATGCTGTCACTGGTATCCCTTTCAGGCTTTTCATCTCAGATATTGAATAACTGATATCCAAACTTAGCTAATCTAAAAATATTTCTACAGCCTTTCTTCAAATGCCAATTATGCTTCATTCTTTCATTTTGCATACTTAGATTAACTATATAAATCGAGCGATTATACCCATTTGTGTACTCTACTGTTCTTATTTGCATTACTAATTAAAAGGCGCATTTTATTTTCGTTCTCTCACCTGCATAAGTAAATCAGTAGGGATGTGTAATTGAAGTGCTTTCCACCTTTCTTCTCCTTCAAGGTCTTCTTGCATATGTATTGTTTTGGAATTCTCAAGTGTGAAAATCGAAAGCATTGAGCAATTACTTGAACCAATGATGGTCGCTATCAGTGATTTCCTGCAATACTGCAATGGTTCACACGACATACATAGCCTTTGAAAGACATAATTATAATGACTGCTGTGGCAATATGTGATAGTGAAAATAGTTTCTGTTAATACTGGGACTCTGCGAATTAACATTTTATTGTTGTTTTATATTGTTTAAGAGTTAATTTGTAACATCCATTCAAAGTTTGCATGTCCTGCTCATAATCTGTCTTATATCTTTCATCTCTAACGACCCCTTTTCACCTTTAAAATCTTCTTTTTCTTTCTTCAATCATTTCAGATGTGGCTCTGGTTACATCTTTAAGGGATGGGATGAATCTAGTTAGCTATGAGTTTGTGGCCTGCCAAGCTGAGAAGAAAGGGGTTCTCATTCTAAGTGAGGTAGGACATTGCGTTTATTTACAATTCTTCCATTCATGGATTATCCTACAAAAAGACCTTGGTACAATTGTCAAATGCAGTTTGCTCTTTGTCGAATCAAAATTTAAGCATGTAAGTATTGATATAGATTTTCGAAGAAAAACCGCTGGAGCTTTGTTAAGTCAATATCCCAACTGTCTTCCCAAGCAGAATTTTAAGTTTTGTAAATGGTCTGTCTCACATCCTAGAATCTGTGGATACTGTTATTCTCCACAAGAAGATCTAATAATAATAATCCCTGTTGTCCCTAAGAAGGAACCATTTAAATCTCTTGGATTTCAGAATCAGATTTATACTCGTGTCTTTTCCTTTTTTTTTTCCAAAATTTTAAAATCCTAGTTAATTACCACAATCATCACTAGCTAGAATATAAACCTGAAGGGACATTATAAGGGGTGATTAAAGTTCAATGATTGGGTCTATTCTATGGTGAGTGAACTCTGTTGCAAGATTAATGTCCATGCCTATTGGTTTAAGTACTAGTATAGATTAATGGCTATTTTCCAATAATGTAATGTTTGGATTTTCCATTTAGTTCGCAGGTGCAGCTCAGTCTCTAGGTGCTGGAGCTATACTGGTGAATCCATGGAACGTAACAGAAGTTGCTGCTTCAATTGGTTATGCTTTAACCATGCCTGCTGATGAAAGAGAAAAAAGACATCAACACAATTTCATGCATGTGACTACTCATACATCACAAGAATGGGCAGAAACTTTTGTGAGGTACTTGTCCATCATGGACTTGTGTCATGGTACTTTATGGCCTTTGCACTTCTCTTTCGCGGGATTGCTCTAGCTGATCTGCATATTTTTTTCTGCATGATAAGTTTTTCTGTCATATTAATCCCATAAACTCTCAGCAATTGTGACTCAGTCATGGATCCCTAGCAACCTGCTTAATAAACATCTTTCCCTCTGAATCTAATTATTTCTCTTTCTAATTCTTTTACTGTGTAGTGAGCTCAATGATACTGTTGTGGAAGCTCAACTTAGGACAAGACAAATTCCTCCTTTGCTTCCGACCAAAACTGCTGTGGAACGTTATTTGCTCTCGAAAAATAGATTGCTCATACTGGTAATGCTGATTTCCTGTTGTTATCCAATTTGGAAAAAAGTTCGAGGTTTCATGTAGCTTTATTACATAAAAGTTATAGTTTGAAGGTTTAACAAAACGAGAAATTATCTGAATGCTTTTATGATAACAGAAGTGAGTCAATTTCTAGCATAGGTTTTGGAAGAGCTTTGGTGGCATTGCATAGTGTAGCTCTGGACGTACGTACATCATATTGGCTATGGGTAAAAGAAGAGAATGTAGAGTCTAAATTAGCAGCATGATACGAGAGTCTCTTGAAGAATAAACCACTTTCAGCTTCTAGCAGTATTTATGAGTCTTGTAGTGACCTCACTCTTTCCTTTACAATTTTGTGCATTACTTATGATTATTTCGTGGGTATGTCATTCCTGCTTGCTTGAACTTATGGTCAAGATGTGGAAGTTATTTGGCTTAAGAAATCTTGCCATTACTGATGTCCTTCCTACGTTGAAGTTACTGATGTGGAAGTGATTTTCTTCATTATTTATTATATTGGTACTGAAAGGCCTTCTTGCTGGGCATAATTCATCATCTGTGGCTATTTGATTTTTGTTGCAGGGGTTTAATGCAACTCTGACTGAACCGGTGGATACCCCTGGAAGAAGGATTGACCAGTTCAAAGAAATGGAACTTAAATTGCATCCTGATCTAAAGGAACCTTTACAAAGGTTATGCAGTGATCCAAAGACTGTTGTTGTTATTCTTAGCGGTAGTGACCGAAGTGTTCTTGACGAGGTCGTCTACACTAAAATGATCATTTCTGCATTTTGTTTATTTTGATTCCTGGCTGAAGGAGGAAACAGATGATTCTTATAGCTGTGTAAACTCTTCTGCAGAACTTTGGAGAATATAACTTGTGGCTTGCTGCAGAACATGGTATGTTTTTACGCTTTACAAAGGGAGAATGGATGACTACAATGCCAGAAAATCTGCACATGGATTGGGTGGACAGTGTAAAGGTATATTCAAATGTAGAAACTAAAAGGCGTTTTGCTTATGTTGGAGTTACAAAATTATTAAAATCTCTTTATTCTTGTGTTCCAGCATGTCTTTGAGTACTTCACAGAACGAACACCTCGATCTCATTTTGAGCTTCGTCAAACATCACTTGTCTGGAACTATAAGTATGCAGGTATTTAATTTTTCATTTGGAATTCATTTCTCGCCACATAATTCTACCATGATACTTTCAATACTTAAATTGAATGCATGCCTTTATAAGCTTTATGGGACAATGTTGGCAGATGTGGAATTTGGAAGGCTTCAAGCGAAAGATTTACTACAACACCTCTGGACAGGGCCCATTTCAAATGCATCAGTGGATGTTGTCCAAGGTGGGCGTTCAGTTGAGGTCCGAGCAGTTGGCGTCACAAAGGTTTGTTTAATCCTGTCTTAGGAAATGGCTTATGAACTCTTAAAGATACACATGCATGCCTACGGTTGTTAATTGTACAGGGTGCTGCAATTGACCGAATCTTGGGAGAAATAATTCACCACAGTGATGTCAGAGCACCAATTGACTATGTATTATGTGTTGGGCATTTCCTATCGAAGGTAACTTCTGCATTTTCTTAACAACGTAAACTGTTTAACCTGTTCTCTGGTTCAAATCTAATAAATTGGTGCTTACATTTGGAGTAGTGATGAACGTGCAATAATGAGATGTTTGATGCTTAACCTGTTCAAATCTAAAACAGAAGAACATGTAATGATATAAGAAGAATGGATTTGTTTTCTGCTATCAGTTCAGTGTCCATTTCATCATGTCTCAATTTGATATCCACTATCAAGAATCAGTTTAAATTTTTTTTTCCCTTATTTTAACCAGCCACTTGAAGTCGTTTCTGAATATCCTACTATTTGTTTTTTTTTAAAAAAAAACTGTTTAATTTGTCTGAAATTTTAAGAAACCCCATCCACAGACCACAGTCCACAAATGACAAATTGTTTCCAGATTTGGTTTACTTCACTCTGTAAGATTTAAAACCTTTTAAAATTTTCTACAAATGAAGGAAAAGAAGACCTTTTTAAATTTCAACGTTTGAGCTATTTTTGGCTATTGAGTTGTGAGGTTCTAGTATTTTCTGATTTCGTGAAAAAACTGTTCCAATTCGATGATCTTATCAGCAAACCACCTCACTGTAAAAGAATCAGTTTATCAATTCAATCAGAGGAACTATGCATAAATACTAGACTAATCGAACCATTTTCTATGTGACCATTTTTGTTCATTCTGTACCATGTTTCACAATATCTGGTTTCTATCAGGATGAAGATATCTACACATTTTTCGAGCCAGAGCTTCCTCCCAGTGCTGTTACCTCATCAAGAGCTAAGATCACAAAGCCTACAAATCGAACTGGTTCAAACCTTTCCACACGGAATGGTAGCTTGAGGCCATCTGGTGAAAAAGCTCCTAAACCTTTTCCAGCAACCAAGAAGAAAGCAAGTAGCAACGGGAATGGACACTGGTGGTCCATGATGCGTGATAGACTGACAGTGCATGAAGGCTCGTCAGTTCTTGATCTAAAGGGTGATAATTACTTTTCCTGTGCTGTTGGACGAAAGCGGTCTAGTGCCAGATATCTTCTTGGGTCATCAGCTGATGTAGTAGCATTACTGAAGGAGCTGGCAGATAGTCTATCACAAAACTAGCTTTTACACACACTGCGGCTGTTAGCTTTCCAACAAGAAAAAAGTTGAGACACTGAGCAATATATGACAACCCTACCATGGTCTACCAGTTTTGGTAATTCTATGCAGGTATTTAATCAGCTCCCATGTTGTACGGCATTGTTTCTGTCAGGGCCTCGCATTCTAGATTGTTTGACTGTGTTTCATTGGCGAAAAAAACAAAAAGAGAAAAGTGTGCAGATTTATTTCAATTGTTTAGCAGATTTTTTTATGGAGCTAAGAGGTCAAAGCTTTGTGCATGGGGGCATATCGTATAGTGTGAAATGCCTGCAAAACTAAATTAGAAGTCAATCTGATTCCCGAATTCCTTTTGTAAAATAATCTGATCCCCTAATCTCTTTCTAACTCATAAGTTTCCATTCTCATCTTTGCTATTTTTGCCTTTTTGTTAAAGCGTTATGATATTAGTTTGGGAAGCAAAGTGAAAGTTATGGTCGTTTAGTCACCACAAAAAGCACTAAAACATGCTAGAAACTGGATTGTTTAATTTAACTCAGAGTTTGCTTCTCTCTCTCACTCTCAGGAACAGGAATCGAGATAACAAAGATGGAGACTTGAACATCCAAATGCTCGGTACGCAGTCACCGGAAAACCTAGGAGTTAGCTTTCATGGCAGATGGCATCCACGACATGGCAGGAAATATGTGGAGGCGATCTCTGGTAGCTTAGGTCTGTGCATGTGTTGCATGCTAAAAGATATTGCAAGAAGATAATTGCAACTGTGGATATAAACTCTAATTTGTTTTCGCCTATAAATCTTAACCATGTTAATTTAGGTTCGATAATTTATTTCTTCTTGCATTAAGTCATGGCCGTATGAGATTTAATTTTCACATTAGTAGTTCACAAATTATTGTGCTTGTGCAAGAAGAATATATGATCTAGGGATGATACTCTGATATTCATATTTATCAGCCATAACACAGTGAATGTTCACTATTATAGTGGTTCAATCATTTTTGGGGAAAATTTTAGGGCAGTTACGTTCCACACGGAAAATCCTCCATTAAGGTAGTGAATATCTTCATCAATCTTAAAATGGACATCTATATCTCTATTAAGCAAAAAAAAAAAATGCACATGATCGGGATCGAGGGCTATATATATAAGGACTTAGAAGGCTCTGTAAGATGTTCTTCGGGGTAATTTTCTCTATTAATATATGATGATTTCTACCACCACCACCCCCCAAAAAAAAGGACATATACTTAGTTGATTATAGAAGTGAATGGTTCCTTTCTCCTCTTTCCTTTTTTTATTTTATTTTATTATTTTGGACCAAGGGAATATATAACTTGGTTAAAAGAACTCGAAGAACTACTACTCTCAATTCAACTCCCAAATTTGAACAAAATTTAGTTTCGTTTTACCTTATAAAAACAAAAATGAGATTTTCTTCTTTCATCGATTACACTTGTTTGGTTAAAGAGAACCGCACGAACATTCATCTCATCTGCAATTTTGCGGTTGTAGTGCACTCTCTTTTAGCGCCAAGAACTTCATATAAAATTAATAAACCCAAAATCACGGTTTGTACTGATTTTCAAAATATTTATTGTCGACAACTATAATTGACCTCTGTCACTGATTATAAGTAACCCTTCGGAAATGATATATTATCAAATAGGCACATATCAAATATTCATACTACTAGCCCTCAGATAAACTTCTTTCGCCCTAATTTTTTTTTCTTAATTATTTGTGTTACTATATGATCAAGATCCGAGCGCCAATCATGATTAAACTGATCAAGAAATCTGTGGTGACACTTCTTGATGGTGATGCTCGCAAGTCAACAGTACTTTTTCCCTCAATTACTAAAACGTTGGAAGTGACATATGTATGGTCCATAACGAAGTATGGTTGTGGGCTAAGATGGAAACAACATGGATGGATCTTCAGTAGCACCTACAAAAGGCTACAAAACACCATCCCCTGCAGCTCCAAATTGTTCACATTTTTTTTTTTGCATGCTTTCCCATGCAAATCAAATTGATCAACCTCAATTGATTGGGCAATCAATCATCAAATTGGACTTTAAAAAGCAGAACAGAACAATTGTGTAAGTTCAGTAAAAGACACGAACAAGAATCTTAAAAAGGGCCAAATTATTTGCACGCTTTTGAATCGGGTGGTGGATGTCCTTTTTGTTAATAATGCCCACTCTTACGCCATGCTTTTTTTTTTTTTTTACTAGTCAAGATTTGTGGTACTGCATTTGCATGCATTCATTGTCAACCCTTTATCCTTTGCCTGGAGCTAAAATAGCATGCACTGATTTACTCTCTCTCCCCGACCTACTTTAATTGTTTGCTTTGTTGTGCTAACTAAGTATAGGAAATAAATTATTAAAAGTGGATCGGACTAAGTATCTATCAATGATAGTTGAATTAATGGAGTTGGATTATTGTGTAATTTAGCTCAATTTTATGAGACAACCTACAAGGGTCACCGGAACCATGTACAGTAGTTTGGAGGGATATGTGAAAGTGTGAAAATCCCTAACCGAGTATTGTATTGATCATGAGTATATATAGTGTATAATAATTATAATTATAGCCTTAATTATATGTACACTAATAATATGTATTTCTAACTAAAGTTCTCGTAACAAATATTTTGAACTTTCGATATATATAGTTTTTTTATAAGATACAATAGATTTTTATCGTTTTGTGTAGAATAAAATATCTGTTATTTCTTTGGACATGATACGCGACTTTGTTGATTTATCCGAACCCAAACGACAGAGTACTAATCATCTTTCACATCTAGCTAGTTTTACTAACACTCTCTTGATACAATTTCAATTCATATTCGTACATCTTATAAACAATTTGCGGGGAAAGAAGGAATTACTTAAAATCAAAACATATGTATATATGCTGTATCTGACATTTTTTTTTTTTTTTGTAACATTTTCGATTACAGATATGTCGTTTAATTAATATACACAAAAGCGTATAGATATCGTAACCAATTGACGGGGACCCCTGTAATAATAGAGGCCTAATTGGCTAATTCGTCTCTGGTTATCTTAATTAAAGAACCAAAAATATGAGTGATCATTATCATAACTTGTTTATGAAGTTTATATGACATCTGACACTTGATTTAACATGTATACAAAGTAATAATATGTAAATAACATTACTTTACTAATTAATATATAGTATATCATTTTACAGTAAACTTTTCTAATTTATCCCTCTATTATATGACCTAATTATTAGTAATGCACATTATTGTTGTTGAAACATATGGCTGCTATAGCTTGATAAACGAAAAATATATGCTTCCACTGTTGATTAACGGCTACGTTAAATTAGTTCAAATTACATCAAATTAAGGTTCCCAAATGTTTAAGTTGATAAACTTTTATAGATTGATTGATTTTACGACGAGGACCTCTTTCATCTCATTATGATAATAATGGTACTTTTATAGATTGATTGATTTTACGACGAGGAACTCTTTCATCTCATTTTGATAGTAATGGTTTACTCCTTCCGTCCCAAAATTATTGTTCAACTTAAATTTTTATTTTTTATTTTAAACTATACTAAAAGTGAAATTCCAAACTGGAAAATAATTTTAGAATGGAGGAAATATTATATACTCCCTCTGTCCCAAAATTATTGTCCAATTTGAGATTTCATTTTTAGTACAATTTGAATTAAAAATAAAAACCCAAACTGGACAATAATTATGGAACGGAGGGAGTATAATAGAGTGAATTATTAAAAGACTAAGATAAAGAGATTACAAACATAGTAGTATATCAATTCTTACGCACTAATAATTGATAAACGTCTTCGGAGCATATCTACAAATTGTAAATTGGAGTTTCGTTTATCTCTTCCCCCCTCTTTTTATAGTAGTAGAGGGGGAATGTTCCGGTTTATTTGATGTTGAGGATAGAAAATGACAAAATGTATTATAAGAGGGTTATCAGGTTCTTGAACGTTTAATTAATTTCTCGAAAGAGCAAATCGGTCAAAAGACATGAACTGAGTGAGACAAATCAAAGTTCTTAAACAAGTATGTGCCGGTCAAATTTTTAACTAATTAAATTAAATAAAATCAATTTCTTGTGACATTCATTAATTGCTCAAAATTTCTTTTTTTTTTCTTTAAACATATTTGAATAATCATTATCAATAAACACTAGTAGATAGTGATACTCAAAGAACTTATAGTGTATACGATTGCAAGGTTCAAAGAATAATCTTATAGTCTGTTCGATTATATTCGGAGAATAATCTAGTGATATTATAAAACCCAAATTAATAAGTACATAAACCAACAGCCGTCTAATGAAATTAGTCATTCTCGTACTATGACACGAGTAGTAATACAAATTAAGCGAATTCTGAAGATAATACCAGTATTAAATCTTTATATAAATGACAATGTGATGATTATATACAGTATGTGCAACAATTGAGTATATATAACGAATTTATAAATAGCATTGACGAACTTTTATATCATAGAATATATCTTAAATTTGTTCGTGCAAGTCAATGTGAAAAAAAAAGAGTCATTATTAATCAATTAAAAGTGTCCAAAATTTCAAGTAACTATACAGTGAAGAAGCAAGAAGTAGTAGTAAGCAGTACTCTCTCCGACCCCAAATCATTGTTTAATTTTGATTTTTAGTTTCAGTACAAATTGAATCAAAAATGAAAATCTAAACTGGGCAATAATTATGAAATAGACAAAAATGCAAGTAGCTAGAATTACATTTTTGACCCAAACCTATCTTTTCTCTCTCTAAATGGTGGACTACTGGTACTACGTACACATCCCTTTGGTTCCTTCCACCTTTGAGAGAGAGAGAGAGAGAAAGAGAGAGCGATAAATATAGGGAAAGAGTTCGAGTTGGTATATAAGTTTGTTCTAAAGTTCATAAAAACAAGGAGAGATTCAGGTATGGCAAAATCATACCGGCCAAACTTTATCAGTTGAATATATTGAGGAATCTGTATAGAGAGGACCACCCTCCCCTTCCCCAATCCGTATATTTTTATTCTCTTTTATCTCTTCCTACATTCTTTCTTCTTCGACTCTCTCTTATTTCTCATATATTAATTTTCCTTTCCATATTTACTTATATATATATATATACATATATAGATAGGGGAAGAATATCTGGTTCCAAAAATTCTGTGCGTAGCCAAAATCTCAACAATATGGAGTATTCTCCTAAATTCTTTTTCGCCTTTCTTCTTCTCTTGATTCCTTCCTTCGCTTCATCCCTCCAACAAAACCAGGTCTTCATCTTTTTCTTTCCTTATTAAAATGTTGTGATATTAAAATAGTGTGACAAACCATGTTGTATTGTTTCATCCATTTTGGCCGGGAGTAATGATTATTATTATTATTTTTTTTTTGTCCTGAAAGGTTTACATTGTGTATTTTGGGGAACACAGTGGTGAGAAAACGGCCCAAGAGATTGAAGAACACCACCATTCTTACCTGTATTCAGTGAAAGATACCGAGGAAGACGCCAGGTCTTCTCTTATTTACAGTTACAAGCACAGCATCAATGGCTTTGCCGCGAAACTCTCTCCGGAGGAAGCCCAAAAACTATCAGGTTTTGCCTTCATTCATCCCAAAATGATTGTCTGATAACCCGTCAGAATTTTATATGGAACCCTTGTGTCATGTTTACAAGGGACTGAATTAATTAAAACCCTTTAATAATTATTTAATGGTGTTGCAGAAAATGATGAAGTGGTATCTGTGTTACCAAGTAAGCAATACAGTGTGCATACAACAAGATCATGGGAGTTTGTGGGGATAGAAAGGTCTCCAGGGCTTGAAGGCAAGGTTGACAAAGACGAGTTGATCGTCAAAGCCAGATATGGAAAGGATGTCATTGCTGGTGTTCTTGATAGTGGTAATTCATCCATTATCAACATCTACAATATATTTTTTTTTCGTCCCAAAATAATTATTTGATGACTCACCAGAAAATATTTTACTGCTAACAACAATTTTCGATCATATATGTCCATTTTGCTGGATAAGAAGCATTTTCTTTTTAATCATTTTTATTTTTGTTCATGTGATGAGAATCTTGGCTCTTTTTAAAATCAGGGGTGTGGCCAGAATCTGAGAGCTTTAGTGATGAAGGGATGGGTCCGATTCCAAAAAGATGGAAAGGAGCCTGTGCAACCGGGGATAATTTCAAGTGTAACAAGTGAGTTTTTTTTTACTTATTTAATTAACTAGTAATTCATTTTTATTAATCTCATAATTAATGTCTTCCTCTTCTTTTACTTTTCTTTATTTATGAAAAACTTTCGGAGGAGATGAAAAAATCACTCTTTCGGATACTTTCATAAGCTTTTTTGTTACTTCAACAACATAAAACCATTGAAGTGGAACAAAAAGAAGTAAAGAAAGCAAGAATATTGTGTGATGTTAATATATGTGAGCGCTTAATTATTAGAAAATATCATGCATGTCATTGGGCAACTTGAAACATCAGGAATTATTATTGAGTGAGTAGTATTTAATAACAACTTACTGGTATTAATTATTATTAGTAGTGACTTGGTTGAAGATGATAGAGTGAATTGACCGTTTGGTCAACTTTGCCTTCTTGACTCTCTTTTTTCACTTTTATTTTTTTAATTTTGTTTTTTTTTTCCCGAAAAAGGACTAATTAGTACTTAACATTGCTGCCTCTCATTACATTTATACTCTTGTGTTTTTAATGTATTGTACACATTTGTACTTATTTGTTTGTACAGTATTTATATAGAAGAGGAGTGAAGACTAATTAAATTCTTGTATAATCTGGTCACATCTCAAATTACATCATTTTAGTGGAAGCGATTCTAAACTTTTTATTCTTGTTTTTTTTTTCTTCCTTACATATAATCTTTTAAACCTTTTTTTCCACTAATTAAAAAAAATAGAAACCGAAAATGAAACTCCTGTCACTGCATAATTTGGAAAAGAATCTAGAGAATTGACCTCACATTTTTTTAAATAATATAAGAACAGTTGTTTCAAAATCATCCTCCTTCGGAATGAACATAATGTTCATATTCTTTGTAGCATTTTATTCTTTGATAATGCATATTCTCTTTACCTCTACTTTAACTTTATCTTTTTATCATACCAGAAAATATTCCAAGGCAAACTTATTTTTCCTTCGAAATAAAAAGCGTGTTCATCGAATTAAAATGATATCAAAACTCTTTTAATTCATTAGTTTCTGTTTGTGACGAAAGGAGTAAAACAGTTCAACGATACTACTACTACTACGATGATTAATAACTTTCGAGGTTTCTTCCAAATTCCAATAATTAAGAAGCAAAAAAAGTTCAAAGTATACAGCATAATGAATGGGGCTGTATATTTGGCCCACGGAAAATGTCTTTACATGCAATGATGTGATTGTCCTAGTCTCGTATACAGCCTACATCGATCTCTATAATTCATCACAAAACAAATTGTCCAATCCGATCAGCTCGGGGGAAAATTGTCTTGACCTTATAATTCATGAGTTTTGGCTTCTTGCTTTGATGCATTTTCCATCTTGTGACTATCAACAGTTCACATTAGCTATTTTTGAAAGCTCTATTCTTGTCAATTCATTGCAGAGCCTGCATATATATCTATATATATATATATATATATATATATATATAACCCACATGTGGAATCGAATTAAATTATTTTGTTCCATTTTTACAATGTACCATCTTGTAGCGTTATTAAAGTTACGGTTATAGTAAGGATTATTCTTGCATACACAGAATTTGGACCGTAACGTGAAGCATCCAATGTACCCTAACCGAATCGTCAATCATTCTTGAATCTAAGTTAAACTGTTACGTATAATGATGAGTTATGTCGTGGTAGTCTGTAAATTATGGTGAAATGCATACATTATGCTCATTTTGGTTGATGATTTCCAATGTCCATTGTAATTTGCTTTACACTATTCCTACTTATTCACTATACATCTCTTTAATTTGTACACAACAACTAAACCAGTGTCGCAAATGTGCCATTCTGCTTGGCTTAATTTGAACTAATGCAATTATGGTGTGATGATTTTGACTTTGCAGGAAAATAATTGGTGCCCGGTTCTATATTAAAGGTTATGAAAGCTACTACGGCCCTTTGAATAGGACTTTGGATTCCTACTCCCCCAGGGATGTTGATGGTCATGGATCTCATACTGCATCCACAGTTGCGGGGCGCAGGGTCCCAAATGTTGCGTCAGCTGGAGGATTTGCCCGTGGCACGGCTTCAGGAGGCGCGCCGCATGCACGCCTGGCGATCTACAAAGTTTGTTGGGCAATTCCAGGACAAGAAAAATCAGATGGGAACACATGTTTTGCCGAGGATATGCTTGCAGGGATTGATGATGCCATCAATGATGGCATTGACGTGCTGAGCGCTTCCATTGGCGCACACGAACCTTATGAATACTACTATGATTTTATCGCGATTGGGGCACTTCACGCCATCAAGAAGAACATTGTGGTGTCTTGCAGTGCTGGGAATGACGGTCCTAAGGCCTCTACGTTGTCTAATCCCGCCCCCTGGATCCTCACAGTTGGTGCCAGTAGCATGGATCGTACTTTTGTTGCAGATATCCATCTAGGGAATGGAAAAAAAGTTAAGGTAATCAAAGACAAGCTGAACAGAACTTTTTCAATTTTTCCCTGAGTGATTTGTGAGTGTTTTACTGATTTCTCATACAATGCTGATCCCTAGGGCCAAACAATAACTGCTTACAAGCTGGAAAACAAGATGTATCCCTTAGTTCGTGCTGCTCAAGTTGCTCATTCCAATGTGGCAAAGAATATGACAGAGTATAATCCTAACCTTCGTATTCATGTGCATTGTAAACTGTCCCTGGCAGAGATTCAATAACAATTGATTGTCTGATCGACTAATCCGAAATTTACAGTCAGTGCTTGCCTGGATCACTTGATCCTAAGAAGGCCAGAGGAAAGATCGTGATGTGCCTCAGAGGAGCTGGACTCAGAGTTGGCAAGGGACAAGAAGCTAAAAGGGCCGGAGCTGTTGGTTTCATATTGGGTAACAGTAAAGCCAATGGAGAGGAGCTGTCAGTCGACGCTCATGTTCTCCCAGCCAATGCAGTTGGTTACAAGAACGCGATGAGAATCCTCAAGTACATAGATTCTACCAAGAATCCAAAGGCATATATAGGACTAGCCAAAACTGTATATAAGGATGTCACTGCACCATTTATGGCTGCCTTCAGCAGCAGAGGTCCAAGTGTCATTTCACCTGATATTCTCAAGGTAATGTTGTGTTCTTTTCTATTGAGACTATACTATGATCGTACAATCTGCAATTAGGTAAAATTGATGTACATAAGTTCATAAAAATAACAATGATGACCTTATTTTTCACAGCCGGATATAACTGCTCCGGGACTCAATGTATTGGCAGCATGGAGCGGGGGAGCATCGCCCACAAAGTTGTCGACAGATCACCGAAGGGTGAAGTACAATGTACTTTCAGGAACTTCAATGTCTTGCCCACATGTCAGTGGTGCTGCAGTCTTACTAAAGGCCATCCACCCAGATTGGAGTAGTGCAGCAATCCGATCTGCTATCATGACCACTGGTAATTACATGCTGGTTTTCACATACCTTTAATGTCTCCTTTGGAGTTTGGGCATCACCTTTCACCTATTCTCATGCCAGGAATGTTCTAAAGCAAATATATGTGAATTTTACAGCTGCGTTAACAAACAACAAAGGCCATCCAATAACTGATGCATCAGGGAACGAAGCAGATCCGTTCCAGTTTGGAGCAGGTCATTTCAGGCCAACAAAGGCAGCAGATCCTGGCCTCATTTACGATGCATCCTATGAAGACTATGCTCTTTATGTCTGCAACTTCAACAACTCTAAGAAGGTTGTTCCCCACTTTCACTGTCCTAAGAAACCACCATCACCAGGCAATCTCAACTACCCGTCAGTTGCAGTCCCCAAACTCAAAGGCACAGTGGTTATTAAAAGAACGGTAACAAACGTTGGCAGCAGCACCAGCAACAGTATCTATTTCGCTACTGCCAAACCCCCAGTTGGAATCTCAGTCAAAATTTCTCCACCGATTTTGATATTTAAGCATCTTGGCGAGAAAAAGAGTTTCACCATAACATTCAGAGCTGAGCCAGAACTCGAAGTTGGTAAAATTCCAAAAGGGGAGTACTTATTTGGGCACTACAGTTGGAATGATGCTAATAATGTCTACGATGTCCGAAGTCCTATTGCAGTAGCATTGGCCTAGGTTACTTATACGCGAACTTCTCTCTCTGCTATAAATATATACATATAAGCAGATTTATTAATATTTTCTGAGTCTCTTTTTCCATCAGAAATAGATGTAAAGCAGTGGAGAAGTAACCAATGAATGAACAAAAATGGACATTAGCGTTAATATGGTTTTAGTTCATTCCAGATCAAACCCTGGATTTAGCCAAAGATAACAATCTCGGTAAAAACAACATTACAAGAATTTCTTCTAGTCCCAAAAAAAAGGTCATATTGGACTACTTCTTTACCATCCATATAAAAACATGAAGATATGTTTACAGAAAACAAAAAAAAAAAAAAAGAGATCTTATCTATAAGATACTTTTCTCACGCCCAATAATTGCATCCTCTAAATTTTACGATAGTAATACACAATTCGAAGAAGAAAGAATATACACAAAATTAAAAGAAATAAGCTGGATCCTAGTTCCAAGATTTTTGGAAATATTTTGATTTTTCTATTCAAATTTCACTGTAGAAGCTAAGTTTAATAGCCAACAAACAGATTCCAAAACCACTAACTCTCTCTATTACTGCAATCAGTAATCTCTAGCAAAATACCAACACTGTATACACAAATACAAGCAGAACGGACCAAAACTCTAGCACCACCCACCGATTTACATAGATAGTTTCTGAGTAACTTTGTTTATTTCAAAGGATCCTTTCTAACTCTCACACGTTCACCATTGAAGTGGACATACTTCCATTTACCTTGATACCTGTTGAGGACTTGTTTCTTTTTCTCTGTTTGACCTAATTCATCGAATGCTCGTGCGATTCTAATCAAAGTATCTTGGTCTGGTTTCACCCCCAACTCTTCCATGTCAGCGAATACCTGATTACAGTATCAAATAAGCATCTTCAAGGTGACGATCACAAAGAAAAGAAGAATCCTCTCTTGAACTCAGAGTGGAATTAGGGAGCCAATGACAAACAGAAACAGAGGGGGAAAAGGGACACCAGAAGTCACCTCGATAACCTTCTCTGGCATTTTGTGATGATCATATAAGGATATCATCCTTGAAAACAGTCTCTTTGATGTGGAACGCATATGTGTTCGTAATATCATATCCCACAGCATTTCTGCTTCATCAGCCCTGCAATCCTTGTCAAATGCCAACAGAAGGGAATCATAAGTCTCCAATGTTGCACCTTGGCCTTTGCTGAGCATCCACTTGGCCACCTGCGGATTGCAAATTTGATTATAAGATTCTTGGAAGAGGAGATCAATATACAGAAGAATTATACTCTTTACTCAATAGTACAGTTAAACAAATCTATCACCACCAATATAAGAATTCCGACAGTTGGCAGGAGGTGCAGGCTATCATCAACAGGCACCAATATTCTACTAATGCAGTGTAAAGGGAAATAAGGAATCAGTTAACAATATTGGTGCATTCTGCTCGAGCCAACCAAAAATACTTTGCAGCATTTTGGAAACGCCTGCGTGACACTTTTGCTTCAGATCCCAGATTTTGAGGTTTTCATTTAAGACACAGTGGCTTCCAATCCCCACCATCAAAGTTTCACTAGAACTGCAGTTTGATCATCCAAGCCCAAGAGACAATTGATGATGACTTCAAAATTTAATTAACATAACTGCTTAATGTTGCCATTTTGAAAGAAAACCATCAACCACATGCAAATGATTTACATGACTTTTTCTTCCTGTGTAAAAATTACACATTACACATATATACATCTATATCATACCCTAAACCCCATATGCGTGCATTGATATAAACATATATATATACCAAATACAACAAGAATCAATCCTAGAATTCCATAGATGATTTCAGCAGCCATAAGTCCATAATAAGTGTACCCATTCACATATATATATAACCACAAAAGAAATGTAAAAACTATTCAAGCTGCATACTTGAATAACTCGTGTCCACTGACCCCTTTTTCTTAAAATTCTTAGAGCTTTAGCTGCAGCAATCAATGGAAATTCAGTTTCCCAAGCTATCCATTTATCTAAAGCACCGTATACAGCCTCCTTTTCATTTGGAAGTCCAGAGATCTGCACCATTGAAGTTTTTTCTTAGACAAGGCAGTGTAAAGAGACATCAAAGTGATCCAACAGAAGATAATATCGGTTAATACCCATCAAAACTCTTCGTCCTTTATTTTTAATCACAGAATAGAATCTTTCGAGAAAAAAAGGGATCCAAAAGTAATAATAAACGTAAAACATACAATGCGAACAAGATTTAGTGCTTTCTGCCCAGACATAGCTGAATCTCTTTTCTGCCACAAGTGGTGTTCTTTTCTTCCCTTCTTCTTTATCACCATCCCAGATTTCCTATCAAAGAAGATAGAAACACCTTCAAATATCAATATCCATTACATCCAGCAACAGGGGCACTCACACCTAATCCGAAAAAGGTGATTAGAAGGAGGTAATACTATTGTATATCCAAATAATGAAGAAGTCCAACTAATGATGCAACAAGTTTAGAATTTTAGGCTTCACCTACTTTTCGTTGGATCCGAGCTCTGAAGTATTGCCATTGAAGGTTGTATCGCTAATATCTTTTATTCTCCTAACCTAATAAGGCAAGCAAAATTATCAAAATAAAACCCAAGAAATTCAGCTGAAAATAAGTTAACCACAATAGTTTGTTAGTTTGCCTAACCTTTTCAGCGCAAGTGACAAAGCTTGTAACTTTCTGCACGGATGGAACCCCATACTTGAAGCTGCTGACCTTCACGCCAGGGTCCAATCTAAAACTTTAGAGTAGAAAAGTAGAAACAAAAACACAAACAAAGTCACCAGCCATAAAAGGCAATAGGTGACTGCAGAAAGAGTATGCTTACCTGTGGCTGCCCAGCTGAGATAAACTGAAGTGTAACTTTCATTGCATTACAGTAAGAAACCAACATTGTTCGGCTATTCAACCAGCGAACAGATGGACTATGTACATTAGTATGGAGCCGCCAGGAGAGAGCCTATATCTGTCTATAATCTCAATATCATATTCGCAACGGGAAGAGTAGCCTCTGGAGAGAGAAATACCAGAAAGAAACTCTAAATCTTTTACAGCTTTTAAAACACTCCTCAGCAAATCAGTAAATCACATAATTAAGGCCACATCAATTGGTCATTTCCATTTTCCAGTATTGAACAAAAGACTAAACAGTATACGAATGACCATATATCCCTCAAATTCTAGAACATTAAAAAAAAAAAAAAAGGTTCACTACCATAGTTCCCTAATTCAGAGATAAAAACACAACAAAACAACCGCAATTTGGATGTAAATTTAACATCTTCCACTAAGTAATCTTTTTCCATAGCACAATCAAAGATGAATCACAGACAAAAAAAAAATCTCAGAAGGGATACCCGAAAACAGAGCCTCTAACTTAGGCAAACAATTACAGGGGTAGCCAGAGTCAGTAAACCAATAAAAGAAACATGAAACATGAATACAAACTGTAATGTGGGCAAAGAATAGAGAAGCGTTTACCAGCAGCAATTCAACTTCTGATGGCTTCAGACAAGTCCCAGAAGTCCTCCAAGACGATTTCTTTTTCCAACCACAACAATTACTGGGGATACTGTATGTTTTTTATTGCTTGAAAGAGATAATATGAATGAATGAAAATGAATGATTATTTTTTGAAAGGGTAATGAATGAATGATGATTTTGCTTAAACCGGATACTGTTTAACTTTTTTTTGCCCTTTTCTTTTTTCTTTTCTTTTGGGGGTCTATTAAGCTATATTGTTGAAACCGAATCCGACCGGGGAGTCCAACCGATTCAACCGAGAACCGGAGACTTGAGCGGGTCCGAATTTAGAGAATAACCGCCTTAGTTAAAACCGGTCAAACTCGCGGTTGAATTTCGAACCGATAAGAACCGGCTGACCCCGGTTTCAATTTTTCAGTTTTACATTTTTTTTTCCTCCACTTTTCAGGCTATTTAACCCAAACTCAATTTTTTCCCTTCAACCTTTTAAATTCTGTGTGTTCATATTACGAGAAATTAGCAATTAAAAGGAAAATTCAAGGAAAAAAGAAAAGAAATGGAGCTTCATAAATTGAGTAAACAAAGGAAAAGTGACGAAGAAGAAGATTGAAGTAAAAAAAATTCAAAGAAAAACCGAAGAAGACGTAGAAAAGAGGGGAGAATGGAAAAGCCGGGTCGGGAAAGGAGATAGTTTTTTTACTTTAGTTTTATTATTGACATAATTGCAGATTGAACTTATAGTTTTAGATTTTAACACAATGGTCGTTAAAATTTTCAAAATAAATTGTTTGAAACTTGAATAAATGTTTCACGATAATGGTCAAATAATAATTTTACTTATTAATCATTTAAAGTATAAGCATTATAGTTACGCAATATTTCATGATCTTTAATATAATAGAAATGCTAACAATTATGGATATTTACATATTGATTCTCTCTTTTTAATTTTTAAATTAGCTAAATAACTTTTTCAAATCCATACTCTTTTTTTTCATATAATTTGACTATTTGAACCTGTTATCAATCTAATATTTTCATATGAATGCATGATAAATCCTTTTTTATGAGTAAATAGAAAGGGTGTTGATAAATTGAGAACAATTTTTTTATTCTGAGAGTAAAATTTAAAAAATATCTATATTACCCTTATACAAATTTCAAGGGATTAACCCGATATCTTTTCCCTTAATTTCTCCTTCTTGACGGCAGCTCATCTTCGATTGCAAAGGACGATGGCTCTATACTTCCCACTTTTTTTTTTTTTTTTTGCGTTTTCTTTAATTCATGGTACCTTAATCCACTTTATAATCTCAATCCAGAAAAAACTTTAAATCCTTAAGATCTCTATCTTTGGCGGCTTGAAAAAGGAAAAAAAAAAAAACAATCTAATGAGCTGATGATGATTGGATTTCAGTTTCTTTGATTTCATGTATTTTTTTTAGAGTAGTGATACGTACATGGAAAAAATGATAAGGAAAATTTACAAGGAATGATATCTCAAACATCAAAACTAGACCCTAACTTTAAATGTTTGTTTTTAAAATAGATGGGTGAGATCAATTCCTTGTACTTATCATTATTCTTTTTTTTTTATACAATAATAATTTTGTTGCTTACAATAGTATTCTATTATTCAGTAAAAAAAATTAAATTCTTTGTTTACTGGATCAGTTTGATTGTACGCCTCTACAGTTTTTTCTAGCTTTAGTTAGATTTTATGATTTATTAGAGAGAAAGGAAAAACTTTTGCAAACAAAGACGTAGACTAAGAACAGTAATTTTGATGTTGTAACGTGGTCTGAATTACCACCCTTTTGTCAATCGCAGCTGGACGATTCCCAGCAATCGTAATAAATTTCATTGTCTTATAAAAGAAGACGTAGACTAAGAAAGGAAGGGAGAGCATCAAGGGGAAAAAATTGACTGAATGCCTTAGAACATCTCCAATGCGTCCGCTCGATTTGGAGGAGTTGGATGCTCCAACGGACTCCGCCCCGCTCCGCCATCCCCGCCGAAGAGCTCCGCTCTCTGCCATGGCTGAAGGACTTCTGTTCATCCGCTCCTTCATCCAGGTGGTCTCCATCTCCTTTATTTCTGATTTTTTAATTCAATTTTTGGGGTTAAATTAGGGTTTTTGTTGGGCTTTTGATATTTTTGGGCCAATTTAGTTCACCTTAGGCCGTATATATTTGTAACTTTTAGTAATTTGTTAAGTTTTGGGTTATTTTGAGCCTTGTATTTTATTTGGTAATATGAGTTAGTTATTGTAATTCACTAAAATATATTATTACTTATTAATTCTTAAATAGCATAACTAAAAATATAAATAAACATAATATATGAAATATTTAATATGATTAATATTTTACCATTACCAATTTTTTTAATATGATTAACATTTAATAAACATTGTTAGGTATATTTAGTTGAATCATATATTGAAAATTTAATTTAATAATTAATACTAATAATAGTAATTTAATTTATTGCTCATATTTCTAAATTTATCCTTTTCACTAATTGAGAACATCAGAATGCATATTACAAACACTATTAATAATAAAATAAAATTATTAATAAAAGAATATAGAAAAATATGTGTTTAGAGGGAATTATAGAAGGAATGGGTTAAAGATATTGACACTGTTAAAACTGTAAAAGTAGTGGCATTTCACTGTAGCCACTCTAAATATAGAGTTTAGAGGGATGTTGGGTTGGAGATGCCCGTAATAAATTTCATAAGGTTAATACGGGTATTTTAAAAAAATTTGTTCTCAAAATAAAAAAAGTTGCTCTCAATTTATCAATTGCGAAATAGAAAGTATTTGTAAGTTGTCAAGGAATAAAAATATCGGTATTTATGATGTAAAATATATTTTAATATTTAAAATTATTTATGGCGTCATAATAATATTACTGAATTTTTTAGAGCAGTCTAACCGGTCTGAACCAGTGACTAGTAGAGCTAACGGTTTGCTCTCCAGTCCGGTTTTCAAAACATTCTCCTTTTTTTCTTTTTTTCTTTTTTTTTGAAACGGTACATGTATATTAATTCAAAATATTTATACTTTTGTAGTTTAGCATAAACTAATCATGGAGATCAGGGGCACTATTCCTACTAACTTAATTAAAGTATAAGATTGAATGTAGACTTTAATTGATATTTTACAATTATTGTACAAGGTTCTTCTCTTAAGCGCATGAATTATTTTATTTTTTTCTCAATCATTGTCATTATTATTTTCTTTAATTCCTTCCATCCTAAAAAAATAATTTACATCAATACAAATTTTAAAATTTAATATAAAATATTTTGTTGGAGCAGAAGGCGCATAGCTATATGTATTGGACTTTTCAGGATTATGTTTTACATATCTCGATATTTTTAATTTTTATTAATTTTTTCAGTAGTGATATTTTTTTATTTTATTTTTTTTTGACACAATGAAAGAGGCCAAATCCTAAATTTGAGAGAGTATATCAATAAAATTGTATTTCAACCACAGTCTAAGTTTATGTGGTGTCCGAGCTGCAATACTTTGCACTAAGCCATACAATCAGCAAAATTAGCCCGTTTGATTTTGATACACATGATGCAATCTAACAACCCAATATCTACCCAGAAAATTCTGAATGCTGCGGACAATTCCACCATGAATATTAGTACTCCCTCTGTCCTATAATTATTGTCCAGTTTGGCTTTTCATTTTTAGTTTAAATAGTATTAAAAGTGAAATCTCAAACTGGACAATAATTTTGAGACAGATGGAGTACATAATATCCAATCCAACTTTGAATGCTCGTTAATTTAATTACATGATTTCCAATCCAACTTTGATTTTTATTTTTATTTTTTTTGAAAATCCAACTTTGATCTTAATTACATGCGTTTGTTGTTGTTTTTCTTCTTGTTTTTGTTTTTTTGTTTGGTATTCAAATCAAGTCTTGAAGTTTGAAAGAAAAAGATTAGTTTAAAAATCAAAACTTTTGGCGACAGATGAAGAGATTAATCAAATTTTTTAAAACCAAATAGATAATTTTTGAATCTCCAACACTATGATCGCAGTGGAACAGTAATGATTTCATTTCTCTCATTGTGGTCTCTTCTCCAAACTCATTTCTCTCATGAGTCAAAAGATCGCCTGTTTTATAAGCTTTTTCTTTTTTCTTTTAATCCTCTAATTGTCCATTGTTTTTAACCATAGTACGTAAAATACACAATATTAATTAATTAACTATGGGACAACAGTAGCAGTGAACTAAAGATTAGAGGAGTATTATTTATTAATGCACATGAACTTCAGATTCTAATCCAAAACCGTTAGCAACTAAATTAGATACCGGACGAGTAAATTGAGGTTAAAAAAAAAAAAGTCTAAGCACCTCAGTTTTAAAATGTGGAATGTGGATATAATGGGCAACACAATTGTAGATACATATGGTTTTATGTCTTCATTTATTCCCTTTTGTTGTTCTTTTTGTGGATTAACGTATATCTTGATGTATACTCAGAATAATTGGATGAAATTAATCTGATGGTTAGGGATAAAAGTATCTTTCAAAATAAACTTGAATATTTGAATGACAAATTCAAACAAACAATAACATTTATGGAATATGGTCCTCATAGTAAACACTATAAATATGAACTAATGCTATCATCCTCATTATTATCGTTCAAAACTCTCAAAGAGCATTGAGTAGCCAAATTTTTTCTTTTTTCCCAAACACAATAAACAATGAATCTTCAATTAATTACACTCTTCTTCCTCCATTTCTCAATTGCCTACGCTACTCAACGAGATGTATGTATTGTTGGTTGCTTAACACCCTTAACTTAAATCTCCCTTCTTTTCTTTTTTTTTGTTCATTATCTAACAATATTATTATTATTGAATATGATTTGCAGGTTTACATTGTTTACTTAGGCGGCCATAACGGAACTAGAACTGCAAATGAGATTGAGGAATCGCATCACACATTTGTTTCGTCGGTGAAAAACACTACAGAAGAAGCAAAATCATCAATAATTCATAGTTATCAAAAAGTTATCAATGGTTTCTCTGTGCTATTAACCTCAGATGAAGCATCCAAACTCTCTGGTACTTAATTGAAATAATAAAGTGTTTCTAAAGTATGAATACACATCATGTTTGCATTTTTTTTTTAATCAAAGTTTCAGTTCATTACATAAGACTTCGGAATCTAGAGCATTATCCTTATGTTGGCAAAGAAAAAAAAAATTACTCCACAGATTACCCTCATTTTTTACAAACAAACATATTCACTATTTTTCTCAAAAAAAAAAAATATTCAGTATTTTAAATCCCACTAATCGTAATATTATTAGGTAAATGATTTTCTTTCTTTTTGTTCAGAAAACTTGATCTTTTACTGCCGAAGTAATATATATTTTTCTTACATATAATACGTTTTACTTTTGACCAAAAAGAGAAAATGTTAAGAATTTACTTCATAGCCTCAAAAACGAATTTTACTTTTTTATTTTTTTGTGGAGGGCCAGAGTTTGAAGTTTGTACATGTATAATTGGAACTGTTTTGGGAATATACAGAAAAAGATGGAGTTATTTCGGTGTTTAAAAGCGAGGTTAGAAAGATGGCAACAACTCGATCATGGGAGTTCATCGACGAGCTCAGCTCAGAAGACGATGATCAGGAGGAGTTCGGAAGGCAAGAATTATTGCAACAAACAAATAATGGACAAGATATTATCATTGGAGTCATAGATTCAGGTATACTACATTATTTTATCTTATTTTCATTATTGTTATTATATAACAATCAAGTAAGGCCGGATGAGATTAAATTGGACGCACTCTTTTCTCCCTTTAATAAAACAGGAGTATGGCCGGAATCTAAAAGTTTCAATGATGACGGAATGGATCCGATCCCAGAAAGATGGAAAGGAACTTGCGAAGCAGGAGATAAATTCGACACATCCCATTGCAATAGGTGAGATTATGTTATTTTTTTATTTTTCATTTTTATTTTTATTTTTTATTTTTTTTGCAGCACAAAGTCCTGCTCCTTTTGTTAGATATTTTAAGAATCAGTTATGCATTTACACTTCAAGATTTCAGTCTCCAACAAAACTAAAACCACAGCTAACAAGAGAAGTACAAATTAGGTCTTTTGAAAGCTTTCAATTCGAACAACATTTTGATCAACATTGTTATGCATTTACACTTCAAGATTCAGCCTCCAATAAAACTAAAACCTTGCCAGTAGCCCCGAATTCTTCTTCTCAAACCGATGAAAGTCCAAACTTTTGATCAAACCCGTACCAAAATCAACTCATCCAGCAAACTCAGATGAAACAATGATCCCATTACACTTTAAACGAGATTTTTGGTACTATAATATAGTAAAAAAAAATTATTATTTTTTTTTTAAAAAAAGGAGTTGCTTAAACTGAAATCTTTAAGTTTAACTAACTACCTCACAACAAAAATCGTTTGAGGCACTGATCAAACCAAACAGAAAGAGAAAGACCAACAAACCAATCAGTAGAATCCAATTTGTACCTAAAAGATCATACAAATTAATGGGTTTTTTCTTTCTTGGAGTTATAAAAATTTAACAAGGCCTCCACTGGTAAAATTCGGCACCAGAAGGCAGAAACAAGACATGCCCCCCTTCAAGGAAAACTTTATCTATGTTTTTCTTCTTCTAGTCCTTTACAACATTAATTATCATGCTTGCTTAGTTATCTTAATATCAAGTGGTCGTCGGCTAATTTTGTAGGAAATTAATTGGAGCAAGAAGTCATTTGCAAGCTTTTGAGTCGCAATATGAACAAGTGAATCAAAACTTAGATTATAGATCACCACGAGACAGTGCTGGTCATGGAACCCATACAGCATCCACGGCAGGCGGTCGTCGAGTGCCGGATGTTTCTTTCCGCGGCGGTCTTGCCCGAGGAGTCCTTTCCGGAGGGGCTCCCCAGGCTCGCATTGCTGTATACAAAGCATGTTGGCAGGTCGATCATGGATACTTCAAAGATTTCGAGTGCTTCGACGCCGATATGCTTTCGGCATTTGATAGTGCCATTGCAGACGGTGTTGATGTGTTGACCATTTCAATTTATAGCCACAAAGTTGGGTCATACCTGAAAGATGGCGTTGCTTTAGGTTCTTGGCACGCTTTCAAGAACAATATTTTGGTTGTCATGTGTGCCGGGAATGACGGTCCAAACCCATCCACCGTTAAAAATATCGCACCTTGGATACTAACCGTTGGTGCCAGCAGTATTGACCGATCTTTCGATTCACCAGTTATATTAGGAAATGGTACTACAGTTGAGGTAATGATAACATCTTCATATATATAATGATTACTCTCCTTTCATTCTTTAGGAATCAACTTCAAATTAATATTGTTAATTAAATTGATGCAGGGACAAGGTTTGAGTTCGACAAAAATGAACAAATTGTACCCTTTAGTCTTTGCTGGAGATGTTGAAATACCTGGCTCAACAGACCGGACAACCACAGGGTAATTATTGCAGTAGTTACATTAATTAGGACATTTAAATTAAACTGAAGTTTTTGAACATTTGATTGTGGCATGCAGATATTGTAATCTAGGTACATTAGACCCTCTCAAGGTTCAAGGAAAGATTGTGCTATGTTTGTCAACGGAGAATTACTTCCTCAGAGCAAAAGCATTGGTTGTGAAGGAAGCCGGTGGAATTGGAGTTATAATACAAAGTTCGTACCGCGGAATGATGGGAATACCAGCAGAACCTTTTCTGATTCCAGGAACAACGGTATCATATCATGGCGCTCATGATATCCTGGAATACATAAGAAATAACCAATATCCAACCGCAATGGTTGCTCCAGCCAAGACCACCATAAACACTAAGCCAGCACCCGTTGTTGCCGGCTTCTCTTCAGTCGGTCCCAATAGCTTTGATGCCGAGATTTTGAAGGTACTCATTTGCATTTCCTATATCTACCTTTTCGAGTTTTTTTCTGTTTGCTTTGATGATGTAAAAGCATATGTTATTTCATATCGCAGCCTGATATAATAGCACCTGGAGTGTCTATATTGTCGTCATGGACAGAAGGAGGAGGTCCCACTGATTTATATGCAGATAATCAAGTTGTGAAATACAATATTGAGTATGGAACTTCCATGTCCACGCCTCATGTTGCAGCTGCAGCTGCCCTTATCAAAGCAGCCCACCCTGAATGGAGCCCTTCTGCTATAAGATCAGCTCTTATGACCACTGGTAAATTCATTTCGTTTTGTCTCATTTTACTTTCTTTTTTTTTTTTTTTGTTGATTGCAATGACGGGATTTGTTTCTTTTCTTTGTTGAACATTACATTAACAGCCAGGCAAAAAGACAACACAGGTCAATTAATAAAGAATCAATTTGGAAATGAAGCAACACCTTTCGAAATGGGGGCTGGCTTCATCCGGCCAACAAAAGCAATTAATCCGGGTCTCGTTTATGACGCCGGCGTGCCTGATTATTTATGGCTTTTATGTAAGAGTGGTGATGATGTGGATCAGGTGGACGACGGGGAACAATGCCCTTCATATTACGGGGATCCATCGCGTTTTGCCAATTATCCGTCAGTTTCGGTTCATAATATGAAGCCAGGTACTGCCTCGGCGGTACCTAGGACAGTGACAAATGTCGGTGATGAAATAAGTATATACGAGTCTTATGTCAAAACTCCGCAAGGGTTTGAGGTTTACCTTGATCCGCCAAGTTTAGTGTTTGATCCGGACACGAAAACGCGACAGTTTCATGTGCACATCACTAGAGTTTCTGGACAACCCGGAGATGTTGCATTTGGTTGGTACGAGTGGAGGGATAATTCTCATACCGTCAAAAGTCCAATTGTGGCATCATAATAATATTGGGGTTTTCTCTTCATGTGAAACATTGTAGATGAATAAGTTATGCCACTTAATGATCATCTTAGTAGAGTACATCAGTTTGTAAAGAATCTAAGCACGCTTGAGTTTGGTATGTATAGCACATTTCCATTCCAGAAATTCGATTTTTCCTGTTGTTCTATAAGTTTTAACGGACGATGCTATGATTGGGTATCTTTTGGGCCAAACATCATTTGGGCCGTAAAAATGAAACTTACGTTGATGAGACGGAATAGAAAATTACCTCCACCACTATACATCTATCTGCATCGTTTTCTCCAAAATGTAAAACCTTATTAGAATTTCAAAATAAAAGATAGTAGAAGATTTTTTAAAAAAAAATATGATTAAATGAAACACTTTAAAGTTTCCAGATTTCTGACTTATCTCAACTATATTTTGGGGATTATTTCATGCGTTTAAACAATGTAAAGATTAGCAGTCTACGGCTCAATACTCAAATTAAATTTGTTGAATTAAAATAAATACTCGTACAATAATAGTTGGTAAGAGTATATCTGAATTTTTTTAAGGGTGTTAGTTTTTGAAGCCACCATCTTTACTACTCAAAGCCACCTTAAAAAAAATTGGACCATTTTGCCCTTGACATTTCAAACTTCAACCAAAGGAAAAAAGAGAGAAAACTTGAAGTCACCTTCCTTCTAAACCCCAATTTGAAGTCTAATTTGATCCAAAATTGATGGTAACACGGAAGAATCAAAGCGTGAAAGAGCCGATCTCATCACGAATACGTTTTTTTTTTAAAAAAAAATTTGTGAATTGTAGAAAAAAAAAAAAAATTCTAGCCGCCGGAACGGCCAAGAAAGCCGTCCGGCAGCAAGACCGGGACGCGCAAGAAACGCGTCCCGGTTCAACCCGGAACGAGCAAAATGCCCGTCCGGGTTGAACCGACGCGTTTCTTGCGCGTCCGGCCGAGCCGCCGGACGGCTTCCATGCCCGTCCGCGGGTAGAAATTTTTCTTTTTTTTTCTTATTGTGTGGCCGCCGGACGGCCATGGAAGGCGTCCGTGGCGCGTTCGGGACGCGTAAGAAACGCGTCCCGGTCGCGCCGCCGGACGGCTTCTCTGGCCGTTCGGCGGCCAGAATGCTTTTCCTTTAAAAAAAAATTTGTTTAATTCGTTATTAGTGTTTAATTATGTTTAATTTAATATAATTAGGGTTATAATGTAGTTATTTATTAATTAATAGTTTATGATTTAGATTGAGGTTCTCTATTAGTTGGTTATTTAGTTTAATTGTGTAAATAATTTAATTTGATTAGTTTGTAAATTAGTTGAGTTTAAAAGACTAATTTAATTAATAGTAGATTAGTTCACTACCTAATTAGTTTAATTAATTAAATTACTTAATTTAAGTAGTTATTAAAGTACTTAGATTATATTTTTAATTTAATTAATAGTAGATTAGTAAAGCTAATCTAATTTGTTTGTAATGTAATTTATGATTAATTAAATTAATATATTTTGTAAAATAATTGAGTATTTTGGTCTACACCCATATTTGGACATACCATGTATAAGCTGTTTCACTCTATCGCTAAGGCCCTTCGTGGGATGATCTTCGTCAAACAATTCATGCTTATGCATTCCAAACTCACCAGGATACACCAAAATGCGCCACTTTCCATCAACTAAGTGCACATATAAATTAAATTTATACCCAGTATTTTGGATTAATTAAATTAAACACACATTCCAATCATTTAAAAAGATATACAATTATAATAAATAATAAAAAAATATTCATTTACAGTAAAAAGATTAATTATAAAAATACAAAAATCAACTAATCCAAAATTATTTACTAAATTAAATTTCCCAATACCTACCTAAATAGCTAGAATTCATAATTTAGCGATTAATTAAATATTTAATTAATTACATTTCCAATACTTAATTAAATACTTATTCCACATAATTCTTTAATTATTTAATTCCCTCCGAAATAAATATTATTTCTAATTAATTAAACCTAAATAAATAAATAAAATTCGACTAATTAAATTACTTAACATAACTAATCAAATTAACAAATAAAAATAATAATATTATTACTTAATTAAATTAACATAACATGCAATAAATAAATAAAATTCAACTAATTAAATTAACAAATAAATTAATAATATTCCTACTTAATTAAATTAACATAACATGCACGAATTAAAATTAAAAAAATTAAAAAATTAAAAAATTTAAAAAAACTGTTCACCGAACCGGCCCGTTCGGTTGGACCGGGTTCAATGGCCGGACGCGCAACACACGCGTCCGGGTTGAACCGGGGACGGGCAAAAAACGCGTCCCGGTTATTGAACCGGACGCGTTTGTTGCGCGTCCACGGTTCAACCGGGACGTGTGTGCCGCGCGTCTAGCCGTGAACGGGGACGGGTTTGTTGCGCGTCCGGCCATGAACCGGGACGCGTTTGTTGCGCGTCCCCGGTTCAACCGGGACGGTTTTCTTGTTCAGCCCTTTTTTTTTTAAGTTTTTTTTTTTTTTGTCTTGTGAGTTACTTATTTTGTTTCTCTCTCTAAAGTCATAAATTACAGGGGCAAAATCGTCCAAATATTTTTTAGGTGGCTTTGAGTACTAAAGGGGGTGGCTTTAAAAATCCATCCCCTTTTTTAAAACGAAATGGTAGTACTTGTCGGGTAGTATGTCAAGTGTTGGCATTTTCGTTTAATTTCAAGAACAAGAATCTTGAGAGGATAATATTATTAGCGCTCTCTTGCCAAGTGTCGAATAGTGAAATGATAATAAATGGATTTTAGGGGGACAAAGAAGCAATAAAAAAGTTTATTTATAAACAACGAAGAAAAGGGTGAGGTGGCGTGAAAAGAGTGGACGAAGAGATTCCTTGAACCTGTGACGTGCGTGGGCCAAAATCAATTAGAACACGACACGCGTCATTCTCTATGGTTTTGTCGTCTTCGAATGGACTGACTGATTTATTTCAGGTTATCAGTTCTCACCCACTTTGTTTGCTACCGAAGCTCTTGCCGTTGGATGCGACCAGAAATGCCTGAACGGTAACGAATTTAGTATAATAAACAAAATACTCCCTCCGTCCCATAATTATTATCCAGTTTGAGTTTTCATTTTTAATTCAAATTGTGGTAAAAGTGAAATCTCAAACTGGATAATAATTTTGGGACGGAGGAAGTAATCATTTTTGTTGATATCAACTTTTTTTGTACTCATTTATTTTATATTCATTCAACTATTGTTAATAAAAAAAAACGCATTTTCTTTAACGGCAAATTAGTTTTTCTATTGTTATACTCCCTCTATTCCAAACTTATTGTTTAATTTGAAATTTCACTTTTTGTACAATTTGAACTAAAAATGAAAACTCAAACTGGACAATAATTATGGAACGAAGGGAGTAGCAATTTGATTTTAAATGAATATATTACTACCTCCGTCCCCAAAAAAATTAGTCCACATTAAGTTTTTAAATTTGTACTAAAAACAATACAAAACTCAAATTTCAATGTGGACTATTTTTTTGGGACGAAGGAAGTACATTAAGCTTATATTACCTAATTAATACCGTCAAGCATCTTAATAATTTAACAGAAGTCACCTTTGCTTTGTGCGTGGAAACCTGCAGGGGCTTACGTGGAAAAAGAAAAAGACAGTACTAATTTTAATTTCATTTTTCAGATCATGGAAAAGGATGTACTGTAACGAAGTGAAAACGTAGGTGGAGGATAAAATTGACTAAATTGGATTTTGCATAGGTCAATGTCAATAAACAAGAAGTTTAACGCAAGAACCTTTCTTAATTAAGTAGTACGTAATTATTTGTTTAATTAAAGTTTGGCAGGACACGTGTTAGCTGGGAACTTGTATATAAGCCAAAAATATTGCACAGGTGTTGGTAGCGACAGCCATTGCTTCTTTCCAAATAAAACAAAAGTGTATACATATAAAATAGTTTTACGTACAATACACAATCAACCCGTCACGTAGAGACAGATAAAAAAGAAAACAAAGAAAAACATTTTTTTGACTATAAAATGTTACTAAAATACAAAAAAGCATGGAATTACACATGTCTTCATTTTCTTTTGCCTAGTGATAAAATGTACCGGTCCCAAAATTGATGGTAGTTCAAGCGAAAAAATGATGATTACAGTCTAATTTAAATTTTTAATTTTAATTCAATTTAGAATTTAGATGAAAATCCAAACTGTCTAATAATTTCAGAATCGAAAAAGTACTTGAAACAACTATGGTATATTAGATAACACATTATAATTGAATAAAATTATAGCTAATGTTATATATTACTCTTATTTTGTTATTTCTCCTGTCTCAAAATAATTTAATAATAATGTGTTATCCAATATGCCATAGTTGTAAGATGAAGTACACCTTCATTTTTTTGGTACAAGTACACCTTCATTGTTTTTAGTTTTTTTTTCCCCTACATAAAACGAGTTACTCCTAATAATGCTTGAAAATTGAAATAGATGGAAAAAAATAAAGTACCGATTCAATCTTACGTTGCAACTGAAGAGTTATTATCTTTTTTTATATATATACATTATTTCTAATTTGGGAAAGTCAATGCTTTCATTTTCATTAAATCCACTATAGTTGCCTACATAAAAATTAATCAAACTCCTGGATTTTCTTCCAAAAACAAACAATTAAATATTACAAAAAACACGACTATGAATCCATTTTGGTGGATGAAACAATAACCACATAGCTAGCTATAGATAAATAATCAGTCTCAGTCTCACACGCGAAACAGTTGCTTGATAAAGAGAAGCACACTTACATAATAACATCTACGTGTTATAGTTTGAAAATTGCCATTTATGGGTACCTAAGGTCAAACAAAAATGGATAAAATTTCTGTATATCAACCAATTAAAGTTCTTTTTACTACAACCTATCTTCCGGATGGCAATTTCATATTGGTCTAACTACTTTTTTTGGGCAAACATGCATATGTGTTGATGTGTTTAAGGATAAACACATTTGACTTTCCCAAGATAAAAGATGCATTTTGTACGTAATTTCCATGTTCTCGTCCGAGTAACATTATGTACCGTACATACCAACCAAGTTTAATTTAATCAAGGGGCTACATCATATAGCCATGTAGTATTATTGTTAAGTCTTCATGAATTACTGGTAGAGTATTATTCTTAGATTTAAAGGCACCGTGTTTACGACATCATTGGGGGAGGGGAAAAAAAAAAGTGAATGGTTTTATTATAATTTGTATCCATATATAGCACAATTGGGTGAGTCTTTGTTGCCTTTTTCTGAGACAAAACTAGTTCAAAATTCATATTTTAGTCCAGGATAATATTTTTAGAAATGGTATATTGAATTTGACTGTATGTCATAACTTGGGAAATAGATTACACGGCTTCATTGGTACTTTAGTCGTTATGTTCAAAAATTCATATTTTAGTCCAGGATAATATTTTTAGAAATGGTATATTGAATTTGACTATATGTCATAACTTGGGAAATAGATTATACGGCTTCATTGGTACTTTAGTCATTATTTTGTATATGCCTCTTGAATTCCAAATAGTCGAAGAGTGATTTCAGATATAAAATGCACAAAATTAAAAAAAATGTAAAATAAAAAAAATAAACTTGTGATATTGATGTACTTCGTAGTTCGTATCCCTAATTCGTACGTACTAATCCGGCTCTTTTTATTGGAAGTTTTACCAGCCTAAGAGCATCTCCAATAAACACACCAAAATACTAAATTTGGTGTTTTTATATAAATTTCGCACTCCAACGAAGACATTAAATCAGTGTATTATTTTATAGCAGTGAATAGTATTACACCAAATATGGTGTAAATTGTCAAATACACTATCTTTTGTGCACTATATTTTACTTTGATGTAATTATATATTTGCTATATAGTTTAACTTATAAAATGAATTACGTTGTAAAAATTATATCATATATTTTCTCGAGATCTACAAAATAAGACCCATATTGAATGTAAAAATTTATTTTTAGTCATTATTACAATTGAATATATAAAAAAAATAGAAAAACTTCATATTTCTATAATCAAATAAAAAGAAATTTAAAATTATACTATACCAAATTGTAAGATTTTAATCAACCACTAAAATAAACTTTTAAACTAAAAATATTTAACATTTAGATCTTTTGGTGTAACAAAGTTGGAGTGCAAAGAATTTTGATGTACAAAGATGCTTGAAATATTCTATTTCTATACCAAATTTAGTTTAAATTATAGTGCAATGGTTGGAGATGCTCAAAAAAACATTACAGAAAATAATTTTGGTTCTTCCATGTTTGTTGTAGTTTCCCCTTGCTCCTATACTAGTAGTTCATTGACGTAATTTAATTAACATAGGATACAAAATAAAAAACTGATAGCCTCGCATTTGTATATGTACTCTGATGAACTATAAGTTTAACCGTAGAAGTATTTGTAGGGGCTCTTTTTGCTTCTTTTGGTGAACCCAAAAAGTTGTTATTTACGAATTGATTGCTTCTAATTAATGAAGTTAATTAAGCGGTGTTAGAGCAGTTAATATAAGGAGCTCCTAGCGTGTGTTTCACGCTTAAAAAAATACTCCCAACCTCTTTTTTTTTCTGAATTTTTAATTTTTAAATTCTCATGACAAAAAAAAATATAAGTATCCAATAATATTAGTTTTTTTTTGCAGTTCTTCTTCGTAACATTCTTTCAATATTCTTCGGTTCACAAATTCTTCAAATTTTTTATTTAAATTTGCCGTTCAAAAATCAAATCGGTGAATCTCGTTTGAAATTCTCTAAACCTCCACTCCATATTTTAGATTTGCAGTTCGGATCCATACGGTGAATCCTCAGATTCAGATCTGCTGGTAGAAAAAACAAATTTCAAATCTACAAATTCATGTAGGAGGATAGGAAAAGCAATTTTTCTTTGGAGAAAAGCAATTATAAAGCCATAATCTGAGTTCTTCGAAGAAAAGCACGTAAAAAAAACCCGAGATGGCTCATAGGTAATACATATTAATCTCTTAAAGTTTTGTATTTTATACTAGTTGATGATGGGTTTCGTAGATCTAAGCTCGGTAGATCCAATTTGTTTTTTTTTTCATTTTAAAGAATTCATTATTCATCAGTATCAATTAGATTATTCATGAATTTTATAATCTAAAAAATTCGTAATAATTCATGGGTATGGCAGCTGTTATTCATGGATTCATCCGTTGTGTATGGTTATTCATTCGTTGTGCATGGTTAATCATCATGTTGTTGTCGGTTGGAAATCTGGGTTTTATAATCCTAAGATTTAAAGTTACTGCTGTTCATCAATTTGGTTATTAATCCATTCTGTATGGTTATTTATCCGTTGTGTATGATTATTCATTAGGTTGTTGTTGGGTGGAAATTTGGATTATAATCCTGTGATTTAATGTTGTTACTGTTCATCCATTCTGTATGATTATTCATCCGTTGTGTATGGTTATTCATTAGGTTGTTGTTGATTGAAAATCTGGGTTTATAATCCTGAGATTTAATGTTGTTGTTGTTCATTAATTTAGTCATTCACCCGTTGTGTATAGTTATTCATGCAGTGTGTATGGTTATTCATCGCGTTATTGTTGGTTAGAAATCTGGATTTTATAATCATGAGTTTTAATATTGTTGTTCATCAAATTGTTTCTTCTGTCGTAAAAAGAACCATTATTATCAGTATCAGCTAGCTCATTCATGTATTCATCCGTTGAGTATAAGTGAACTCATTCATCAATATCATTTATTGTATGGTTATTCATCAATATCAATGGATTTTTTTCATGTATTTATTCATTATCCATTAATCAATATTTTTGTCAAAGTAGTGTTTTTATTGAATGTAAAATCTCACTTATTGTAATATTTTATTTGTTTGATCAGCGTCAGAGAAATGTTCATCAAAATAAACTCGATCGGTTGGGAAACAAATATTTGACAGAGTTGCTGAAATCAAACAATCAATATAGACGTGTCAAGTATCGGCGATTCCTTCGAAAAGTTCGTTAGCTTAGGTAGACTTCAAGAATTTAAATGTAGAAATAATGACTAGTTTTCAATTCTGGTATAATCTAAATACAAAATTAGAAATTTTATTAGTTTTGTTGCTGACATGAACTCATTGTAAAACATACCCTTGTTATTTCTCTTCATCAAAGTGTTCATTATGTTGGTTGTTACTCATCCACTGATCATATACTATTCATTCAGTACAATTATTCATCTAAAATATTTTAACTTTTACATACAACCATGTAAGTATCTTATTTATTCAGACAAGTTCTGAAATTCATTATTAAAAGAAAAATTAGTCATCCGAGACATAGTGTTATTTTTCCATAATAGTATATTTATTTATTCAGAACACTATTGTTATTCACGTGTAAGATTTGCAGCCTTATTCATCTACATGAATATCGTTATTTTATTAAAAAATTAATAAAAATTTCAAAACAAGTGTGTGCTGAAAAATAAGTGTACGTATAACTAAAATTGTTCAGAAAAAATATAACAAAAAAATTAAAAACAAATATGTACTAAAAAATAAGTAAGAGTATAACTGAAATTTTACGAGAGATAAAATCAACTTGCTTAGAAGAAGAGTGTATTGTACTTGATCCTAGGAGCTTCTTGCATCGTACTCTTAGGAGCTCCTTATTATTTGCCGTGTTCGAGTGTATGCATAAAGCAATCAATCAATTAATTAATGAGTGTAATAATCACGATATGGTTTGATTGGGCACGTAAATGAGTGATTAATGAAAACATCATTTTCGAACGCAAACGAGGCTTAGCATACGTAAACCTTTCAAAGCAATAACTTATCCATACCTATCCCAACTCGCCAAATTTTTTCCCCATTTATAGATGGCATGCGCATGTTTATATTGGGAAAATTTTAGGTAACACAACTCCTGTATACCCATAATATTCTTTTAATCCCAAACAATAAGTGCAGTCATGTTTATTAAATGAATATAACGTATCGGAAATGACTTTTTTTTTTAGATGAATGGAGAATTTGTAAGATCAACTTGCGAAGTTAGACTAATATATATTATTCAAAAAGCTATATACTGATGCAATCACAAATTTAAAGTAGATAGCAATTATAACAAAATAATAATAAGTACTTCCTCTGTCTCACAAAAATAATCCATATTGAGTTTTGAGTTTTGTATTATTTTTAGTACAAATTTGAGAATTCAATGTGGACTAATTTTTTGTGACGGATGTAGTATTTTTTTTTTAAGTACATGAAAATTGTCATAGAAAAAAAAAGAAGAAGAAACGTATTCCTATAGTGTGACACCGAAGTAACTCTGTAAGACGAACAAGTTTTTATAATCACTGCATTTTTGGGTTAATATAGAAAACAAGCTCCGGTGGAATGCCGAAACCTGATTAGTTGGAAAAATTAGTAATGTCATTTGTGAGTGCCTAAAAATCCTCATTGCAATTAAGCAATTTCAAGCAGGAAGCGTATTATACAATACTGCATCAAGGAAATATTGGACACAATAGATTCCTAGTATTGGCTAACACACAACGACCCGAAACAGCCCAAGAAAATTTTGCAATTATAATAAATTACACACAACCAAAGCCGTGGCCGACAAGTAACAGAGCTGAAAGCTGGCTTGCTTAATTTAGGCAGCTAAAAGCCTAAATTAAGAGAGCTGCAGTTAGCTTTTAGAGAGAGACAACCAGAAAGCTTTGAATTTATTTAGTCAGAGAAAAGGTGTTGGGGTCCCACACTCAAAAAAAAAAACAAAAACAAATGGGAGTACTCAATACGTTTCGTAGATTCCCCTAATAATTCCTTCAATCATTTCTCCCCCTATAAATTCACCTCCATTTTCTCCAATCCCCAGAGCTCCCAAAATTCCCCCAATTTCATCTCTCTTTCTTCCTCCATTCATAATCCCATACTAATTTATTTAGGAGTACTAATTTGAAAAGCAGAATTCAATGGCGGAAGAATTCCAGGAGTCGGAAGTAATTTTCCAGGATTACGGTATTGTTGATGAAGAAATGAAATCACTGGAATTGAGGAAAAACCTGCAGATGAAGCCGAAGAGGAAGAAGTTGAGGACTAAACAGAGAGCTCTTAATTCTACTTCAACTAATAATTCGTCGTCGGTTCCGGTGAATATCCCGGAGAAAATCTCGTGGTTCCAGCGGGTGGATCCGAATCGTGCTCTGTTCGACGACGATGCCGACGGTGAGATGGAGCCGCCGCACGTGATCATCGGACGGCGGATTGCCGGGAAAATAATGGCATTTTCGGTGTGCACCGGCAACGGGAGAACTCTGAAAGGAAGGGATTTGAGTGAAGTAAGGAATTCCATTCTACGGATGACCGGATTTCTGGAGACGTGACGGACGGAAACAGCATTATTATTATTTCCAAATTCCAAGTTTATTAATTAATTTATTCCCCAGCTGGGGAACTCAAAAACTAGATAGCAAGTTAAAGCAAACCCAAAAAAATATTTAATTTCCATTTTGATTTCTTTTCTACTATTTCCTGTTTCTTTTTAAATAGTAGTAATTGTTAGTACTACTAGTACTCCTTATTAATTAACCTCTTATCATTGTTAATAATCAACTCATTGTAAGGGATATTTCCCAAAAAGAAAAATGCAATTCTTGAATGTAAGTAATAGTATTTCTTTAGAAAATCATTTTATTAGTATATTTTGGGACATGCATTGGCAGAAAATTTGCTGTGAGTGAAGCTTTGTCGTGGGTTATTGTGACAAACCAATTATGAATAAGCTGTTTCTGATGGGATCATTGCCAAACTGCCTTTCTGGGATGATGATTAAAGGGAGGGCCACTTAATCACTGTAATATAGTAGTATATTCCTGTACGACTTTAATCCCCCCAGTCATACTCATAATTTTTCCCTTTGAAAACATTATTATTATTTATTCACCAATGAGATGCGGCAACTTGGCTCATTAGTATATCCTTTCTTTTCTCCTCTAGAGATAAGATAATCTATATACGGTTTCTCAACCAAAAAAAAAAAAAAAAACTGTATACGGTATATCCTTCCATGTTCGATTTTAAAAAATTTTCAAACCAAAAAATAATACTAATACGGTAATACCTAGGGAAAAAAAAAAACCACACGATTCCAGTCCGGAATTTTCATTATTATTATTTTAAAAAAATTGTTTTCGTGGTCGTCAGTTTTCTACTTTCTACTTTCATCCAAGAAGTCAAAAACAAGTGATTATCTTTTGGAAGTCAATTGTCTCCCTCCATTCAGTAGAAGACAGGTGATTATCACGTCTCGTAATTAAAGAAGAGAAAATGCGCATTCTTTTAGTTCGACTTTCCAACAATAAAACCAGTTAAGTAAACTACTGTTAGTGATTATGGCGAAGAGGAGGGGGGGAACAGCAGAAAGAAATGGTTTGAAAGCGAATATGAATCATAGTAGTATATTGTAATGTCATTTCAATGTACAACAAATACCAACAGGTTCGGAATTCCAGCACATCAACAAAATCCATTTGTCCAACTCACTGGTTGCCCCGGTGGTAGATTGGCTATGAAATTTCCTGATTACATCCCCAGTGAATGAACAAGGGAAGAGGGCTATACAAACGATTGTATCGTTTGATGGCAATTCCTGAAGGGGAAAACATAAAATTTCATAGTTAGATAGGATGGAAAAGGAGCAAGAGCAAGAAGATGACATAGAATTTGGCTAAACATTATGGAATTGTCCAACTTACAGTTGTCATCAGTACTGGATCGATCACCTTAACCTTCTGGAACAACAAGGTTGTAGAAGTTGTCACCCAAAAATAAATGCACATCCAAATTCAGACTCTACGGGAAGCTGATGAACCCTTTGTCCTTGGTGCATATGCAAATCTGCTGAGATCCATGTTGCTGGATGACCTTTGCATAATTTGATAAGTCCAATGAATTAGAAAGGTTTACACTGCACCAATGTTAAGCTAGCAAAACAAGACTGTGTACCTGTTACTACATGTGTTCTTTACATCTTTGAGAGGAGCCCGGAGACCACTAGCACGGGAACCATTTGATGTGAATTTAAATGATGAAATCACTGAAACAAACTTTTCAAGAGATTTCTCGGCTATTTCAGAATAATGTCCAATGTGAGAGATGTTACACCCGAATTTTTCTTCTTGCTCCTTCATCTCGCAAGTTGCGTTGCCAAACTCAGAAGTATAATCTGCTGTAAGAAAGTAAAATGTTGCCTGCATTAGAGTGTGCGTACAGTATGTGATACTTTAGGAAGCATCGAACTTTACTTTCATGGACAAGTAGAAGCTTTTTGCTTTTTGATTTCGTCTAAACCAACATGCATTTGTAATAATAGACACAGGAGAAGAGGAAATGAATCATGGAAAAGTCAAGTTACTCTTAATAATTTAGACTAAATCACGTGCCTCCTACTAACATAGAGATGAAACTTCCCTTGGTGGGGAAGGGAATAAAACCATTACGGCCTCAAAAAAAAATGCACAAAACCATACATTTCAAACAAGAAAAAGAACATGCTGAGAATTTATGAAGATTGCAACAAAACTTACAACACAGGAAGATCAGTACCTGTCGAATTTTCCCTGGAATCTTCCTGACATATTCAATGAAAACCAAAAAAAAGGGTTCAATAAATACTTGCTCGTCTCATAACAAACAATATAAAGAACAAGAAAATGATCTGCCCATGAATTTTGGGTAAAAGCACTTACTGCTTCATCGTCAGTGGATGCCACCTTTCTCCTTTTTCTTGCTTCCTCAAGACAACTGTTATCTGCAGAGATCCTAGGAATGGCATATTTATCAATATTTGTAGCTGTGCCATCCTCAACTGTAAAGTTTTGGAGTTTGACAACTGAATGTTCCTGAAAATAGTGATCCCTATCCATTGAATTGCCCTCATCTTTGGTGGATACATTTTGAATTTCATCCGGGCTAGATAAATTCTTGTCACGAGGTGCAACAATTCCATCAACTAATTGGTTTTCATTCTTGCCAATTCTTCCCTTGGTGGATTTGCCTTGAAAATAACGACTTCTTACAACCACATTCTTGTTCACAGTGCTTGATTTTCTGTCACTATAAACTGATGCAAGCCTTGTTGCACATCTGTCACTCACAGCATCCCTATCACTAGCAACCATATCTGTTTCTTGAACGCCATTCAATGTATTTGTTGGCTGAGGCAGAATATATGATCTCCTTACAGTCATGCTTATAAGTTTGCTCTGACTTGGATCTGAGGTGTGTTTCTTCTTATGGAGCCCTGCACAAGGTTTATAGATGGGATCCTGTAAAATGTCACAGTGTGTTTCTCTGTCCTCATTTTCTTCCACTTCGTCTGCTCCTGTGTTCATTGTACATTAATCCGTTAGTAGTGTATCTTTTATTTTCTAAAAGCAATAGGAATGATACATTTACCTGTTTGTGGCTGTGGTACTTCAGAAGCCTCCAAAGCAGTTAAGCACAGTACCTAAAAGTAGGAGCATGAAATTCATCATAAACATAAAGAAAGCTGTTAAGGCAGGTAAATACAACCATGCTTTCGCATACACTTGAAAATTACTTACGGATTCTGTGACTACTGCGGTGGAGTTCATGTTCCCACCAAAATCAGTCTCTGCATTAGGGATTCCGTTGTCTGTGTTTTGAATCTTAGGTGACACTCGCGGGGCCCTATATTTCCTCTTTGCTTCAATAGAAGCAGAACCTTTGTAAATTAAAGAAACAAGTAGCTATACAAGTGCAAAAGGTACTAGTAAAATACTCCCAGAAAAAGAAGAAAAGAGAAGGCTTATGCCATACATGAAAATAGAAGAAAAGTTTCGACCAAAAAAAAAAATAGAAGAAAAGAAATACAGCACCACGCATTAGAAAAACAAAAAAGAAGAGATTAGATTGTGATCCCGTCTACTCATCTTAAATGAGGAAAACCAACTTCGCAACAAATTAGAGCTAGTAAATCAAAGCAAGTGGCACAAAATCAGAGAGTTTCAATCCTTCAAAAGTCTAGAAACACAAATGCCCAAACTTTTGGAGTTCTCTTTTAGGGAAGAGAAGTCCGGCATAATTGAGATTGACACTACCAGCTTTGTGATGCTTGAGAGTACTTCCACATGGTTCTAAATTAAAAGAGACGAACTTCAAAAATCAATTACCTTCAAACAGATAGGAAACCAACTACGCTTGAAAACATCATTACAATCTAGCAAATTGAGCCCATAGATCATACTTGAGATACTCAAAATTCAATCTGTAGTTAGGCATATGACAGGCATATAAACAGATGCAAATATTAAGCCTAAGCTGGGATCCATACATCAAATTAATGAAAAAAGACAGACCAAATATGGGGGACCTGGGCAGTTATCTAACAGAATCCGAAGCATTATATTAAACTAAATATGCCAGAAAAGGATACAAAAGTAGTTAGTTAACAGGTTTGTCTGGGCAGGCAAATCCAGCTTCTTCTTTGCACCTTCAGCTTTGCAATATTTTTCTTCGTAAGATTCCAAGTCCACAATCTCAGCAGAATCATGTTCACCCTAAATTGAAATATAAGAAAGGATTATTTTAAAAAAGAAAATTAATTGGGAGGATACATGTTCACAAATGTTCCAAGTTTAATCAAAACTCAGGCATTTCCTATTTCATCATCAGTTATCTTTACTTTTACCTAACTTTTGCTACCAGAAACTCAACATTTAAATGTTTTAGTACATGAAACTTTGTGACAACTCGCAAGAAGTCAGTCCTGCACCATACCCCCACAAGAAACATTTAAGCAACTCAATCCCCAAATTCAAGATGAAAAATATACACCATGTTGTATGCACTATGTAAAGTTACGCAGATTTATTGGTGAAATTTTGGTGAAAGGAAATTCCTTGCTTCATATGCGAAAACAGAAAGTCAAGTAACGATACAGCTGAACTGTACACGAGTAGAAAACCATTGGGAAAACTATCAGGGAGGACAACACCAAAATGAGCCGTACCTCAAATGGCATTTTAGTGATAGGGTCAAGGTCACCCTTTGCAATAGCTCTAGCTATGTCTTGGGGAATCGATGTTTGCATAATTAAGGAGTGATAACAACTGAATTCAAGATTCAAAGAAGAATGGTAGCCCATGATGTTGTAATTTATAAAGAGCAAAGGAACAATGCAAGAAACAACTCAAGGATATGGGCCTAAAAAGTCTAAATTCCCCTCAAGACTGTTTGGGAGCTCAAGCAAATGTACAATTTCTTCTGCCACTGGATCATAAACTCGTTGATGCTGGAAAGTTAATATTGCCTTCTTGAAAGACTCTTCATAGAGTGGAGATACTGCCACACTAGAGTACTTCAAGTGCTTCAAAACCTGGAAAACCGTAGTTGTGCTTAATGCAAATCTTAGTAGAAGCAGAACGTTAGTCAGTCAAAGAAAAATTCTAGAGACTAACAATGATCCATCAATGGTTAAAGAAACTCCGCATTCTAATGGGTGATCTCCCAAAATAATATTCATATTCATCCACTTACCCTGTCATGACTTTTGAACTTCTTGATCAATGCATGAGCTTTCTTGAGACCCATTCCTGGCAACGATTGCAGATAATCGCATCCACTCAAAATGCACATCTCCAGGATCATCTGCTTCGTAAAGCCAGTGAGAATCAATTCTTTGTTCTGTTGTAGCATGGAAGCACGAAATTCAACTCCTTGTCCAAACTTGTCCATTTTATAGATAATCTGAAACAATTGAAGATTTTAAGAAAAACAAAGGTCATAACCAATTGAGGAAGAAGTACATATTTACACATGAACAAAAATACCAAGTGTATAACAGAACAGAGATTATTCAGGACTTATAAGTAAATGCAACACAGTCCAAAGCAATGCTTGGAGTTTCACAAAGTGACTTACTCTTGGGCAACCAAACGCGATCAGATCTGAATCCTCTGTTATAACTGCATCAACTTGTTTGCTCACTGCCAGGTAGGTCATTTGAGCATCTGCTTCGTAAGGAGCCACAATATACGATACGTTTTCCTGCTTCAAGACCTTCGGCAGATAAAGAACTTAATGTCAGAAAGTTACAGAATTGACCATCAGAAACATTGAGAAAGAGAAAATAGGAAGAATTGATAAACACCCTCATGTCACAACCAAGATATTTGGTGTCAAGGAATGCAAGTATATTACCTGAATCAGGTCATATGCAACTGAAGGTGATATATCAACGGCTTTTTGATAACATTCATAAGCAGCAGTCATGTTACCATTTGACTCATGCTCCATCGCACGGGAAAGGTTCTCCTTCCTTGACCTGTGGTTTTATTGATACAATAATTAGTGAAAATTGTGGAGTGATCGGATTCAGGATCCAACTTACAACTGCAGATTCTGATAAAATCACATTCAATGTAAAGAGAGAGACATGGGTTGCTTGTAGTTTGCATGTAGTATCACATTCATCTTTTACCAAGTGCAATACCTCACACCGATTACAAAAACCTCCACCCCCGTTAGCACCAAAAAAAACTAAAATAACAACTTGTTTCTCTGTTCAGATAACATCAAATAAATAAGAAAGTCTAGATATATTTTCCCTTTCATTAAGCATTTAAATGCCCTGCATACATTGTGTGGAACGGACTCTTCATTGTCGAAGAACCATAAGATCCTATCTTCAGAACTTGCATGCATAAATTTTCTGGTTAGGGGGACAGGACATTAGTTTCAACTACAATCTTTGCAAATAAATGAAGACTTTGCAACTTAAGTAAATCAAACAAGCTAACAGAAGTTGAAACTTCAGAAAAACAGCAAACCTTGCACGTTTGTTCTCTTGGTCAGACTTCATGGGTAAGAGACCTCCATCGAACACAAGGATGGGCTTGATACCATAATGTCGTAGCATGTTTACTCTGTGCATGCAGTACTGGATGTGCCTGAATATTGTACAGATAGAAAAACCTTGTTGAGAATGATTTCCATCTGAAGAATTATAAACATGAACTACAAGTGGAACATAGACAATTTGCTTGATTTCATGGTATGATTTTAACAAACATTAGGACAAGCAAAAATTAATAAAGCTGATGCATTGTCATTAGGGCCAATTGATGTTCCAGCATCAAGAGGAAGGGGGCACCAAAAAAATCAATTGGCCAAACCCGTGCCAGTACAATTCCAGGAGAAAATGTCTGAATTGTTACGTCTTTATTACCCAAAATAAAATAAAAAAAAAAAACTGCAAATTTAGACAAGTTTAAGTAAGAACACAGAACAAGGGGTTTCTTCCTTAAAGACGAATCAGATTCAGACCCACATCGACAAATTCAATCATCCACAGAAAGGGGGCACATTTAGGTATTAATCAGCCGGAAACAACAAATATAAGCTCATTGAATGATCGATAAATTAGAAACTCAAAGGGTAAAAAAAAAACCCACAATTGCTAAATAATTCATCAAATGGAGCAAGAAAGCATAAACAAAACCAGTGTCGCTTGTGGGCATTACATTGAAACATCAATTACAAAGTTTTAGCGGTTAACATTACACCCTGCACAGAACCCAGTAACCCAAAACTGAAAAGAATTCAATTAACCCGACAAAAATGTGGATTTCATAATGAAAGGGAAAGCTTTTTGTATTCATACTTGGAGGTTGGAAGGCCTTTGCAAAGTTCTTTGCTGCAAGAAAGAGCCCCTTTGTGGAGCCACGAATAGGTGTCAACAGCTACAGAGCATCCCTTCAAATCTTTGATGTGTACGGGAAGCATGATTGATTTCAAGAGAGGCAATAGCCCAGTGATTCCCATTTCGAACCCTTTTCTCAGCTCTCAATAACCCTCTCCTCTCCTCCCTCTTGAATTGTGATTTTGAGAAATGGGTTTTGCGGTAAAACGACATTGGGGCGCCAATATTTCCAGCGTTTGGGAGAAAATAAGGGCGATGGCGGGAACTTTTCTAAGCTGAGATTTTTTACCTTAAATAATTAATTGAGGGGTGTAAACCCAAAAAAAAAAAAAAAGATTTGTCTCTAGGAAAAGACAAAACTAAAGAACAGGCTTTTTGGCTTTTATTTGATTATTAATAGATTTGTCTATTGTAAAAAATAAATATAATGAACAAGCTCTTTGGCTTTTACACCATCTAGTTATTAATATAAAGAATTTGATTTTTCCTAAATTTTATTTATTGTGTTTTCTAAGAAACTAGAATTTTAAAAAATAATATTTTATAATAATTGAAAGAATACTATGAATTTGAAAATATATTTAAAGATTTTATATTCAACAATTGAAAGAACACAGTAAATAAATTTACTAAAAAAATAAAATATTTTATAATAAGAACCGGAGAGAGTATTTTTTTAATTCCTTGTATTGGAACGGTGTCTTTATTGATGAGTACAATTAAAGGTGATTTTTGAAACTATTTATAGGAAAACATTAAAAGTTATTTTATTTGTTATATTAATCCACAATTATAATTTGCAAAAGAGTTTAAATGATTGTTTTATTTATTGTACTCACTAGACAATACAGTATTTTATTGCAAAAAATGTACTACAAAACAAAATATTGCTAAAAACTGATACCTATAACATGATTTGGAAACAAACGTAATTATGGTAATTATTGAGGACTAAAATCGTATTTCTTTTCCTAAACTTAACCCCCAAGTCTTCGGTATTGACATTAGCCCACTGATAGTCCCAAATTGTTTTTTTCTCACTCCAAAACCCACACTCCTCCATCGCCGCGCCCAGGTACTCTCAACGCCTCCGCCACAACCCTTTTCCGTTTTGCGCTTTCGAAACCTTAATCGCCACCGATTTTTCAACTCCGATCACTTTGATCGCCAGTATTTGCAAATTCGAGCAACACAAATTTTTTTCTCTGGGTCAAAGTGTGTTATAGCGGTCACTCTGATCCTTAAAACCCTGAAAACCCTAAATTATCTCCGCCATTGTCTCTCTTCCGAGCAACCCATTGGACGGGAGCAGTACTACTCTCCGGCGGAGGTCTCTGCCGGTTGGCGGAGCGTGCTGCTTCCACTGCTGCTACCGCTGTATCAGCGAGATAGTCCCGCAGTAAATTTCTTCTCTCTCAAAGATGATTTGAGTTTTTAATTATTTTACCTTCTCTGCTCGTATATATTTATTGTGAATCGGGAAGTTTTGGTAGGTCGGATTAAAGGCTTTTTGGGTAAATTGGAATTAAGGTCAGTGGTTTATGGTCGCCATTCGTATTTTGATGAATTGCATAAACCCTAGGTCTTTCTAATTTGGAATTAGTTTATTTGGATTGAATTTTCAGATAAACTAAAAGTTCTCATACAGTTCGCCTTTTTGGGTTCTTTCTTGAACTGATTTTGTTCTTTGTGGCACTCTGGCCATGGGTTTTGTGATTTTGATCTTTCTGGCTGTTTTTGGGTTCAAAAGTTTGGATTTTCACCCAACTATGTTTCAGTTAGGTTGACTGTAGCGTCTCCTGTTGGTTGATTTGGAAACCAGTCAATTGAGATGTAAAGGGATAATGACGGGTTTATCACCTTGCAAAATAGTCTTGCTAGGCTCTAGCATTACTGCTTTTAGTGGGTAATGTGTTGATCGAACTCCTTTGCTAGGTATAAGTTTGCTTTGTAATTCTGGTGGTCGTTAATCTTTCTGAAAATTTGCACAAGGTATCGGCATGTCAGCTATGGAAACTTTGGTCAGAAGCAAATTAAAGATCAAAGTGAAGTGTGCACGGATCGGTTCAGAAAGGATATCATGCCAGAATGGGTCAAAGGCCGATGTTCCTGTGTCGAATGGCGAAGTTCCTGCCCTAAGTGGCTGCAACAAGCGCAAACATGATCTGACAAATGAGGATCGAATGGATAAGAGGCGAAAAATGGATCCTATGGTCAAACGGCAGTGTAATAGCATTGTGGATGTATTGCTTGGTCATCGACATGGTTTTGCGTTCAAATGTCCGGTGGATCCTGTTCTTCTAAACATTCCTGATTACTTCTCCATAATCTCTCATCCCATGGATTTGGGGACAGTCAAATCTAAATTGGCTGGAAATTCTTACTTTACTGCTGAAGAGTTTGCAGCCGATGTGAAGCTGACTTTTTCAAATGCAATGCTTTATAATCCTCCTGATAATTGTGTTCATCACATGGCAAAGGAACTGGAATGCATTTTTCTAAAAAGATGGAAATTGTTGGAAGCAAAATGGAACCGTGAGATGGAAAATGCTCAGAAAGGGACCATTTCTGGTGCTGTTGTTCCTGTGAAGAGCTGCTCGTCAAATTCTGGTCCTTCTGGTCCTTCTGGTTTGCATCAAAGAAGCACTGTTCAAAGCTCTACTCTATCGTCCTCTGTGAAAATCACTAAAGTTGGTGAAGATTCTGGGAAGATTTTGAACAAGAAGCCACATTTGAATTCTAGTTCTGTGGAGACACCAAGGAAAGCATCAATGTCAACGGAGGAGAAGGCGAAGCTGAAAAAAGACCTCATGGAGATATTGGTAGGCAGGACGTCACAGAAGCTGCAAAGTTGGTTTAAGAAGTTGGGTATTCAAAGTTGGAAGAAGGAAGTAATTGCTCTGGAATTTGATAAATTTCGAGATGATATGCTGTGGCAGTTGAAGAGTGTGCTGCAAGATGCCAAGGAAAATGTAAGCAAGATTTCAGCGACCACTGTAATAGGTTCTGATCAAAGTTCGCTTGGTTTGGCTGGTGATATAAATGAAGCTAGCTCCCTCTCTAGGACAGATCACTTGGTTCCTGTTCCAGTGACCACCTCTAGTGAGGGCCAGCCTCCTGCTGTGACTGACGAGGTGGATTTAAAGAAGGCTTTACGTGCCGCAATGTTAAAAATGCGGTATGCTGAAACTATCTCCAAGGCCAATAGTGGCAAAGCTGATTCTGGAAATGTGCAGCAAGAAATAGAGAGATTACAACGCGAGGAGGCAAACGTCAAAGCACTAATGAGAAGCGAAGAGTTAAAGAAAGAAGAGCAGCGTAAGAAAGAAAGAAAAGCTGCTCGTGATGGCTTGGATATGATGGAGAAGACAGCGGAGTATGAGGACAGTTTGTTGGTTTTCAGGGAACTTGAGAAGCTGTGCGGTTGTTACGTGTCTTATGAATCAGGTTTAAGGGTAGTGTTAAAAGACTGTTATACTCGCAAGGTAATAAAACCCCTAGAACTGCTTGGTTTGTGCCTGAAGGATGACTTTGTTGCTGATGACGACGAGGCATCCATGAATTGTGAGATGGAAGAAGGGGAGATCTTAGAGTAGTAGGTCTTAATGAATTGCAATGTGTATATGTAAAGTTTAATACTATATATCAGAGACATCTTTGAACTTAGAAGCTGAGAGTTGTTGGCTTAACATCTCTTGCATTTTGTTTGTTTCCGATTTTGTGCAATTGTCTTCCACTCCATCAGTCCATCTTATTAGGTGACTAATAATGAAGCTCTACGGACATCAACATGCACAACACTTTGGGGGATACTTCTGTTGGATTTCCCCATAAACTGGGGAGGAAATAGTCCTCCGAAAGCTGAAAGTTAAACCTTTGTTACTCCATTGTACCAGATCCATTGTGTTGCCTTATAACAAGGGCAGGAGGGAGTCGTAATTTGGTGAGATGAAATATGCAAGTAAAATTTCTCATGAATTTATTTAAGTTTAGCAGTAATTTTAATGCTCATTGCCTTAAAATGTCCTATAATAAGCCTAAATCAACGCACAACATTTCATCTCCTGGGGAAAATATTGACATATATAAAACAAAAATCAAAGAATTCCAAAGAAATCTGTAAGTTTATGGTACCCACTACCCTTTCATATCTCCAATGGTACTACACTACCCGTTGAAAATGATAATAATAATAAGTAAGGTCTAAATTTAACATATAATAAAAATAAGGGACTATTGGTAAAAATTTCATAAAATAAAAGGGGAAGGGTGGTGAAAATTAGTCCCCCGAATTTTCAGAAGTCCGAACGAAATCGAAGGAAGAAAGGGCACAAGTGCAAAACGATGGTGGAAGAATCAGAGAAATCAGTGGTGGCCGAATCTGGAGAGGAAACAGCGATGAGCAGAAGAGTTCACGGTGAGGTTGACGGAGATGAAGGTCTAGAGGAAGGGGAGATTTTGGACGATGCCGGAGAAGCGGGTTCGTCTCTGACGAGTGTTCCTAAAACTTTGGCTGCTAAGCATCCATTGGAGCACTCGTGGACTTTCTGGTTCGATAATCCTTCCGCCAAGAATAAGCAGGCTGCCTGGGGAAGCTCTATCCGCCCGATCTACACTTTCTCCACTGTGGAAGATTTCTGGAGGTATGTGTTTGTGTAGAGACTGTCGATATGCATTTTCTTTAACAGAAAAATCTCTATTTTCCTGTGTTTTTAATTCTGTTCTTAGGGTAATCTTGCTGTTTTTGAGATTTCTATATCCTGCTTAGAGCTGATTTTGGTACTTTGGGCGCCAATTATGATCTAGGGCTTTTCTTGCAGTTTTCTTTTTTTTTTGGGGGGTGGGATTTTGTTATGTGTTATTGAGTGATGTGTTTAACTTAATGCTGAGATTTTTTTCTATGCTTCTGACAAGACGGGGGAAGGGGCTGTGGAGAATGTTGAATGCTGAATCCCTGGAATTTGTATTCTTGACCAATTGGTGGCCATCTATAGTTTCATTTGTTTCTTAGGTAGTACTCCCTCCGTCCCATAATTATTTTCCAGTTTGGGTTTTCATTTTTAGTTCAAATTGTACTAAAAGTGAAATCTCAAACTGGACAATAATTTTGGGATAGAGGGAGTACTTGTTAGGTTCTTCCTGGGCTGAATGCTTTTGTCTCTTGGTCATTTTGATTAAGTCCACTTGTAGAAACACACCAATCATCATAGAATTCCCTTTCTACTGCTGTTTCCTGTGGTATTTGAAACATGTCAAACTTGTGAGATTCCAAGCTCTGATTTTACCATTATGCCTGTGTTGGTTGCTAGGTTTGAATTCATTGCCCAGGTCTTTTCTTGTTGGAATTCGATAGCTTTTGTACTGACTAAGAAATGAAAAGTACCTCGAGCGTGGGCAATTCCCCTCTATGAACGGTATGGATATGTCAATTGAACAGCATGAGAAGTCATAGTGGTTCCAAGAGTATAGTAAGAATTGATTTAAGCAATATTGTGATAAACTGTGCAAGCAGTATGTGCTCCTAAGCAATACTTGTATACATCTATCCCTCCACTTTGCATGCTTATAAAGATTACTCCCTGGAAGTATAAGAATGCCAGAAGGCACTGTAGTCAAACTTCAAGTGTAAGTCTTGATTGAATGCAATGGTTTTCCTCAGATCCTAATCTTGGTAATTTTGAGCTCTCAGCTGCTCACTTTCTAGGGAGACACTGATATTCTAATTTTGGAAATTGGTTAAGTATTTTGTCCTTTGGGTGTCCGAGAAGGGACATATTCTTCCCTTAAATAAAAGATGGATTTCCTTGAGTAATTTCTTCTGTTCTTTCCATGTAATTTTCTTTGGTACTGCCATTTCTCAGAAGAGGTTGACGAAACTATTTAGAGACACTTCATTGCCACATAACCTGGATACAGTATTGAGACTTAATCATAGTAGTATGTTGGCTCAAGAAAATGACTGTTTGGATACCTGTATTTACTGTTCAATGATGCGGGACATTGTTAGAGGAAGTACATTCACATGTTATTCTGTTAGTCTGCACTCTGCCAACATTAATAAGCTTGGGTATGTGCTCCGTGGAATTTCATGGTTTTTAACCTTTGACTTGGAATATCATTCTTTCTTGTGTATTTCCAATCCCAAATTAAATGTAGCATAAGATGATTGTTTTACTGGATCTGTTGTAACTTACAAGATAGTTAATACTAAGACAAGCACAATATTTAGTCTTTCGTTCTGTTGGGACTCTGAATGAATGTCTTTTGACTGTTAATCCAGTTGGTCAGGGAACTGGATGCAGTATATTAAATTTAAATGTGAAGCTTTACTACACAGTGGGTCTTGTATTTAGATTAGGTGAGAAAAACGATGTGGTATTGTACATCTGGATTGTGTGTAACTAATTACAAAAGCATTTAAAACTTACGGAGCCACTTTTCCTATTGAGAGATATTTCTTACTCTAAAAGGACACAGAGGTTTCTACTCAGAAGCCAGTGCATATGGGTTTTTCAAGTTCTTTCAGTTCTATAGTAGCTGTCTGTCTCTCCCTATCTCTTTTTTCTTTTCAACTGGGTTTCAATCATGTAAAAGTTTCTAGGCCAGGCTGGTTTTAAATTTTTCTTGTCTCCACTTTATGTGTGCTCTTTTCTTTTGCAACTAGTTCTTTTGTTGATTGAAATTGGGAGGGAATGTTTAGTTCATGAAAGCTTGAGAGAAGGCATATGTTTCATGATAGCTTCCGTGCTTTGTGTGACTAGGAGAATAAATGCAGCTAAATGCAATTTTCTTGGTCAGAATGTCTGTTCAGATGTCATTTTATGATTTCAGCCTCTCGCAACTATCCCAAATTATATTATAGCGACATCTGGTTTCTGACTTTTATGTTGTTTACAGCATTTACAACAATATACATCACCCTAGCAAGTTGGCTGTGGGAGCTGATTTTCACTGTTTCAAAAATAAGATTGAGCCAAAGTGGGAGGACCCTGTTTGTGCTAACGGAGGAAAGTGGACGGTGAATTTTCCTAGGGGTAAATCTGACACCTCTTGGCTGTATACGGTATGTGAAACTGTTTCTTTGCTTAGATGATTGATTTTGAATGGCTTAACTTTTTGTTGATTATCCTATTGCCGAAGGAATAATGTTGATTTTGATGTTCTACCAGTTGCTAGCCATGATTGGAGAGCAGTTTGATTATGGAGATGAGATTTGTGGAGCAGTTGTCAATGTGCGAGCTAGGCAGGATAAAATTTCTATATGGACCAAGAATGCAGCAAATGAAACTGCTCAGGTAATCATTTTGGATACTGATTTCAGATGTCATTTCTGGAGGAATAAGTGTCTTGATGATTGCATCTAATTTTAGTTTTGTTCTTTTAACTGTTAACTTCTCAAAAATTACTGTACTTTCTATGTCATTTTGTCATGGATTTGGAATAGATCACAGCAGGGTTTATTTTGTATTCTAGCTAATGTGGCTGTGACATGGCTGTTGATATTTTTTCTTCCTGCCATTGTTCTAAATGCTTTTTATTTAGTCTTATGGCATTTGTTTGATGATTTCACACAGTATTATTTGTTTCCTGTAACAAGGAAGCTGAACCAACCCTCTTTAAATGATAATCTTTCCTAACTCCAGGCCGAATCTATTTATGAGAATTTCATAGTGACGTATGAAATACCCATTAATGGAACATGTGAAATCACAGGTGGATGAATGTTATAGTGAGACGCTTGTTTGACGCTCGTTCGTTCGACGCTAATCGATCCCAAAATCTTGTTCTTTTTGTTTGGGGATACTTATCCTTCATAGCTATCCTGTCTGTCAGTTTGTTGTATACCCTGATGTCTTTTAACTGTATGATGTCTTCTGGTACAACCCCCTTTTGTGTTGGTCCTGTGTTATGGGTGAAGGGGGAGGGTGCTGGAGTAATCTGAATGCCCTCAAAGGGGGTCAATGTGTTTTCATCTTTTGCTTTCTTTGAATCACTTCTTGACATGGAGACTCCAGATTCTCATACTGCTTCTTCCCCTTTCAGGTTAGCATTGGGAAGCAATGGAAGGATTTTCTGGATTACAATGAGCAAATAGGATTTATTTTTCATGTAAGTTATTGATATGTTCACATTCTGGTACATTTCCGTTCAATCTTTTTTTTTTTTTTTGGGTCAGGAACTTAGCCACATTGGCTTCTTTTGGCAGGAGGACGCAAAGAAGCATGATAGAGCAGCCAAGAATAAATATACTGCGTAGTAGACTGGCAGCACCCACACTGGGATTATTTACAGTGGGAGCGGTCCATCTGCTTTTTGGTGGTTGCAATGCTGTCCTCCTCACAGATGAGGAGGTTGTTTTAGATCTCCTTTAACATCATTGCATATCTGCTGCTATGTATGTATAGAATTTGGAGGCGAGTCTTCTTCTCATAACAGTAGTGCGGCGGATACAAATAACACCTCAGATATTTGATCGCATCCTTGTATTTTTTTGCAACTTTTCCAGCAGTTAACTTGTTAGAAAGCTTTTTATTCTGCTGTATTGTGACGGAGCTGAGATGCAAACTTGCAAAGTGGTGGTTTGACTAAGTTGATTTTCTTGCTTAGTGAACTTTGACTTACAAGTGAACGGTAATACTAGCTACATCGAAATATCGCTAATGTGATACTCTTCGTCTTTTAGTTAGAATCATGTTTGTTATAAATGCACATTTCAAAATTGTTATTCCTTTCGATTTAAAATTATTTGTATTAAAAATAAAAATTTAAAAGGAGCGAAAAATGAAAATTTAAATTGAAAGGTAATTTTAAGCCATGAAATGAGTATTAAGCCATCTCAAAGTATGTTGGGGCTTCGCATGTTGAAAATGCCGGTACACGCTCATAAAATTAAGGCAAGCTAGAAAGGAGGGAAAAAAAAACAATGTTGTTCCTTCCAATTATGATACTTCCTCCATTTCAAAATTTAAGTTTTTTAGCCTTTACACGTAAATTAAAGAGATAATTATTAAATGATTAATTTATGTGTTAAATGTTTATTATGTCCTTCATTTTTGGAATAATATCCAAAATTAGATAAAAAGTGGTTAGCATCATTTATTAGGGGTAAAGTTAGGAAGTTAATCCTTAATTTGCCTTGAAATCTTAACGTGACCTACATTTTGAAATATTTTTCCAAACCTAAAACGAACTATATTTTGAAATGGAGAGAGTAATAATCATATATGTATTATAGTCAAATTAAATGGGCCGCATGGAATATTTATTTATTTGGGTAAGATCGATATGAAGACAATAATATTTAACAGGAAATTCTGATATGGTACATGCGTTGCATTAGTTTGGGTGATTTCTTGGGGGTGGGAATTTCTAATTTCGTTTTATTTTTTTAAAAAAAATGTAGTAGTAATTAACGTGAATCATGCATGAAGTTAAAACATGATGAATTTAGCAATTAAATTAATTCAAATGTGAGAAGCTTCTTTCTTTCTTTCTTGCCTTTTAGAAAAAAAAAGTAAGAGAAGCTTCTAATGGTTAGTAATATCCAATCCAATAGTGTAGAATCAAAAGGAATATAAACGTATTCAAATAGTTTTTCCCTTTCCATAATTTCGTAGTAGCAGTAGTCAACGATTTTAGTTAATGAAAAAATGAACATAATAATGGTAAATATACAGCTTATACATAAATAATAATAATCATCATTCATTGAATATGATTAATTTTTCTTCTTAATACATGTAATTATTCTAGAAGCGCACGTACACTCTGTGAGCCTAATTTCGTGGAGAAAATCCAAAGACTCCTTTTTGAATTCGTGTTTTTTTTTTAATTCCATAAAGTAAATTAATTTTCTTTTTATCGAATTAAATAAAAAAAAAACCAAACAAATATAAATAACACGATGAGAAACAGCCAAAACCAAACAACACAGTATTTTTCATACACCGAAAGAGAGACTGATACGTACGTCCTCAGCTCTCTTTTGCTCTCCTTTGATTCAAAATTCTCAATTCCAAAAACCCCACTTTAATTTCCCTCTGTAAATTCTTCTCTCTTCAATTTCTCTAATTGTTGTTCCACTCATTTCGTTTCTATCGGCGGAATCAAGAACCATATTCAAGAATGCCGGAAGATAAGAGGACGTCGTCGTCGTCGTCCTCGACGGCGGCGGAGGCGGAGGCGGGAATAACGGCGGCGACGACGTCGTCGTCGACGGCGAAACAGAAAGAAGAACAACAGAAAGTTCCATTTTACAAGCTGTTCTCGTTCGCCGACCGCCTTGACGTGGTGCTGATGGTTGCGGGGACATTAGGTGCAATTGGGAATGGATTATCTCAGCCAATTATGACTGTGATTTTCGGCAAGCTGATCAACACGTTCGGTACCGGTTCTGGGAAATCAGATCTTACCCGTGAAATCCTCAAAGTAATTTTTTCTTAATTCTTTGGTTATTTTTTCTCTTTGTTTCTTTCTTGGGAATATTCGATGAATAAAATTGATTGTGTTCATGCATGCACGAAAAGCAAACCAAACCGACGATTACATAACTACAGGGGATAAAGACTTTTTATCTACTTGCCTTTTTGCATTATCTTTCACTGCACTCCGTATTGGAGAAAATTAACCCAGTATAATCTCGTGAAGATCGTGTTTCCTACTTCTGCTTTTCTTTTTGTTCATATTTTCACTTGTGGTAATTTACTGTATAAACCGTTGCGGATTCTGAACTCTAATCCGATTCCCTTCCTTTCTGGGTGAAAATATTTGCAAAATTTCTGAAATTAACCCTCTGAATCTACCTATTCAAGCAATATCCACTACAATTAATCGACATTTCATCTTATGTGAAGTTGATTTTTCCATTCCTCAAAAGTTATAATCCCCTTTTTTCTTAGCCAGTCACAGAGATCCTGTTTTGGGGTTGGTTTCCTTTTATCTTAGATCAACATTAAGAAAATAGTGTGTCTGATTTGAAAATGTGAAGCAATCTTGCATTTAACACCAAGGAAGACAACAACATACTAATTAATACCATTTGGTGTGCAAATTTCAGGTCTGTCTTTATTACGTTTACCTTGCTGTTGGTACAGGCATTGCTTCCCTTCTACGTAAGTAAATACTTTTCCCTACTCTTCTTGAATATTTGTATTATTCATTATGGTGTCCAAATTAAGTGGGCATTAGCCCACAATTAATATTTGGCTGAAGATTTTTGTCATGAGTAGCCTACTAGACTCGAGAAAATGCTATTGCAGGATTATCACGTAATGAACTAGAGTTACTGACTAAACTCACCAGAACTAATTGGGGGCTAATGATAATTTGGGAAAAGTTATATACAGGCTTTTTAAGCTTACAAAGTTGCAGAATAATGATTTTAGGAAGACAACACTTTCAATAAATTTGTACCTTGGAATGAAGTCCCACAAATGAAAAGACAAAATCGTTAATGATGCTTCTTTTATTAGAAGTAAACACACTATGAATTGTGATTATTTCTTTTTACAGATGGCGCTAGTCATTCAGTTCATCGTTAGGCTAATTAATCATAATCTTAACCGGCCTTGATTCTACATCAGCATTAATGTGTTTTGAAGTTTCTGATCAAGTTATTAAATCACAAAGACTATGGATCTGTTAAGGTTTACCCAGCTTTGTGAACTAAGAGTTGTGAGCTTTCTATGTTTCAGAAATGTCATGCTGGATGGTGTCTGGAGAAAGACAGGCAGCACGTATACGCGGGTTGTATTTGAAAACAATATTGAGACAAGATATTTCATTCTTTGATACTCAAACAACTACAGGGGAGGTTATTGGGAGAATGTCTGGAGACACTGTTTTAATCCAAGAAGCCATGGGCGAAAAGGTAAAACCATTTAAATAGGCTGCTCAATTCTACGGAACATTCTTGGAAATCTTTTTAGTTATTTGGTAGTGATCTTTTATTTTTTAAAAAATATGTAATTTGTAAGTCAAATTCTGATAAGGAGTTTATTCAATGTTTAGGTTGGGAAGTTCATTCAATTGGCTACAACATTTTTTGGAGGCTTCATAGTTGGTTTTATAAAAGGGTGGCTTTTGGCATTAGTTCTGTGCTCTTGCATACCTGCTTTAGTGGTTGCTGGTGGATTTATGGCGTTGTTTATGTCTAAGATGGCTAGTCGTGGCCAAATCGCTTATGCTGATGCTGGAAATGTGTTGGAACAAACAGTAGGAGGAATTAGAACGGTAAACACACTTGCAGATGCTTTTATTCACTTGAAATATCTGGTCGTTGCTTCAATGGTATCCGCGGATTAAGTTATGTGCTTTTTTTGTTTGTTCTAAACTTCGTAGGTTGCATCATTTACTGGAGAGAAGCTAGCCATCAAGAAATATGACAGCAAACTGCAAATTGCTTATAACACCACCTCTAAACAAGGGCTGGTTTCAGGATTTGGAGTGGGCTCAATTTTGATGCTTGTTTTTGGTATCTACGGTCTTGCAATATATTATGGATCAAAACTGGTTTTAACAAAAGGTTACAGTGGTGGAGACGTGATTAATGTCATGATGGCTATAATGATGGGAGGAATGTAAGTGAATTTTGTTTGCTGAGACTGTGCTAATCACTTACTGTAAAGATGGAAAACTTCGAACTCATTTCTGTGGGGTTTTAATTAGCAAATAATATTTTAGTTGAATTGGTTCATTGGTTTCCCTTAATGATTAGTAGTTTATATTGAGCCAAACGGCATTTCATCATGTTCCTAACGTCTTAACTTTTTCATCAGGTCACTTGGCCAGACGTCACCAAGTTTAAATGCATTTGCAGCAGGGCAGGCTGCAGCATTCAAGATGTTTGAGACTATTGAACGTGTACCCTTAATTGACTCATATGATAAAAAAGGGATCGTCTTGGAAGATATGAAGGGTGAAATTGATCTTAAAGATGTGTACTTCAGATATCCTGCTAGACCAGATGTCCAGATTTTTGATGGATTCTCATTACACGTTCCTAGTGGGACAACTGCAGCTTTAGTCGGGCAAAGTGGAAGTGGAAAATCAACTGTCATTAGTCTCCTGGAGAGATTCTACGACCCTCAAGCTGGGGAAGTACTTATTGATGGCATCAATTTGAAGAACATTCAGATCCAATCATTAAGAGGGAAGTTGGGTCTAGTGAGTCAAGAGCCAATCTTATTTGCAACTACCATAAAAGAAAACATTCTTTATGGCAAAGCAAATGCCACAGATTCTGAAATTAGAACCGCGATTGAGCTTGCCAATGCTGCCAAGTTCATTGACAAACTTCCAATGGTAAATAAACCGCAGAAGTTTAGTTGGTTCTCCATATATGAGTGTTAAATTTCAATTAATATGTTCGTCCAGCTACTCACACTCTAACCTTTAGGGCCTCGATACAATGGTTGGTGAACACGGGACTGCACTCTCAGGAGGACAAAAACAAAGGATTGCAATTGCTAGAGCTATTCTGAAGAATCCAAAAATTCTTCTTCTTGATGAAGCAACTAGCGCCTTGGATGCAGAGTCAGAAAGGATAGTTCAAGATGCACTTGACAAGATTATGACAAACAGAACTACTGTGGTGGTTGCACATAGGTTAACGACTATCAGAAATGCTGACCTTATAGCAGTGGTACATGCTGGTAAACTTGTTGAACAAGGTACAGATGTTTTAATATCAGTTTTTAGGTTTTAAGATTTTCTTAGTTGAGCCACCTGTGATACTTCTCTGACATTATACTTAGGTACTCATTCCGAGCTTATGAGGGACCCTAATGGCGCATACCACCAGCTAGTCCGAATGCAAGAAGTGTCTAAACAAGGTTCAGAAAAAAGCAAGAAACTGGAGTTGGAGAAATTGGATACATCAATAGAATACGAAGAGAATTTGAGTAGGAGTTCAAGTCAGAGACTGTCTCTGAGAAGATCAACCAGTAGGGGATCGTCTCGCCATTCCTTTACCCTTAGTTATGGAGTTCCTGGTCTTATAAATATCCATGAATCTGAGGTAGGAGAAGATGTCATTGGGAATGATCAAAATGGCTTGAAGAAGAGTGAGAATGTTTCACTCCTACGACTTTTCAAATTAAACAAACCTGAGATATCATATTTGGCCTTTGGGTCTCTGGCTGCTGGCGTGAACGGTGTCGTATTTCCCGTGTTCGGGCTCTTACTTGCAAAAGCTATTAAAATTTTCTTTGAGCCTCCACATGAACTGAGTAGAGATTCCAAGTTTTGGTCACTGATGTTTGTCGGCCTTGGTGTTGCGACTTTTGTGATTATTCCGGTGCAGAATTATCTCTTCGGAGTTGCAGGCGGTAAATTGATACAAAGAATCCGTTCTCTGTCATTTCAGAAAGTAGTGCACCAGGAAATCAGTTGGTTTGATGACCCTGCGAACTCAAGGTGCATTTCCTTAAAAAATAAAAAATTATCATTTTAGAATTGTAATTTTCATCTCACCTAAATTAACTCAAAAAATGTTTGTTGAAATCAGCGGTGCTATCGGGGCACGGTTATCAACTGATGCTACAACAATGAAGAGTCTAGTTGGTGATGCTTTGGCATTAGTTGTCCAGAACATTTCAACTGTAATAACCGGGCTTGTGATAGCTTTTGTGGCTAATTGGATACTGGCATTTATAGTTTTAGCTGCACTGCCTTTCATTGGTATGCAAGGATTCCTGCAGATGAAGTTTCACAAAGGCCTAAGTGGAGATGCCAAGGTACTTCCAACACTTTCTACTCTGTTGATACTTTGCTAATTAGAAAGGTTATTGGTAAACCGGTATATATTTTTGTTCCAGATTATGTATGAAGAAGCAAGCCAAGTAGCGAATGATGCTGTTGGTAGCATAAGAACTGTTGCATCATTTTGTGCCGAAGGGAAAGTGATCGACATGTACCAAAAGAAATGTGAGGTCCCTAAGAAGGATGGGGTTAGACGAGGAATGGTTAGTGGTTTCAGTTTTGGCCTTGGCTCTGCAGCAAACTACCTAGCAACTGCATTCTGCTTCTGGATAGGATCGCATCTTATTACAAGTGGAAAGGCATCATATGGTGACGTGTTTAAGGTTTGTCGATGAGTTGTAATCAATTGTTGCTGGATAAGTTTTTTAATATTACAAGTCTTTTTATCTAACTGTAACTTGGTGTAGGTCTTCTTCGCCTTAACAATGGCAGCTATGGGAGTTTCGCAAGGGACAGCTTTGGCTCCAGATATAAACAAAGCTAAACTATCAGCTGCTTCTATCTTTGCAATCCTCGATAGCAAACAGAAGATTGATTCTAGCAGTGAAGAGGGCCAAGTTCTATCGACTGTCAACGGTGATATTGAGTTGAAACATGTGAGCTTTAAGTATCCAACACGACCTGACGTTCAGATTTTTAAGGATTTGAGCTTAACGATACCTTCTGGAAAGGTAGCTATATTGTTTCGGTGTATTTACTTTTACTCTATTAGCAGTATCACTACTGAATTTCTGTATTGCTTAGTCTTATGATTACTAAAAATTTTACAATTTTGACGCAGACGGTTGCTCTTGTTGGGGAAAGTGGTAGCGGGAAGTCGACAGTGATAAGCCTTATAGAGAGGTTCTATGATCCTGACTCTGGAAACATACTTATTGATGGGGTGGAGATAAGGAAGTTGAAGATAAATTGGCTCAGGCAGCAGATGGGATTGGTTGGCCAAGAGCCTGTCCTATTCAATGAATCAATTCGAGACAACATTGCATACGGCAAACAAGGGGAGGTGACGGAAGAAGAAATTATAGCAGCAACCACAGCCGCAAATGCGCACAATTTCATATCAGGACTGCCTCAAGGATACGACACATCAGTAGGAGAAAGAGGAGTTCAATTATCAGGCGGACAGAAGCAACGGATCGCCATTGCACGGGCAGTTCTCAAAGATCCGAAAATCCTTTTATTGGACGAGGCAACAAGTGCCCTGGATGCAGAGTCAGAACGTGTCGTTCAGGATGCATTGGACAGGGTGATGGTGAATCGAACCACTGTCGTCGTGGCTCACCGTCTAAGCACCATAAAAGGTGCCGATATCATTGCAGTCGTGAAGAATGGAGTGATCGCAGAAAAGGGTGGACATGAGGCTTTGATGAATATACCAAACGGGGTCTATGCATCATTGGTCGCATTGCATATGACTTCCTCCTAAATTCTAGTAATAATACACAGTAGTACTTCAGAGGATTTTAGTCCGATTCAAATTTCAAGGGCTATATATATAGGTCATTCAGTTTTGTAGAATACTGCTTTTGGGTAAATATACTTCTTTTACATAAGCTGTAGCTTCAGTGAGTTTGAATTTTCTCCTATACGGAGGAGGATGAATATAATCACGAACATGTAATTGATTAAATACATATGTAAAAGAAGCCAAAAAACCAAACTGGTCAATATCTATTCTCTCAGAAACAATGCAGACATGAGCATCGATTACTGCTATATATGCAGATACAATATACAATATGCAGCTGAAATTTCAATAAAACCATTATAGTCTCACCAAAAGAAAGAGAAAAAGAAAATACACAAATGGTGCAACAGATGTCAAGTTGCAGCAGGTTCAACACTGTTTCAACCCAGCATGAATGACTGCTTGCTTTTTGAAACTCCAATAACCAGCAAGTAAGAAAAGCCCCCTTTAGTAAGCTTGAGCTGCCCCATTACTAGAAGGAAGTCGTTGGCGTCTCTCGACAAATGCAGATGGAAACCAACCTCCTTTGCCCCGGCATTCGCCCTCTGACCAGCCTGATGGACTTACCTGAAAAATCATTAAATTGTGTAAAGCCAAACTATTGACTGACTAAATTCCATGTGTAAGTAAATACAACTGCTTTTCTAAAAACCAAAAGCCGGCTAGTTCAATGATAAATTACCGCAAGCATACACAACTGAGGCAAATGAAGTTCTGACTAAGTAAATGTAAATATTCCATCATTGCAATGCTGCACGACAGATGTACAGCAGTACCCTCATGAAAAGAATGAATGCACGATAGACATACAACACAATAAATCAATAATGAGAGGATCTCGTCTAAAATCCAGAAACCAGCTGTGACTGACGTATTATTGGAAATTATTTGGAGGTGCAAAAAAGGCTTGATTTCATTTTGGCTTCAATTATAGGTCTCTTCCTATTATCAAATAAAGACAGCCACGCAGGCATTAGGCTCTAGCAAGCATCCTAGAGATTTTGAATCGATGTTCAGTAACTCAAGAGGCATTCATTTTCTAATGTCACTATAATACATGTGTTGTAAGAATTGAATTAAAGTAAAGAAACCTTCCGAACAACGACATAATCCCCAACCGCCAAGCTTAATTCTTTTTCGGATTCAGCATCAAAAGCTTGCACAGCCTGAAAATGTTGAGGAATATTTAGTAAAGGCTCTCACGGATCTGAAAGACTGTGAATATAATAGAAGAGAAATAGGGCTGCCGGTAGAAGTTACCTCAGCGAGAAAATATTTAGTCTTTTCAGGTAAATGATTGGGTAGAACCACAGGAGGAGCAGACTCTTTCCTTTGCTTCTCGGATACCACCTGTTCCACCAAGAAATATATCATCTAAAATTGCTTTACTATGTGAAAGCATATTATCTGTGGGAAGAAGTGCATCACAGACCTCAGTTTCTATCTGACCGAGAATGGCAGCAACTCTCTCGTGATACATCTTTTCTGCATCAAGCTTTAAAGAAGAACTACACATTTAAACTTCCCAGGCATGTCCTATCTCATTATAGAATGATAACATCTCATAATCATACCATTGCTACAAGCCTCTGAAATGTGAGCCTCTGCTGCTGAGATTCTACAGAGCTCAATGCCGCGGCTGCTTCTTTGCCTAAAACAGCCATGTTTGCTTTGAGCTCCTGCATTTTAGCTTCAGCAGAATGCAGCTTTGTAACATTTTCAGGTATTGGAGCTTCCCTTACTCGTGCTTGTCTTCTAGAAACCTCTGCTGCCTGTTTGCTTTGTCAATTCATTTAATATTATCCGATTAAAACATTTCTCGGACCCAGCAAAATAATGATACTTGAGCATGATGTAGCAGAAAAATTGCACCTCAGATTTCAAGTACCTGAGCTTCTGCTTCTTGTCTCATTTTACTATAACGCTGAGCCAGATGACGAGCTTCTTCCAAAGGAGAACCATTTATCATTGCCCGCAAGGGGTCCAAGACCTGGGTATACAATTCAGTTTTTATCACAATCATGTCCCAACAGTCAAACCTTGATACATTTTTATCTTCATATCTAATTATGCAGCAAATATTATCCATCCATTGCAAACATAAGTCCATTTCTGAAATGGCACAACTTTTTTTTTTTTTTTTTTGAAAAGGTATGGTACAACTTATCACATGACAAATTGTAACACAGTTATATTAAACAAATAGGAGTCTGTTTTTGGACATCAGAAGCCTGATATTAATGTACTATTTTTTGAACCATTCCAAACTGTAGGTGGGAACAACCGAAAAGTAGAATTTGTTCTTTCTCTCCAGAATTCCAATCCAACTATCCAAGTGTGACCATATAATTAGAATTCTTCTACCAGTAAAATAAAAATCTTTGCAAAAACTTTATAATTTCCTTCACATCTATGTGTTGTTAAGTACATATATTGTTATATCAAAAAAAAAAAAAAAGTAAAATATTTTGTTTTCAAGCGTAATGAAGTTTTAGCATTATCGAATATCATTTCAGGCATCTTTTATTAGAATTCAAACATTATATTTCTCCTATAATTGGTAGGGAGAAAGCAAGGTTAAATAATCAGATGTTTTGAATTTCTACAACAAGTCACCTGACACGTCAATGATGCTAATTTGAACCACACAGATGGGTAAGGCTAATCTATTGCTTGAATGAAAACTACTACAAAACAAGTACACCTAAGCAATCCCCCTATACGACACCTGAGGAGAAGAGGGCCTTAAGCCTTCAGGAATAAGATAAGACTATTAAGAATCCAGATGAAACCGGTTATAATCAAGTTGGCAGTCTTAGCTCATTGGAGTTAATGCAGCTTCATGCAGCTTTCAACTAACCTCAGTAAACAACATCTTATTCAGATCTTCCTGCTCCTTTTCAACATGTTTACGAGCATCACCGTAGATAGATACAGCCTTAGCTAGGATTTCATCATGAGCATTCTCAATTCCATATTTGCAACAATCTTCAGAAAATTTTGTCCCTAGTTAAGACAAGCATAAATCTTATAAATCAGATAAGGGCAACCAATAAGGAAAAGCTGTCAGTTTCTTAAACACTGACAAGAACAACCAATCTAAACCTGCACCTCATAATGTGGGGTCAACTATATGGATCATAAGTCAGCACCTTCCCCATTAAATTCTAATACAGTCTGTTTCACAACAAAAAAGAAAAGAGGGGGTGAGAACTGCACACCTGCTTCAATATGCTTATAACCTATAGCGGTAAGTGATTCTGCTGCTTTAACCATTTCTTTCTGAAAATCCTGTATGATAAATCCTAATCAGAAGATTAATGGAATTTACCCTGAACAACAAAGGTATTCAAACCCAACAATTTTTTAATAAAGAAAAGCCAAGAATGCTGAGACAATCACCAAAATTGAGGAAAAAGACATCTCGAACTATAATCAGATCAAAAAATTGCAATTGGGATCTCAAAAGTTAATCGGATAGATAAAAGTGAACTACTCTCGTTTGCTTTCTCTGTAACGAGGGCAATCAACCTAGAAAAAGAAAACTAAACACAGTCCCATAATCAATGCAATATCTGTACGACAGATATTTCAAATAATGTTTTCCTGCCATAATTGTCAGAATACAACTACACCACAGCTGTTTAATCCAAGGTTGTGACATAATTGTAGGTCTTTCTTCAACAAGTAGATGTTTTACTTTACTCCAGTAGGTTGTTACTGTGTCTTGGTATAATTGATCAGTTTACCCTCTGAAAGATTCCTGCATTCTTTAGAGTTTTAAGAGTAGCATGCTGAATGAGCACAGGCTCAAAATAATGATGTGGATGGTCTTATTGAAAAGAAATACAGCCATGAATACAGCAGTGTCATTCAAGTGATTCAGCATTGTATCTCCCAACGAAAATTAAGCACCATCTATATTCATTTAGTTTTGCATTCTTTAGCTGAAAGTAAGATTTCTATTTTAATAATTTTTTCCGAAATATTTAGGAAGCAGCATTGTTTGTTTTCATAAAAGATTGCTGGTTGGGAAGTTTCCCCGATACTATTTCCATTTGTTCCAGACCTAATCTGTTAGTGCTAGTTATCAAAACCAATTAAAGAAGATAAAAATAATGATTACATTACTTATCAAGCTACCTAAATGAAAAAAAAAAATTAAAAAGGTAACAGTTTCAGTATCATCCAATTTAGATAACCAAGTGCCTATACAAGTGATAACAATAAAAACGGTAGAAACTTTAAAACTAAGATTACCCTTCCAGCGCGGGTAGACCTGTACAATTTCTCCAATTGATGGTGTCTTTGCATTTCCAACTCATCAATAACCACAACATTTGAACTTTCATAGCCAGACCCACTCAATTGCTTGATCACAGCCTGAATTCAAAAACATTCTTAATCAAAACAATACCTATAGAAAACGGAAAAGCTAAATAACAACCGTGAAACGATATGAAAATCTAACAAATGAATATCTTTGAAGGGCACCTGCTGTTGTTTGGCAACTTGGTCTCTGAGCTTGCTAGCTTGCTTTCTGAGGGCATCCATTTTTCGGGTTTTTGGAGCTCTCTTTCAGTTCAGAAGTGTTGGGACTTCAGACCGGAGATAGCCGGAAGATTTCCCCCCTCCTTAAGATCTCTGCCAGCCAGACTACCCACAGCAAAAAAGGGAAAAATTGGCGGTCATACCCAAATCTTTGGGATTATCATCAATTCTACCATATTATTTTTTAGTTAATCAATTTTATCCTTACTGTTTGAACTTTTTGTCAATTCTTCCCAATTGGCCAATTTCCGTTAAACTTAACGGATTTCCATTAGTTTTTAACCAAAAATTTCTCGATAGTTTTAAAAAATTATAAAAATAACCCCAAAAATATAAAAATAATAAAATAGTCCTTTTTATTCATTTTTTTCTATCTCATTTTATTTATCTTTGTTACTTTTCATAACCATCAAAATATATTGTATGATCTTTAAAAAATAATTATTTATTTTCAAAATTAATTTTTCATGTGCAACACATGTGATTTTAGTTTAGGGGTGATTTTGTCATTTTTAATTTTTAAAAATTTTTAATTTTGCTTTTTTTATTCGTTATTTTTTGAGATTATTTTTCTTACATTTCCTAACTTGTATATATCGATACTAGTATAATTATTAAATTTTAATAATTAATTTACCTTTTTATTTCATACATTATAAAAAAAATTAACATAAATAAAATGAGGAAGAAAAAATCAAGTTGAAATAAACATGAAAATTAATAGTTTATCATTCTAAACAAAAATCAAAAAACTCTTTTTAAAAAAAAAACTGCAAAGAGAAGTCTTTCCTCCTTGATTTCGTCTAATTCATAGGTGAGTTACGGAACATAAATTTTACTTGATCTACCCTAAAATAATTATTTAGTTCGTTGTAATAAAAATAATATAAAAATTAGACAATCATTTGAAATATGAAAATGTGCTAATTTAATTAGTCTACAACGATGCATTTCTATAAATTTGGTTAACACTATTTTTATTCATTTTTTATAATTTTTTTTACCGATTGGCGGTTGCTAAACTATATAAGCAATTATTTAATTTCATGAAAAAAGATAAATACGTGTATTTTTTAGCAAAATAATTACTAAATTATACTACATGACTTGTATTATTTTTATTAAAAAACAAAATAATCATTTTAGGCTAGATCAAATAAAATTTATGTCTCACAACATATCTATGAAATACAGGAAGTTAAGAAGAAAAGACTTGTCTTTGTAGTTTTTTTTTGCTTTCTTTTTTAGAATGATAAACTATTAATTTTTATGTTTATTTCAACTTAAGTTTTTCTTCCTTGTTTTCTTTATGTTAAAATTTTTATAATCTATGAAATAAAATGGTAATTAATTATTAAAATTTAATAATTATTCTAGATATACAAGTCTAGAAATATAATAAAAAAATCTCAAAAAAAGACGAATAAAAAAATAAAATTAAAATTTCAAAAAATTAAAATGATAAAATTATCCCTCAACCCAAATTACATGTATTGCAAATGAAAAAATAGATTTTAAAAATAAATTATTATTTTCTTAAAGATCATGTACTATATTTTGATGGTTATGAAAAGTAATAAAGAGAAATAAAATGAAATAGAAAAAAATGAATAAAAAGGGATTATTTTGTTATTTTTATATATTTGTAGAGTTGTTTTTATAATTTTCTGAAACTATTAGGGTATTTTTTATTAAAAAGTAATGGGAGATTTGGCCAATTGGGCGGAATTGACAAAAATTTCAAACAATAAGGATACAATTGGCTAAAAAAAATTAATAGGGTAAAATTAATGATAAACCTAAAGTTTTGGGTATAAATACTAATTTTTTCAAGAAAAAAATTACACATTTGGGGCCTCTGATTTGTGGATTTCTGTGATAATAGTCATAAAATAAAAGAAAACAACAGAAAGAAGTAGTCGTGTATTCTCTCATTTGTAATTGGACAGGATTTTAAACTATAAGGAGTAGATTTGATACAAGATAAAGTTTGGTACTAAATACTTTCTCCGTCTCATAATTATTGTCCACTTTGCCCAAAAAATTTTGTCCCAAAATTATTGTCCAATTTTACTTTTTATGGAGCAAGTTACACATTTGTCCTTAGTAAAAAACATTATCCATAAAATCTTAGTAGTTAAACAATTCCTTATGTAGGGGTATATCCGTTGTTTAAGGTAAATATAATTAAGTTTGACCAAAAATAAAATATTTCATTTTAGTAAAAGCAGACAATAATTATGGGACGGAGGGAGTATGATTTATAGTTACATATGGAGAACTAAAACTAAATTAAAGAGTAATTAAATGATTTTTATTTTTTTGGTGAATTAATTAAATGAACTTAAATGCTCTAAGAATGATATCAAATCGGGAAATAAAAAATAAATAAAAATAATAAAGATTAGAAACATTAGAAACTTAAATAAAAAAAAAATAAAATTTTATGTTAGTGCGGGGTTTAGCATTTGAAACTTAAATAAAAAAAAAAAGATTGTATTGTGAATTTATAAAGAGTGGATTAAATATGTGAAGAAAAATCCAAAGTAATTTTGTTATTATGTGTTTCATCCAAACCAATCGTGTATACGGTAAAGCATACGACTATTAATTGTAAAAATTTAAAATTTTGATGTACTGATAGTTTTTGAAAAGAATTTGTAGTGTATATTTTTACCCGCACCAGGTTTTGCTTCTTTGTTGGGTTTGCTTCAGCCATAAATCATGATGGCTTTGCCTTTGCTTTCTTTCAAGAGGCCCTAATTGCCTAACTGCTATTGATAGCATCAAAAGCAGTTGAATCAATCCGTTCTTCATCATCGAATTAGGGCTTCTTTTTTTGCTGTTTGGTTTATTGATCGAATTATTGTAATAAGCCGAGGTGTTGTCTTTAATGGATACTACTAGTATTTCGAACAATTAGGGCAAGAATGTCCACAATACATCAACTGAATCAAATTGGTTTATTAACGCCTAATTTTACCGGTGTTTGCTCCGAATATTGAAGGTTAAAATACGTCCCGGACGACCTGAACCCTTGTCTCTTCTTCTTTCTTCAACCAGCGAAAAGGTAATCTTTTCTTGATTGAATTTCCAATAATAGAATTTTCTCTGTGTTCTTTAATGGATATAATATACATGTTAGGGCAAAAGAATCAATGTCAACGGTTTATTTGGGTTTGATGGTTTTGTTTGTGTCTGTCTGTTGAACTAATTGAAGGTGGCAAAGGATGGATCCTTCACCATCCCGTAGGAGGCCTTACATTCCCCCAATCCCTAGGTTGGAGTAAGCAAGCATTTTATTTTCTTTTTTATTTTTTTAACACAAGAATATATTTACTATTATTCTTAATTTCAAGCTAAATTCTTGGTTGCTTGCTTTTTTCCATTTGGTTTGTTTCATTTATAAATTAACTAAAATTTGGTGGTGTTGGTACTGGTGTTAGGAGGATGAAAGGGGAACCACCAGTCCACTATGGCTTTTACTTTCAAAGAAGAAGGCTCATCATTCAACCTAGAAACATCATCTGATTCATTTCCAAACAACGTTGTTGTTTTACTTAACTCTCACATGCTTGCCACTATTTCTGGAGGTTCGCAAATTTTTGCTCCATAATCTACAAAAATAGGTACTTTTGCTGCTGATATGGTGTGTAAATTAATTATCAACACTAGCTAGCAAGTTAGCATGCAGTTTTTGTTCCTTAGAAATTAAAGGTTCGGTTGCAACCTGAGCAAAAGAGATTTGTGTGTTGTAATTGGTCAGTGCCGCGAACATGAACATGAACTCAGGAACGGGAGAAGAGCTTCCCCTGAACAAGCATCAGAGTGGTTGTCTCTCACTTTGTCTTCTTACTATGAGGAGGAAGGTTTGAAAGTACCAGTACTAATCGCAGGGTGGGACGACGACAAATCAGTAATAATTCTTCGAATACTTTTTTTTTTTTTTGGCTTTGGTTTTTATATATCTTGGTTTGTTAACTTTGTAGGAAGCTGTCCTGTATAAGTATAAGGATAAAAGAAAAATTGAAGTAACAATTCTTGCCACTGGATCTGGTAAACATGGTTGTCGTGCTACTGTTTCTCTCGCCGAGGGTGGTGGTCCAGCGGTGATAGAAGTGGTCCGATGCTTTTTTTTTTTAAAAAAAAAAAAAAACTTATTGGTAAATAATTTAAAAGGTTTAAAAGTAAATGAAGATGTTGTTTCGATACAGTTAATTTTTGACTTGGTTTTTGTGGTTCACGCACGATAAATATATTGTCTCTAGTGCATACAAGGTAGTGCAAACTCATCCCAACTATCAGAGTAACCCACCCACTCTGCTCATCATCAACCAGGGGCGGAGGCAGGAGCCCCAACTAAAAATTTTTAAAATACCCATTATATAGTATTAAATTATAAAATGTACCACTAAATTTTAAAACATTTTCAGTCTTGTCCCAGCAAAATTTGCATATATTTTGTTTGCCTCACTTACTATTGGGGGCTTGGCTCCGTCCCTGTCATCAACGCAACAGGAGAATCAATGATATGGAAACGTCTTTGGAACATCAACATAGCACCAATAATTAAACAGTACATGTGGCGTACCCTAACAGATTCATTGGCTACTTAAAAAACTTGTTATGCAGGAAAAGTCAAACTCATTGCCGCTGATGAACCTGTGGAGAATTTGAAGACCTACGGTACGTTCTCTTCGACTACAACTTCGCAAAGGCAGTATGGCGAATGGCAGAGCTCGATGTCTATGTGTATGAGAAACGCCACGACGATGCCAAAATACAATTGGCTGGTCTTCTTCTCTGATTACCATCATATAAACAAGGTCTCTTTGCAATAATTTGCTACAACTTATGGTATGCGAGAAACACATTGGTGTTTGAAAATAGTAGCTCTTCGGGAGAAGCAGTGCTACGTTTAAAGTATGACCTTTGCTCACTTCATGGAATACAGTGCAACTACATAACTTTTTGTCCCCTTTCTTGCCAGAAAAATCATTAAACTCTCTAGAGTTTATGACATACACATGTATCTTCTGCGACGGTGCAATTAACGCCAAGACTAAACTCTCAACAACAGGAGTTCTTAAATGGGATCGCAACACTGGCTTCATTAGTTGTTATTCAAGATTTTCTTATGGTCTATTTACCTCGCAAGTGGTCGAATCCTTAGCAGACAGAGAAACAGTGAGATTAATCATCGCAATAAGTATATCTCGCTTCACACTGAATGGAGATTCTATCAACGGTTATACACGTTTTAAAACTCTAAAGAAGCCAATTTATCATACAACAATCTTATAGTGGGGGCATTTAATAATGAAGTACTTAATCGATTAAGTTGCCATTAGATCACGTTATCAATGTCAATTAATAAAATAAACTTAATCAATTAAATTCAAGTGCTGAATGAGGTTAATCAAACAGGGCCTCTATCTTCTCATCCTTCCATACTGGGCCAGTTTATAATTTGGGCCTATAAGAAGCAGAAACTATTTAACCCGATTATCCTATTTGGACATTGTATGTGGACATTGTATGTGTTTCAGTGCCATGATTATGAACTCAAGGAGGGGAGAAGAGCTTCCCCTGAAGAAGCATCAGAGTGGTTGTCTCATGCTTTGTCGTCTTATTATGAGGAGAAGGGTTTGAAAGTACCAGTACTAATTGCAGGGTGGGACGACAACAAATCAGTAATTCTTCGAATACTTTTTCCTTTTTTTCCCTTCATTTTTTGGGCTTTGGCCTTGATGATTCTGATTTGACTTATATATATATATCTTGGTTTGTGCACTTTGTAGGAAGCTGTCCTGTATAAGTTTAAGGATAAAAGAAAAATTAAAGCAACAATTCTTGCCACTGGATCTGGTAAACATGGTTGTCGTGCTACTGTTGCTCTTCTGAGGTATATGCTTGCTTTTCCTTTATTATTATCACTTTTAAGCTACATGGTTTATTTCACTTGAATGATAAGTTTACTTGTTCCTGACTTGTTTCTCTATATATAGGCCTCAGCCATTGCCCTCAATGGCTGAAGCTGTGGAGTTGGCGAAACGAGCCCTTTGCATTGCTGCATATAGAGCTCCCGAAAGTCTTGAACTCATGAGTGGTACGTTTGTGGCCTGGTTGTTTCTTTGCTTCTTAGTTCTTACTTGGTAGTTGTTTATACCTAAATATTGGTCCATCCGTGTTTGGTTCTCATTTTTTTTCAAGTTTACCCTCCTGAATCCTGATTAGTATGTTCGTTTTCCCTTTTTTTTTTCCAGTTTACCTTGTAGGACCTGGCGGTGTCAGAACTGTGGTCTCGTCTGGTGATGTAGGAGAATGGCAAAAGCAACACATCAAAACCACACCATGGAAGTACAAGTATGATGACCGCCTTTGAGGATTTGAGCTTGGCAAAACCTCTATGGTTGGATGATTAGGGGTGCGGCTTTGTTTTTATTCATCAAGAACTTTGTGTTTTTGGTGTTATTAGCGGGATTTCTTGATTTTCTATGTACTGTTAATGGGTGGTTTTATGTCTTCGTTTTAGTATCTATGCATAATCCATCCATCTATTATATGAAGCATGTTGGTTAGGGGTGCATGGGCTTTGTTTTTATTCGACTTACAACTTCGTGTGTTTAGTGCTTATTATGGCTTTGATTGTCTGTGTAATGTCACTGGGAGCTGGTGGTTTTATGATTTGGTTTAAGTATCTATGTACAATCCGTCTATTATATGTAGCATTTGGATTAGTTATGATTTTTTAATTGGGATTTTTGAAATGCAAAAATATTATTTATGCCGTATAGCGAAGCAAATTTACAATCACTGTGAAACCCAGAGATGTGGAGTATTTTGGTAGGCAGAACCTACTAAATTTTCAGCTACTGTTATGATGATGGACAAAAATGCAAACCATAGCGGAAAGCCCTAGGAAAAGAACATTTCATTGCTTTTCTTTTTACAATGAAAGGAGGCAAGTGATTCTGCGGAATTCAGTAAGGCAAGTGATTTTGTCAAAATAAAAAATTAGCATCCACAACGATAAAAATTGATCCCGTACCAAAATTACCTCTAATCAGTATAATTTTTGGAGAAGCAATTATGCAATTTGGAACTTTTTTTATTCTCCGCAAAGGCTATCTCCATGTTCGCCTTCATGCATGTTCTTAATTTCTTCCAGATATATTCGAAAAACTAAAATGGTAGGTCTCCTAATTATTAATTGGTCTTACGGTCCTAGTTTTCAATTGTGAGTAAGAAACCCAAAGATTTTCAATTATCATTGTTTCCCACTCCAAAATTTCGACATGGATTAAGAAAAAAAAATAGAAAAAAAGAACAGTGCAGAAATTTCGTTCTCTATCTTGTTTAACCAATTAACCTCATCTTGATTTGCCTATGGCTATTGGATATGGTGAATTGATTGCTAAAAGTTAGGGCTACTGATAGTCGGCGCTAGAAAGTCCATTACCAGAGAGATAGGAACGAGGTGGGAAGATAGGGATAATCTAATATTTTGACCACCTAAGTTTATTTGAGAAATACTCCCTCCATTTCAAAATAGGGAAATGATATTCATCTCACCTTTACTTTTCACTCAATTATCTATTGGACAACAATTTATTGCATATGGTGCATTACCTCTTACACCACAAATAAAAAATTCAATTTAAATATTATATGTTTTTCATCAATATTGGTCCAATTGACAAATCATTTGCATTATTATAATTATTTCTTTCAGTGTTTACTTTTTTCGAAGGTACGGCTATTTATTTTAAAATTTTAAATATAAATATCCAAAAAGTCTATATATTTAATACTAAAAATTAATTAAACTCACTTATTAAATTTCATCTAATAATTAAATGTTCTATAGGGTGAGATATAATGGTGACATTAATTAGGTGAGGTATGTATTATTACTCTTCAAAAAGGGTGTCATTTTACAAGTTGCACACAAATTAAAAAAGACTTAGAGTAATAAAATTACTTGAATATCCTCAACTAACCCACTAAAATAATTACTCATCAATAATATTAATTCTTTTAAAAATAATTTTGGGAATCTTGGAAAAAAAAAAGTAATGTTGACTAAAAATTAATAAAATTAAAAATAAGACATTAATAAAATAATCTTCAAATTAATATTAAAAAAACAAAAGTATTAAAACTTCAAACATCTACTTGTTTGCTGCTTTTACCCGTTAAGATCCTTCGAATCCAATAATTAATGTTATGTTGCAATACTAATTTTATATATATATCCCTTTTACCCTATTAAAGCAGAATACAGGATGTTGATGTAGCAACTTCTTATTAAAAAAATTTGGTTCCAAATGCACCATATTGCTTTAACCATTCTGCCACGTGTCATCCCTTTTTTTTAAAAAAAAAAACTTCTTATCTGGAAAAACAAAAGCTAATTTACAAAAATATCTACACAATTTTAACTCATAACACTTATATTTATCAATCAAATTAAGATAGGATTTAAATTTGTCCATAAACTTATCCCTTTTATTAATTCACATTTTTTTGTATGATTTCTGCATCGATGTACTTTTTAATTTTTTTCTTCTTTTGCAGATGATTTTTTATTTTTATTTTTATTTTTGGCTAAAAAAGGAAAAAAATAAATGTGTAGCTATTTTATTTTTTCTAAATAAAAAATTCATTTATCTATTAACACAAAATTAAAGTAGAGGGGGCGCCCGGGCATCTGCCTGGGCCAAGCATCTAGTTAATTTTATATATATTAAAGAAGAGTTTTCAATCGAACATATGACGTAAAATTAGATTGGGTAATCCACATGGTAAAAAATTAAATAGCCAAAAGCACATGTCGTACTCACATCGCTCCATCATTTAATGGTTAATTTGTAAATCTGTAAAATTCATAAATTTCTAATTTTATCCAATTTAAAATCTATAAATAACTTATTAAATATTTTTTTATTTATAAATCTTATCAATAAATAACCAATTCTTTTTAAGTACCAAAAAGTGTTTGGAAAAAAAATCAAAAAAAAAAGAAAATTACGTCAAAATATTTCTTCATGAACAAAAAAAATCTGGACGTCCACCAATAAAACTAAAATCAAACAACATTACAAAGAGATTTTTCAGTAAGGAAATTAGTTGAGCAGAAAATCATCATCACCATAAATAAGACATATAATAATCAATATATAATTCCAACCAAAAAGATCAAAAGATTTGAAAAATTTTCTAACTTTTTTTTTTTTAGAATTAATCCACATGAAAATGGATAACAAAATTGGAATTAAAAAAATTCAAAATGTTTTTTCCTTTGGAAGCAAAAAAGCTCCGAGACAAAATTAAAATTAATTTGAAACCTCAATACATTCAACGACATTTGGACAACCCTTCCAATCAAACGTAGTACACAATGAAAATGGAGTTTAGTTTCCAAGTTTTGCTTGAGTAATAACACTTTTTCGATTAATTTCTTTCTTTTCTTTTTCAAAATTCATTCAATTCAAACTATTAAAGTCAAATCTCTTTTACCCTATTAAAGCAGAATACAGGATGTTGATGTGGCAACTTCTTATTAAAAATTTTTGGCTCCAAATGCACCATATTGTATTAACCATTCTGCCACGTGTCATCCCTTTTTCAAAGAAAAAAAAAATTTATCCGGAGAAACAAAAGCTACTTTACAAAAATAGCTACACAATTTTAACTCCTAACATTTATCATTTATCAATCAAATTAAAATAGCATTTAAATTTGCCCATAAACTTATCCCCTTTATTACTCCACATTCTTTTGTATGATTTCTGCATCGTTGTATTTTTCAATATTTTTTCTCCTTTGGCAGGTGATTTTTTTTATTTTTATTTTAATTTTTAGCTAAAAAGGGAAAAAAACTAAATGTGTAGCTATTTTATTTTTTCCAAATTAAGAATTCATTTATCAATTAACACAAAATTAAAGTAGAGGGCGCCCGGGCAGCCAAGCATCTAGTTCTACTTACAAGAGAATACAATTACTACACATGCGTATCTTATCAACAAATCATAAAGAAAATGCATTTCCAACTCAGTTTTCATAGTTTCGCGGTTTTTTTTACTTGGTTTTGTTAAATATAATTAGTAAATTTAATTCCATTCACGGTGTCTGGAGAATAAGTATTAAATTTAAACATAATTAAACAGTATTACAGAAAATAAGTTTTAAAAAATTAAAATTATAACAAATAAGTATTTAAAACTCTATGACGGTGATAAATAGTTTCCTTTTTTTTTTATTTTTCTTTGCATATCAATTTTGGAATTCAAGTGCGGCATGTGAATTTCATCGATGAATTTTCGAAGTTTGATAATCTGCACAAAAACATAAAAAATTATTCAAATAATTTATTATATTTTTTTCATGTGATATAATGATAGAAAAAGGTAACATTACGATGATAAAACAAAATGTAGGAATGAAGAGAGGGAAAGTTTTCCAAAATGAAAAAAAGAACAAAAATTTTTATGACAGACAAACAATACAAGAAAAGAATATAGAGAAATTGAAAATAATTATATAGAGAAAAAAATTATGTAGATAACAAGAAAATATGAAAAAACAAACTGAGATGATAGTGAAAAATGAAATTATTGAAAATTTTTCAAAAAAAAAGGAAGCTTAAAAAAGAGGTCATCAATTTTATTTTTTTTTAAGGTGAAGACCATGGAACCAAAAAAATAAAAATAAATAAAGCAAACACTAATTATAGGGAAATATACAAAAAAAATTGTAAAAGTTATATAGAAATGGAAAATCAAAACAAGTTTATGAAAGGAATAATGATAAAATTTACTGTTAGAGGAATAGTTTAAAGGATATGACACGGGCAAAAATATTTAGAAAGATCATTATGAAAAATTCAGAGGATACTTTTAAAGGATATAAAACCATAAATCAACAAAACAAAAAAGATGGACACTAAGTTACAAAGGATGATTTCTAATATTGATAATTATTCCAAGTGTACTTAACAAAACACATTGACAATAAAAATTACAACAATTGTAATTTATATCATTAATATTATTTTTTTTACATATATCATTCTGTTGGAAATGTTTAATGATTTAACGGTTATATCACATTTCTAATAGAGTGAAATATGTAAACAAATAATATTAATGATATAAATTGTAATTGTATAATTTTTAATTTCAATGTATTTTGTTACTTTAAGTACATTTTGAATAAATTTCAACATTCAAAATCCTCCAATATAATGTATCCTCCATCTTTTTTTGTTTTATTGATTTATGGATTTATATATTTTAAAAATATTCTCTTAATTTTTCATAATAATTATTTCTACCCGTGTCATATCTTTTAAATTCTACCACTAATATAATTTTTTTTTCATAAACTTATCTTTATTTTCCATCTCTCTATATATCTTTTGGAACATTTCTTTAGAAGTTTGTTCGTATACTTTTCTTATAATAAAGTTTTTACCTCATTTTTTTTGGTTGCATAGTTTTCACCCCTTTTTTTTTCTAAATTTGATGAACTCTCTTTTTAAAGTTTCATTTCTTGAAAAAATTGTAATAATTATTTCATTTTTCACTATTATCTGGACTTCTTTTTTCAAATTTAATTATTATTTATATAAAAAAATTTTCCTCCAATAAGTATTTTCAATTTCTTGATATACTTTTCTTCTATTGTTTGTCTCTCACAAAGACCTTTATTCTTTTTCTCATTTTAGAAACTTTCTCCCTATTCATCTCTACGTTTTGTTTTATCACCATAACATTAAATTTTTCTACATTTATATTATATATATAATGGATAAATTGATTTAAATACTTATGTCTTATAATTTTTTTTCAAAATTTATCTTATTTGATAATAATGAATAAAGGAAGGAATAGGGAAGGGGACCATGCTGATCTTCAGTTTCGGCCAATTGAGCTTATATATTAACATCACAAACAATATTAATTGATAATGATAATAAAATAAAATTTAAAAACCCTTGCTAAATACAAATTTGGTACTTCTTCGCTCTTCCTGTGTTCCAACCAATAGGCGTTTCGTCTGATTAACCATAATAGTTTTCTACAAAGTCTAGAATTGATTTCTTGGTAGAAACAAAAGGGAGATATGAAACGTAGGTGGGAGTGAGATGTTGGTACAAAGGGGATTGAATAACAGCCTAGTGGTTAGGATATTGTGCTTCCGGATATTATACCTTGGTTCAATTTCCACCAAGGGTAATGTAAAGAAAATTTTATTCACATTTACGTGGAGTCCACTGTAGTGAATTTTTTTGTAAAGAAAAAAAAGATGTCGACCCAATAACTCTTTAGAAGCTTAGCCAATGTTTCATTTCCTTTCGCCCGCCAGCTTTTATCATTATCAACGGCTGCATTCCTGATCAATATCCGAATGGGTTTGCTATATATGAAGAGCATGTCAGAGAATAATGTAAATTATAAATTGGTTAACTTGCGCTTGATTAACCGAATAAAATTAGTTATTATTTATAGATTTTAAATTGTAAATAAAAAAATTACTATTAAATGATAGAGTGATGTGATTATAACATGTGTATTTGACTATCTTTTTTTTTTTTACATGTAAATTATTTTATTTCATTTTACACCAGGTGTCCGATTAAAAATCCTCTTTTACTATATTCTATTTGTTTATTTATTAATAATAAAAATACTTTATTATTCTATTTGTTCAAAAAATAAGTGATTTGTGTAATTTAGCCGTGGTGTGGAAAATTTTTAATAAAAACAAAAGATATATCTAGACTTCAGAGTAAATATTCATTGAAGTGATATTATTTTTCAATTCATTGTAAAAAGATATTTATTTTATATTTGTTCAAATATGTATTTAGCAAGATATGGCCATTAATTATTGTGTCATGACCGATAGTTTACTCAAACTTAATAAAAGATATCCCTCGCATATTTTATAGTCATCTAGTAATTTGGGTTTCATGCCAAATTGGAAGATGAGCTTCGGTTTCGCAAATATGTAGGACGTTGATCTCTAAACTCTAATCAATGTGATAAAAATTAAAAGGAGATAATAATTCAGAATAGTCAACTAATCATAATACTAGAGTCGCATAACAAATAGTATTATTGTGAAAGGACTAATAAAGTAAATAACTAATGTAAAATTTACTGTTAAAGGGTAATCTCTTAATTAATTTAGTTTTATCTATATTATTTATAATTTACATTAAAAAATTACCATTAAATAATAGAGTGATGTGGTTGCGACATGTGGACTCGCTCTTTAATTTTATGCCATGTGGATTGTTATGTCTAATTTTACACCATATGTCCGATTAAAAACTCTCCTTTAATATATATAGAGATAAAGATATATTAGCAAAACCAATTTTGTTGGTGCTATAAAAATTAAGAGGAGATAGAAAGAAAGAAAAATAATGAAAAATAATGAATTGATTGTACTAAAAACTTGTGCATAATGTAATGCTCCAAAGTATGAAATTAAGGAGCATGTGATCCGTCTCGACAACTTACACTTTTCTCCATTTATAATAAACCGAAAAAATGGGATAAGTTTTGCAGACTTTACGTACGTATGAACTTCCTGAGCCTTTACACAATCCAAAAAAATAATAATAATACATAAACGTCTAAAAAATTAAAAATTAGAACTGCAGAATAATTTTAAGACGAATAGAGTAATAAGTACTTGTAATAAATGAACAACACTCATCCCATAGACCGACTTTTATTATGTAAAAAGCATTTGCAACCTGTAGCGTTTTGTTTCAATTGTTAAGGCTACATAACGTTGGTCACAACCACGGGATCAAGTCTATAATAGTATCATATAAAAATTGATGGCGGGACTGCACGAACTTTCTCAACACCTGGATCGTATGCATGTCTTTGTAAGCCCGTGGATAAAATTATTTGATGCTTATAACGAGTTTCAAAACCTCTAATATCTGATTAGGATAAAATAAGTTTCTATCACTTAATCAGATGATCAGATTAAAACCTCTAATATCTAAATTCTTCTATGCTAATATCTCTAATATGAATATCTAAAGGCAAATTGGTCCTCATCTTCTTCAAGTTCCATGCATTCAGTTAACAACAAACAATCTACATTCAAATCATTAAAGCATACACCATTCATAGAGATTCTGATCGACCGTACACTAGAGATGGATGCAATAGTAACGTCGTTCTCTATTCCTGTTTCCGTTATAAATCTTCCATATTGTTGTGCTACAATATATGAATGAGACAAGTAGTATATAACAGGTATCCCTACCTATAAATGGTGTATGGTTCTATAGCAATACCCGATCTAGGGGATGTCAACGGCTTTATGATTTGTTGGTTAATACACATTCATAGGTGTAATACGACAATATAACACAAAATTTTGTGATACATTTGGTGTGGCGTTAGTAAGGTAGAACGTTACTTAACATTACTAATAATGATATGTGTCTATTAATTAATGAATATTACACAAAAAGTATCACCACAAATTCGGAGCCCGATATTATAAGTATTTTTTTACCCACGGAACGCTGTAATCTAAATAAATAAATTTGTAAGTTTTGCCTCTATAATTATTAAAAGAGTATTTAGCTGGATTTATGCAAGAAGAAGTGATGGGCAATAATCCTAATTAGAGTAGTTTAATACATAAAAGAGTTGGAGACAATGTAGTCACTGCATCACCTTGGAACTCTCTATAAAGTCACATGCTTTGTGAGTCCAATTTCCATCGTTTGTTGAGATTTTTGACTTCGGATCCAAAGCAAAGTACCCAGATTCACAATTGTTTTTCAAATTTTGTTGGGGATGTCCTTTCAAGGACAAAAAAAATCAATTAAAGTAATAATTATGGACAATGATAATAATGAAAACTAGTATTTGGAAATTAAATGAACACCAATAAAAACATAAAATTATGGACTCTCCAGATTCAGTCTTATAATCAAAATCCATTGATTCATCAAGGTGCCCCACCATAAAGAGATAAGAGGCCTCATTAGATTCCAGAGGCTCAAACCCAGTGGACCCCAACCCCGTTCCTCTTCCCCCATTCATTATCTGCCAAATCCAACCTTTCATCACCCCCTCTGTACTCTGTACTCTGTATACTCTATAGATTATTGCCATTTGCTCCCCCCTCCTTCATTTCAAAATAAAGTTGAATTCAGTTTTTTTCCAGATCCTCCCACACTCACATTCACACACCTCAAGGTTTGACAACTCATTGTTTATTATATTCATCTCAGGGCCAGAAAGATTTTGGTGAGAGAAAGGTAAAAGCGCGCACGCACACTCACACACAGTCACACAGTTGGACAAAGGAGAATTTTTTTTTTTTTTTTCCGGGCATAGGGTTTTGTTTGAGTGATTTGAGAGAAACCCAAGATTTAAGAAGAAGAGGAGAAGAAACCTGTTTCTTCTGCTTTTTATCGGACGACAGAATCATGCCATCAGGTGCCAAGAAGCGAAAAGCTGCTGCTGCGAAGAAAAAGAAGGGATCAGGGAGTCATTCCAACAATAATAATAATAATAATAATCAGAAGAACAACAACCAACAGCCTCAAATTCACGGTACTCAATAAGGGCTCTGCGTATTCCTCCCCTTTTTCTTTTTTGTGGGTTGTTTATTTGTAATATCCCTGGTGGGGTTGTTTATGTGTGTATCTGTGGTGGGGTTTTTACTTTTTCAATCATTTCAGACAGACCCATATGTCAGTTTTGGTGATTATGTTATCTTTATGAACCTTTACACTTAATCGGGTCTCCCTGATTGGCCTTGTGGGTTGTGGCTCATTTCTTTGTTTGTCTTGATTTCGGCATCGTTTTTTACCTGCCTTTTGAGCCCGACCCTTTTTTAGGTATAGATTGATATTTTCTGAGTGTATTCATGTGTTCTGTCGTTAATGTGTGGTTGTCAAAGGTAGTGGTTTAATGACTTGGTCTTGGGCACCTTTTCTTTTTACTGTTTTGATTGGAACTTTCATTTTTCATATGTGATTCAATTAATAGAGAAAGAGAGAGACCCAGTGGGCAGTATTTAGATCATTTTCTCTTTTGAGGTTTAATTGCTGACTTTTGATTTGTGCAACACTCTGTTGCGATTATTAGCTGTTCTCGTGGTTCTTGTTTTTATTTTGTGTTGTATTGAATCAATGGAAACTATCACAGGAGATGAAGATTTGAAGCACCATGATGGTAAGGAAAGTGAGGGCGAGGATGGTGGTTCTCCATCCTCACATCACCAGCATCAGTCCACTGATGAGGAGAAGGAGGATGTTGGAAGGGCCGATGATAGCACGCAAGGTCAGTCAATAGCCGTGGAGAACAAATCTGCTGAAGAAACTAAAGAAAATGGTGCATCAGTGACAAGTGAAGTCCTTGATAACAGCATTGCATCCGAGGAGTTGTTGAAGGATGTTGATCCTCAGAAGGAATCGGATAATGGAGTTCTGTCACAACCTGTGAACGAAGAGGCTATTATACCAATTGAAACTAAAAGTGAACCTTCTGAAAAGTTGGACGAAATTTCAGCTGTTCAGTCCATTGAACATGGAACAGATTCCAGTGACAACGTAATTGTCGAATCCCATGTAAAGGACAATATGAATGTTGTGCTGGATAATTCTCCATTTGCTAGTTCCACCGAGGCTGCTAATATGCTGCCCGAAGGCCTGACTCAAGTAGCTAATACTGTTCCAGTTGAGGAGACTCATGGATCACTGGTAGAATCTGGAGTGGGTATTGTTTCTGATTATTCTGGTCCGGGACAAGAACAGGTTAGCATAGACAATGTTACTTCTGGTGATAGTTTTGTGCCAATCAAAGGTGGAAGTGATGAAAATGGGAAGAAAGAGGCTGATGCATCGGAGCTGAAGGACAAGAGTTCTCTTACCTTTACTCTCGAGGATCCGGGCTTTGCGGATGACAACGATGAATCTGGAGTTGCAACAAATGCTGCTGTTGTAGTTCCAGACGCAAAGAGCTCTGCTACCCAAGAGAATAAAGAAGTGTTCATTTCAGGTATTTCAAGAAGAGAGGAGGTGGCAAATGTTGGTACTGTAAATAGTGGTGATGACTCTATAAAAAATCTGGAAGTCAACGAGTCCTCTGTTAATCAGGTGTGGATTTTTTCCTTTTGCAAGATGCTCTAGGTTTCTGCATGGTTTGCAGCATTTAGTCGATATGTTGTGATACATAACATTTTTCTCAATTTTATTGTTTGTTGTTTCAATTATATAGCCCCTGCTTGGACATGCTGCTCAGCCCGTGCAGAAAACTTCATGGACGAGTTGCTGTGGTATATTTGATGTATTCACTGGATCCAGTAGATAGTTCATTGAAAATGTAAGTCCAAAATGTTTTCCTTTTTCCTGTCTTGACTCTTAGTTTTGTGAAGCGTAGCCATTATTGTTTATGCTTTTGCCCCTTTTGGTTGTTGTATCTGGGTGAACTTTTCTTCAGAGTGTAACTTTTAAAGTACATGAAGTTTTTGTCGGTTTAGCTAACTGCCTACTGTGAATTTAAATTCTTATCAGAAATTGGCCTTCAAAGTAATTGGATTATCCTTCCATTTGCAAACTTCACCTTAATTTATGGTTAATATATTTGTAATAATCTTCCATGCCGTTCTATTTTAAGAACCCTCTCTCGCAAAATGATTGACGCGGAAGGGGCACATGTGGAGAGAAGGAGTTCTCGATGTTTTTTCATGAACTTTTGGGTTGTTTTGTTGGTTCTAGCATGCTGTAGATGCTGGATCCTGAGGAAGAGAATCCTCATTCAAAGCTGTTCTGTCAGATTGTCTCTGACACTATCTTGATTTAGGATTGACTGAGGAGAGGTTCTGTATCTTGTTGTATCCTTGGGTGGTAATACGAGATAACTCATGACATTCACATAGAAAAGAACTTGCAACTGTGAAACAGATGAAGATAGGTATGACAGAGGTGTTTGAACTTAGAAAAGGCTCAGCTTAGCAACCCAGTAGCTATTTCACGAGTCTCTTTTTTCGGGTAACATATTTTTGTGAAGTTGGCTGTTATTTTTTTGGCACGTATTTTTGGGAAGGGTTTTTTGCAGGTCCCAGGTTTGCTATTAGTTTAGGAGACAAGAAGTTAAACACGACGAGTTGAATGAATCTGTAAACTGGCTGTGGATTTTTAATTCTTTTGGGCTAAAATTTGGATTCTATCTTTGACTTAAAGTGGTCTATACATAAACATATAAATTTAGTTCTTGGCACATGAGGCTCAGAAACATCTGTATGTTATGGATTTGACACTAGGCCAACTGAATATTCACACGATTCCATTTCTAAATCCCTCCCACACTTTTTGCTAAGATCAGTGTGTCAGTGCAGCTGTTATAGACAGTTGCCAAATAATGTTATCATGTGGTAAAATTTTTAATCCTTGAAGGGGGCTTCTTCACATTTAAATTGCAATTAGGAATGGTGATGGGCATGTGGGTGGTTGTGGTTGAGGTAGTGAAGTCCACGGTTACTGAATAGAGGTTTGCGAGTCTCATTTTTATGATTGTATTGGCTTGTTTTCATTTGGCAGAGATTTAAGTTGGTAATGTTGCAAATCTTAATGTTTGGTTATGTGGCACTGTATGTAGGTATTTCTGAGATGTCTTCATTACATTCAGATTGCAATTTCTAATATCAACCTTTCATTTTCCTTTGATGCAGAGAGAGCACAGAGAGTTGTTCCCCTTGACGCTGAGAAACGTGTAACAGAACCAGCTCTAGAAGACCTGAAGCTCGTCGTCCTTACATTTTCAGTAGTGGATAGGAATCGATGTAGTTTTTGTGTAGATGCATGCTGGATTTCTTGTTACCTTGTTACTTTCTTGATTACAGTGTGGTTATATTTGTCTTTGAGAGAGAGAATGAGAGACTTTTACATATAGTAAGGAAATTTTTGCATTCCATAGGGTTGCAGGAAAATTTTGAAGAGTTATGTCATCTGGGTTATCGTGTCTGCATATTTTTCATATACTCTAGCGTCGTCATTGGTATAGTAATGACATTCAGCTGGTCCTTTTGGTCTACATAGATTTTCTGATGAGTTCTGCCTCCGGATGGTTAAGTTCATCTTGAACCTGAAAAGGTAGTACTACGTTGAAGTTTGAACTTGAACTTGTGGAATCATGTTAAGTTGCTCTTTCTTCAGGTCTTGTCCCATTTTAACAATTCAGGTTCTTATACTGTTTTAGTTTGAAAAAAGGAGTATTAAAGAAGGCCTGTAGACAAAATACCAAAAATTCTTAACCTGCTAAGTAAATCATTCCATCTTTAAGCTATCTTGAGACTGAGAGGAAGGCAGACATTTTCACGAACCGCATAAATTGATTTTTTTTTTTTCCTGAAAATGGTGATGAATGTTGATCGACCATGTAATCACAAAGGTAATGCGCAATAAGAAAGATTTTTCATTTTCTCTAGATTTATTTTTATTCAGTGGTTTTTTTTTTTTTTATATAAAAAAGAAGAAGATATTATTACGTAGGGCATCACGATCGAAAAATTATTGGGTACCGCTGCTGTATCCTGGTTTTTATTACAGCAAGTACTAGCACACAACTCCCGTGAAAATTATCTCTTCTCCTAAAATTATTACTTTACCTTATTATTTGCACTTAATAATTTCTCCAATCACAATCAGGTCCTCCCATGGTACCCATTGTACCCGTTCATTCGCAATTGCCTGAGAAACTGAGGAATTGCCTGAGAAACTGAGGATTAAAGGAGAGCGTTGAGTGAAAAAACTGTTTTTCTTTTATTCTCACAATTTTAGAGGGTGATGTAAATCAGCGTTTCTGTTCTGTCACAGAGAACTCAGCACAAGCACCATGCAGCAGAGCTCTTTGCGTGTCCTCTGTTCTTCCAACTTTCTCTTTCCCTCACTTCCTTATCCTCTTCCTCCACCATGTCCAATCCTGTTTAGTCACCAGCATTCAACATCTCAGAAGAATTTTTCATTTCCTGCAAAGTCGCCCCTCAATTCTGTGCATATTCCTCATCCTACCCTCTTTTCAGTTCAAAGTACAGGTAACCCTTTTATCCGTTTTTGGTGCTTTTCCCTATTCTTGACACTGGGTTTTAGTTACTTAGCTTCCTTTGTGCAGCTAAATAGAATTATTATTATTATTTTTTTAAAAAATAAAATCTTCCGATGTGAAGTTTCGAATTTCTGAGGGTAGCTTTGCATAGGACGTTATGTTAGGTGCAACTGGGAATTGGGTTTATCTATCTCGTTTCGGTTGTTGAGCAACATGTAGAATTGATTAGTGATTTTTTTTTTTTTTTTGATTTTTTCTTTTGTTTATGTGGTTTCATTTTGTTTGGTTGTTCTGGTATTGGGCAGTAAATTTATCCTCCTTCACAAAAATTAGAGGTGCTCATCTATTCTACTTTCCAAGCTTTACATTTCTGTGATTGCCTATTGTCTATTTTGACGTGTTTTTGTAATCGTAAGGTATGTCTGACCTTTTAAAGCTCTAAATATGCCAGGTGAAATGGGACACCGTTGTTTATTTTCTACAATTTTCTGGTTGTAATACGGGATTTTTGAAGATTTTACCACTCATTTTATCCTGTTTATCACAGCTACACAAGAACTCATTGAAACAAATCAGACAGAATCAGGTTTTGTAGACATTGGATACATTTGTAGTGTTCATGGGCTTCAAGGGGAAGTTCGGGTAAAGCCTATCACTGATTTTCCTGAACTGCGGTTTGCCCAGGTAGTAAATTGCTACAAGAAACTTATTCTGAGTGCACATTCTATTGTATTTTTTCTCCATCGTCTTGAATGCTATAAATATTTATTAGCCAGGAAGACGGTGGTTGCGGCAGCAAGTTTCTGGGAGAGAGATAATTAAAGAAATTCAGCTGGTGGAGGGAAGAGGGCACCAAGGACAGCAAAGTTGGATAGTTAGATTTAATGAAATTGATACCGTGGATGAGGTACTATGGTAGTTGCTTTTTTGGTCATCCTATGTTTTGTCTTATTTTATGCAGATGCATATTCTATAAAAGTGCTCAGACCATGATGAATTTTACTTGTAATTGGTTTCAACAACTGTTTATGCCGCTTCATTACTAAAACAAAATTAAAGAGTCCTCCAGTTATACATTTCATGGACAGAGAAGTTGCTTCTTCTTTTTTTCTTTTTTCTTTTTTTTTTAAAAAAAAGGAAATAGGGGCAGCCCATATGTAGAAAGCTTACAAACCTTGAGTGCGGGGAAGTGTCTAGCCATTAAGGCCTGATGTATGCAGCATTGTCCTTTGTTGTAGGAACTGAAACTCATGCCTTCATTCATGTCAAAGCACCCCTTATGGCTGAGACAAGAATTTGCTTCAGTATATTTATAGTAATTCTAAGCATGCTTATAGTTAGAAACTCAAGATGTCTTCTGGATTTCTTTAGTCTTCTTTATTGATTGTAGTAGCTGTGAAATGAATAGTATGGATTCTTTGGAAAATATTGTTCTAAAAATCTTTAATGCACTGTAATTAATGTCTGTTTTCATCCTTGTCAGGCTTTGAAGCTGGTTGGGTCAACCGTAATGGTTTCAGAACAAGATAGACCGGAGTTGGATGAAGGGGAGTTTTATACTCATGACCTCATAGGCATGAGAGTTATTCTTAAGGTTGTATCTCTTAAATATCAAACATTTGTCAACTTGATGGCCTAATTTCATCACAACAGAGTTTTTCACTGATCTGAGAGAATTTATAGATCAAGATGGTTATTGTGCCATCACTTTAGTAGGTTTTAAGGATCTTGCAAACTGTAATTTGGATTCTTGTGTCCTACTTTTATCAATTGATCATTAGTATCAAAAAACATTTTGAAATTTGTTGTGGGTTCCTAAGTTTTACCAGTATTTAGTGGAAGTCAAAAGATGCTTGTGACATTAGTTCCACTAACCAATCTCTATTTATTGTCTGATTTCAGGAAACCGGAGAGTCTCTAGGAACTGTTGTTAGTGTTTTCAATAGCGGAGCTAGCGACCTTTTACGTGTCAAACTCGATTCATCAGGTGGCAAACCAGGAAAACCTAGACAGGAAGTAGGGAATAATGGCCCTCTTGTTTGGATTCCTTTTGTTGAAGCAATTGTTCCAGATGTAGATGTAACAAAGAGAGAAATGCAAATAACACCTCCAGATGGGTTGCTGGAATTAAATATCCGCTCTGATGAGAGATCCAAGAAAGAAAGGCGGCAACTTGTGAGGCATACTTTCTTTTTCATGATTAATCTTTCTCTCCTTTATGCATTGATATAATGTAACATGTTAAAGTATTCTTTTTTATCGCAGAAGGAACTTTTCATTTATCAAAAGCCTCTACGACAATTTTGTTCTCCTGCTATGCAGAATTGTCTTCTCAATCTCTGTGATAACACTTTTGTATAAACTTGCATTTGTGGAGTTAGATCTGAATCTGTCCTTGGTTGTTCATGCTTTGTGAGCCATGGATCTCTGATAACATATCATTTGGATTTAGTACTTGGCATACATAGTGAGTGTTGTCTACCTAGCTGTAACTTTTTTGTCTACGTTCAACAGTCGTGATAGTTGTTTCAATTTCATTTTTTCAGCTGATGTTGTGATGTTGCTCCTGCTGTGCTACTTTTCACTTGTACTGGCCTGTATGTTTGCCATCTGCCTGCTCAACTAGGGCTGCATATCGGCAGCACCTTTTTGCCGTTAGGATCCTTTTCTGACATTTTGGCGCATGCATTTCTTTTGTTCTATAGTTGTTAATTCGATTAAACACGATTTTAATCCAGTTCACCTGTGTTTCAGTGAGTAGTATTTTCTGTTTCCAAGGGAATGTGATTGATGCCTTACTCTCGCCATCTACCGAGCACTGCCGCAGTAGAGTTTTTGTCTAGAAATGTATTATGTCCTATCGTCATGACTATAGATAGGTTCTGCCTTAGAGATTCTAAATAGATATCTTGTTGCAGATTTTGCTTCTAAGCCACTAAATCTGTTCATTGCAGGAGTGGAAAGAAAGGAAGAAGTTTCAAAAGCGTGTAATAGCAGCCAAGAAAAAGCTCTGCGAATTGGAACAGCAACATGTTTTTAATGGCTTTGGACATGGAGAGAAGTCCCAAGCAAGATTACTTGCGGAACAAATAGTTACTGTGAATTCAAAACTTCTTCAACAAGCATTACAAATGCATACTGTGAGGTGAATGTCGTATTCAATGTCTGATGGTCATTTTCTAAGATTTTGAAGGGATGTGTGGTTTGACTTGAAGTTAATGTAATTTTAAGGTGATTGGGATCCGGCTGGCTCTGGAACTGCTAATCAGTGAAAGATGTTGCTGGTTGCCATGTGTCTCTAGCAATTAGCTCATTAGAAGATCTTAAATTTGTTATCTCTGTTATCTTTTACTGTCTGCGTACTCTTTGCATGCCCAAAATCAGTCATTTAGAAGGCATCGCAGGTTGTTAACTGTGGACACCTCTGCCGCGTAGTAATGTCATTCAACTTTAGATATTGAAGAGACCCATCATGCTAGAACTTTTCTTACCGTTACCTGCAACTAAGGTATACCTCCAGATTAGGACTTCTGATATTGCCCTTTAGACTGGTAATGATTCGACAGAACTTTTAACGTCATATTGGATTTTCTTTGCATGATAGTTGAATGTTAACTCTTTATGATCTTCTTTGTGGTCTTTCTTGTCTATCGTTGATATATGGAGTTTGGATAGGTTGGAATTTCTGTTTTGTTGGTGCCTGTTGAAAAATGAAACTGGGTAAAAAATGTAGGCCTTCATTGATCCCGAGTTTCTGCTCATGGTGTTGAAAATTATTATTGAAATTGCTTCTCATTTAGATTATTCCTTTTCCAGTTCAACTGATGCGAAAAAGGCTTTGAGAGTTGTTGACAAATGTTTCAATACAAATATCAAGAAGCAGTCTGATTTATATTGTGAATTGCAAGAAAAAGGTTTTTCCCTCACATCTCATGGCAAGGTTGCCACCATCTTGGTTTTCGAGGGCAATGAAGAACCTGGAGTTTTTTCTGAACACTCATCCACTGATCCTGACAGAAGTGACGCAGTTTCGTCTACAGAAGAACTATTATCTGAAAATGAAATACTAGTGAAGGTATATTCTGGTAACCATTTATATCTTTTCAGGGTATGATTCTATGAATACTGGTATCATACTACTTGCCGTGGTTCTTTCTAATGCTCTAAGAAGATATTGGAGGAACACATTAAATTTAGCTGCTTTGGGTTCTGCTTGTTTTTTGTGCGTGTATTATGTCCAAAAACTGAATATTAAGGATTTCTACCTGTGTCTTTTTTGAGTTCTTTCTTAATGACTCTGCTGCGATGGGATAGAAACAACAAGAAAGAAGTCTTGCTTGTCTTTCTGGGAAGGATAGTCATATGGAACCTCTGATCAAAGTTTCATTTTCCAATTCAATGTGGAAATGGGGGAGGGAGAAATTATTAGTATTCAAGAAAGTGTTGCTAATCTCATATCTGATTTTTGTAATTTCCTTTTGCAGGCAGATGTACGTCCTTTTGTACCACTGATATTGGTTTCTCCAGCTAATGTACTTACTTCTCTTCAAGAAATGTTCATCAACCACGAATACTTTTCTTTGGACTCTGATAAGGTAACACATTTTTTGGTGAATGAATTATTCGCCAATTAATTTGAAAACCAACTCAGTGGGCTTATCAACTAGAACATTCTTAGAGTGAGATTTGTGTTTTGTGCGATTGATGGTTGTTTTGCCTAGTGGGAAAACTTGTTCTTAAAGTTTGCCAAGCCCAGGAATCTTAAGGTTAAAAACTGATTGAAGTGTTGTACTATAAAGAAAGGATTGGTCGATTATGAAAATGCAGTTTTTTAATTGGAAACTCTAAGCACAACTCGTTCTAGTGTATGATTGCTTGCAATCATTGTTCCATCCCCTTTGTAGTTTTTAGCTTAGTGTGCATGCTTGTTGTCCAACACTCCAACGTTCCTGTAGGTTTGGTTCCTGGAAGAAGAGAGGCTTCCGGTTGTCAGCAATTCAGTTGGAGAACCCAAAAGGCACAAGATTCTGATGAAATCTCCTTGGGAGATACTCCAGACACCAGTAGGATCTGGAGGGATTATAAGCTTACTGGCATCAAACAAGTTGTTGGATGATCTCAGCACACTAGGTGTGGAGTATGTCAAGGTCCGATAATTCATCTGTAATGCAGTTAACACGTATTTTCAGAGACGAGACATGACAGTAACTAAAGAGGTCATACCCTTGCTATTGCAGGTTTGCAAGAACAGATTTAGAAGCGAAAATGGAGACGCGCTAGTCGGACTTGTTGCTTCGACCAAAAGCAACGTGGGAATTGAAGTCTGTAAAGACTTGGACGAGTCTGAGGAGGATCTTCACATGGTATTTGCCATAAAATTTATGAAGAAACTAGTGAACCAGATGAGTAAAGTCCATTTTGAAGCTATCCCAACAGCAAACTCATACACGGAAAAGGTCGAGAAAGCGTGGATCGACATGGTTCCAACATCACCTAATTCGTTGGAGTTTCGCAGTTCAATATTCAGTTTCTTGAAGTCTTGCCGTTCAAATGAGATCTCTGTATTGCGGGTCGATGAGTAAGTTCTGGGTCAGTAAAAAAGTTGGTAGATAGTAAAGTGTATAGTTTAATGCATCTTCCAAGGCTTACTCCCCTAACAAGTTCGCAGATAGAACTTAGAAGTGTATGTATGATTTGTATCTTCATGAAATTCATGTCGTTGATAGCATTCTGAAGCTGGATATTGTGGCGGAAAAAAGAAAAGGGGAGTTATGATACTCTTAAACGAGAATTCACAGAGAAAAGGTGTTACGTACGGTGTTGTAACTAGACAGGATTAGAACAGATTCAGAAAAGGTACATTTGCTTGGTATAAGCTACGGCTTATGAGCATTCTTCTCAAATGTGTACAGTGTACACCCTATAACACATCTCTACATATAGTAAAGTTCAAAGTTTATGAGTCCTAATCCTATAGTAGGGTACATAAAAGTCCTAACATCTCTTTGAATGTATTTGATCTGGAGATACAGGTCAAGGCATATAAAGTCTAATAATCCCATCATGTCACGCTCAAAAACTTTACTGTATTCTATATATTTCTCTAACAAATCATCTGATTCAACCATCTACTTCCACAAGTTAAATGTTACTGTTTCATTCATTTTTTCCCATTTTTAAGTTGAAGAAAGGACACATTGGCATTCCAATTTTCCACCTTAAAACTTATTTTACCCTCTTCTGCCAAAAGGAAAGCAATAAATTCACGTTTTCAAAGTTTTAGATCCTACTAGTACTGACTGTTCTTAAATAATTGATTTCAAATAAATTAGTAAAAAATCTCTTGAATAATTTTGGTTTTTAATTAATATAATATATATAAATTATTATTAGGATTGACATAATATAATAATATATGGAGTAGTTATTATTACTACTCCCTACTACAACAGTACAACTTGTGTTACTGCTGGGCGTCAAACGGTCAAAGTGTAACTAGGAAACGGCGGAAAGAATGAAATTTAATCTCAACCGTTATTTAACTATAGCTCAGCCCAACACCGTCAGATCAAACACCTTCGCTCCTTTCCAAACCCAAAACCCTAGCAGACCCCGAGCCCACCACCACTATATATAAAGCAGAACAACTCCACCTCCATCTCCAGTGTGGCCGGCTCCGAAGAAACCCTAATCTCTGGTAAGCTCTCCGCCGTCTTCAGCCTCCATTCTTATCCGTGCCTTGATATGCCGCAGATCAGTTATTCATACGGTTTTTGTGTTTGTTATCTATTCTGCAGGGGAAGAACCGGTTAGAAGCAAGCAGCCATGGCGATTCCTTTGCTCTCGAAGAAGATCGTGAAGAAGAGGGTCAAGAAGTTTAAGAGGCCCCAGAGCGACCGCAAAATCTCCGTCAAGGTATGCGTTAGCATATTCGGTTTTATATCCATCGTTATTCGTAGAAATGTTGAGGTTTTAGGTCTTAAACCTATATTTGAAACTTAGATGAATCTACTTTTAAGTGTCTGTGGTTCTTGGATGAGGAAAATGATGATAGATAATTGTCGCCCCAGTCTTACTTGCATCAAACAGATGCAATTTGGTGATTGACATTCAATATCTGATTCCTTTATTCCGTTGTCTGTAGTTGTAATTTGATTTCTGTAAGGGATGATCTTTTTAATACTTTTGATTTGTTCTGGTTTTTGTTTTACTGATTTTTTTCCCCTTTTAGAGATATGCAAAGAGGTGTGATGATGATTATCCACCTTATCTGTATTGTGAATGATGAATTATAATACATGCACTACCATCTGATCTCATTGCATATCTCATTTTTAAAAACTCCTTTTAGATCTTTTGTTTGTGTTCTGACATTGTTTTGTTGTCAATGCCATTTTTCAATGCTTTATAGGCATTTATGTCACTTGTTGCTGCTTTTGTGAAAACTAGCGATGAGACATACTTGCTAACCACTTTCCAATTTTATTTTTTTTTTGATAATGTAAATAGTATTACCCATTGAGTTTGTGGTACGCAATCCATGATGAAATTGTAACATTGCTGATTATCAGTGATTATCCTAAAACATATTCACCATCTTTCGGCTGAGATTGCGTATTTTCTTAATTATTCTAGCTTCTAACTAGTTTTCTTATTGTTCCATTAATTTGAGTGTTGCCCGTGGTATCTAATGTCCGGAATAATCTATATCTGGATGTTTCGTTTTGAGGGCAGAAAGTAATGAAAACAGGTCTTGCGACACAGTTAGCTGCCGACCATGGCTCTCTGTTACTATATCCCTGCTTACATTTCCTAAATCCTGATACTACAAATCATTTGTCTTGTTTGTCAAATTTGCCTGTAAATTCCAATTTTCAATCCTTTCCAGTAATTTATTTATGTATCTAGTATTTCTTATTTTGGGTTTTGTTTTATATTTGTAGGAAAGTTGGCGTAGACCAAAGGGTATTGACTCCAGAGTCAGGAGAAAGTTCAAGGGATGCGTTCTGATGCCAAATATTGGATATGGATCTGACAAGAAGACCCGCCACTATCTCCCCAATGGCTTCAAGAAATTTGTTGTGCACAATGTTGCCGATCTTGAATTATTGATGATGCACAACAGGTGATTAACCAGTCTCTGTCCAGTTATTAAATCTAGGCAGATTGTATCTTCCATGTCCTGTTTACTGTGCTTGATATCTGATGTTTCCTCTGTTATGTTGTGCAGGACCTACTGTGCTGAGATTGCACACAATGTCTCTACAAAGAAGAGGAAGGAGATCGTGGAGCGAGCTGCCCAGCTTGATGTTGTAGTGACTAACAAGCTTGCTAGGTTGCGCAGCCAGGAGGATGAATAAGCCTTTGAAGAGTGCTTATAGTGTTTTTATCTTGAGGAAAACTTGGCTGTCCTTTTTGCCCTTTGATCATTTGAGCCAGTATTATCTTGTTTTTAACATTGTAATTTTGGTATATGAGGGTTTGAAACCATTCGATAATGTTACATGTAGACAGAGATTAACAGTATGGTTTTTGGAGAATTTATTTTGTTTATTGTGTTTTATATTATTCTTCTCGTGGACGTAGACATGTACATCAGCCAATTTACATATATTGTGAAAAGTGAAAACATGTTAGCCTTAGTGATCAATAATTTCAAAATTAGCTTGATTTCAAACATATCTTTACTAGTCTGGATTTTTTTGTACTTTTTGTTTCCTCATAATGTGTACTAAATCAACTTAGATTTGTCATTTAGATTTTAGATTTTTAAGTTTGTCAATTTGTAATATGATTCCTATGACAACGAACAACAGGGGGGGAAAAAACGACAGTTGAATATAAAGCAACTACCTTTTTAGAATTTTGGAGGTCGGAACACATAAGTTGGCTTCGGCCAAAAAAATTTCCAAAAAAGATGTGGACAAAATTTTTTTTTTTTTATTTTCAAAAAAAAGATGTGGACAAAAATATATATATATATATATTTTTTTAGTGGACAGAATTAGTTGTTTTGGATTTGTCAAATCCAAATCTATCTATTTTGTACGGCAAATCAGAATCTACCCAATAGAATTGACCACACCATTCCGGGACATATATTTTTATCCAGGTTTTTTTATTAAAAATTATTTCGGTAAAAAACTCCACATAACTACATAAGTTGATAGTTTTTTATTAACTTGTCTAATTTGCTGGGAACAACTTTTCTAAAGGTTATTTGCCCATTCAGGCTCCCATAAGTGTAAAAAGAAAAATTGTCATTGCCATTTCAAACTGAGGGAATAAAAATTTACTTCTCCTTCATGTTTGTAAAATGATTTTTTGGGTAGCTTCATTGTCATTTTCTAGACAAAAGTAAGCAACATACTAAGTAGGTGCTGGGTTCATGGGTTTCAAACCAAAATTATAGATTTTATTCCCAATTCTTTAAATTGAGGTGCTTGGTTCAAGTTTTGGGAATGGTAAGGATCCACAAACTTGTCATTCAAACCCATAGTCTCATTCCTCTCTAATTAGGTGGATATGCATAAGGAAAGAAGAATCCCACTTTTTTCTCTCTTTTAACCTTCTTCTCTCCTGTCTTTCACATGAATTTTTCTACGTTTCCATCTCCACCTTCATATATATCCAGATCCATAGAAGTTCTTGCCAGAAAATGCAAACTCTTCTAACCTTCTCTCTTCGTTCTTTCGTTGATGGTTAATTTTAACCATCTTTTAATAGAAAAATTTCAAGCTCTCATCTTCTTAAATCTGGATAATTTGAGAAATCAATAAGATTAGAAAATAGTAAAACACCTTACAAAGCTTTGTTGGTGGCTTCGATGTGTACAAGCTCCTTTCGGTGAAAACTTTCTTGTCCAATTCGATCAGATTTGAGGGCAAAAGAAAGGGGAATTTTTTTTTCCTTTCGATTAGATTTGAGGGCGAAGAAAATTGCGAAATGAGTACTTATTCAGGGATAAAAAGGACATTTTGTCTATTTTTCATTCCAAATTTTTCATTTACCAACCACTATATATGGCAATGACACTATCAGGCTCTGTTACAAGCTACTTTTGGTGAAAACTTTCTTGTCTAATTCGATCAGATTTGAGGGCAATGAAAGGGGACTTCTTTTTTTTTTCCTTTCGATCAGATTTGAGGGCGGAGAAAATTGCGAAATGAGTGCTTATTCAGGGATGAAAAGGACATTTTGTCTTATTTTTCATTCCAAATTTTTCATTTACCAACCACTATATATGGCAATGACACTCTTTTAAAACTATCATAGAAATTGGAATACTTTCAAACCACTTTTCTATCATATCCTAACTAGCAAACCAAGCACCTCCTAAAACTTCAAACTGTGCAATATTTGAAGCAGTTAAAAACTTTATCGATTAAGGAGCAGTATTATATCTATTGAAATATAGGAGATCTAAAAAAAATAAATGTAAAACTTCTAAAAAATAATAATTATTGAAATGTTTGACATTTAAAAATGTCTAACAAAATCAATGTCAAACTCAAATCTCCTTAATTTAAATTTTATATTTTGTTATAAATGCATGAAAATGAGACTAAAGAATTGAGTGTGTGTATGGCAATTTCTTTTGGGAAGTTAAAAGGAATCGGCAAATGATCTTTTGTGACACTTTCTTGTGTTAATACATATACTGTTAGAGAGAGAAGGGAAAAAAGCCTAATTGTTAGGGTAGTATTATCAAAATTTTAATTGCCACGAAAGCCCTTCTTAAAACCCTTCGTTCTTTTCTAAAGTCTAAACCCTGCAAAAAACTGATACCCAAATTCTACAAATGCATTACAGCCTCCTCCACCTCCGTCGTTCCCATCACCGCCACCACCAAATCCGGCGGCTCTACGATGCGGCAGCGTCGATAAATTGCGTCCGAGACCGCGGTCTCGACCACGCCGTGGAGAGAGAAAGGAACCTCAAGCCAGTCCTCAACCTCAAAAACCTCATCGTATCTGAGCCCTCAAAGTCGCTCCCACTCTCCATCATCACTCAATCCAAAGATTCCCTGAGAATCCCTGTTCGCCCAATTGAACTTATCCGTAGATACAGGTCGGTGTTTGAAGAATTTCTCCCTGGCGGAATTGGCATCCAACCCCACATCAAGCTCACCCCTGAGGTCCTCAACTACCACAAGGAAGAACAGCTTGTGTACGAAAGTGTTCTTTACAAACAAGATGTAGCTGATCGGCTCCTGAAGCTTCTGATGGTTAGTAGAATCAATAAAATTCCTGTTCGTGTTGTTAATGAATTAAAATGGGAACTGGGTTTACCCCAAGATTATTTGAAATCCATTGTTCCGGAATTTCCTGACTATTTTAGGTTGAAATGTGAGTCAAATGAAGATGTATTAGAGTTAGTATGTTGGAGTGACGAGCATGCTGTTTCGACTCTTGAAAAGAAAAGGAGTTTTCCCATTGAGTTTCCTTTGAAGTATTCCAGTGGTTTTGAGATGGATAAGAAGTATAAGAAATGGGTGGATGAGTGGCAAAAGTTGCCTTACATTTCGCCTTATGAGAACGCTTCTCATCTTGTTTCCAAGAGTGATGAGTCGGATAAATGGGCTGTGGCCATTTTACACGAAGTTCTGAATCTTTTTGTTGGAAAGAAGGCAGAGAGGGAGGTTTTGCTTGGTTTAGGAGAATGGTTAGGTCTGAGGTCGAGGTTTAAGAGGGCATTTTTGCAACATCCGGGTATATTTTACGTCTCCAGCAAGCTCAGAACTCATACTGTTGTTTTGAGGGACGGTTTTAACCGGGGCATGTTGGTTGAAAGGCTCCCTCTGATGGAAGTGCGGTTTAAGTATGTTCAGTTGATGAACACCATAAAGGAGGACCCGGTAAATAAAGAGAAACCGAAAGAATCTCCGAAGGAGGGCCTGGGAAATAATGAGAAACTGAAAGAATCTGCAGAGGACGACCCAGGAAATAAAGACAATCTGAAAGAATCTACAAAGATACATGATGGAAAAGATAAGGAAGAACAAGGGGAATTCTATGAGTTATCAGATGAACAGAGTACTGATGATTATGAAGACCATGATGATGATGATGATGATGAGCCTACTGAAAGGAAGAATTCAAGAGCATCTCGGAATAGAAGGTTTGAAGTAGGGGAGTCGCCAAGTAGAAGAAACTCGAGTGGAAGGAAATCAAGATTTAATGTTAGAACAGACATTCGTGATTCTGGAAGGGTCCATGGGAGATCATCGCGAAGAAATAACAATAATAATAATGATGATGATAATGAGTATGCTGAGAAGATGAATTCAAACAATTCAGTGTCATCACGAAATAGAAGGTTTGAAGGAAGAGAGTCTCAAAGTACTGCCTTAAGGGGACCAGCTAGAAGAAACTCAGGTGGAAGTACTACTAAATTTCATTTGAGAACAGAGACTCGTGATTTCCGAGGGAGATCACAGAGAAGAAATGACGACAATAATTCTGATGGACAAAAGGGAAGGATGAATTCAAAAAATAAGAGAGCACCATATGAGAAACAGAACAAAGTGAGTAAAAGTGCGGCTTTCTGAGAGTGCTGGAAGAAGTAGATGTGAATTGAGAAAGCATATACAGCGCCATATCCCAGGATATTTGGAAATGCTTTTTATATCATTAGGGGTGTTACATGCCTTCAGAAACTGGAAGTATTCCTTCAAAGAAAGGACTTCAACCAGGTGATGCTGGGATGTTAGGCAACCTATTTTTGTTACATGCCTTCTGCAAATGAATGAAATTGCTTGATTCGTTGTTGGCAATCCACGATGTTGTGTTTTATGATCTGCCACATATAAATTTTCCCCATGCAAGTACTGAAGTTGCATGCACCATACTCTCTGCTTCAAGAGCAGACCTTTTCGGCCAACAAGAGGCACTTCGCTGCATGGCGTCTGATCTGTTGATTATGAAAGCCAGCAACAAGTCACCCTGGTGGTTGTAAGGCTTGTTTTATTGTTGTCGGGGAATTATTTACTATATTTCTTAAGAATGAAGTTTGCCTGACATAATCGGGAAGGAAAATTTTGAAGTTGTAAATCCTGTTGAAAGGATGTAAAATTTGCTCAACGCTATCTGATTTTTTGTCACACCAGACGCTCCATGGACATAAGTTTGCCTTACAGGGAGTTTTGAACCAAATCTAATTGAATGTAATTTTTGTACACAGAGATTTGGTGATTATCTGTCTGTGTTCCTTTTCTGTTTCCTCCAATCCGTCTTGATATTGTTCCCTTTCAACTGCATTGTGTTTTACTCGCTGAATTAGTCTTCTGAGAATCAGTTAGATGGACATCTCAAATGCAGATTTTAGAAAGGGCTTGTCTGTTCTTCCCTACATCCACATTTCATGTTCAAAGTGTTAGAATTAATGTCAAGTTCTTCCGTGTCTTACTAATCTCCTGGAAATGGTTTGTGACAGAATTAATCATTAGTTTGTGATCAAACTTTTATCATCCCGTATTGCCTTCCCCTGTGAACATTGCTCACATTAAAAAATTTGAACAGAGCATTTTAAGGTCTTATCAGAAACCTTTCAGCATTGATTGGAACTATTGGACTATAACAAGTTGTTTTGTGTCTTCTCACTCCAGCTACTTTAGTCATTGAACTGTTTTCTGGATGAACTCGCATCTATCATCATTACTCGTTAGAGTCAGTTGGACCATAGTATTTACTACTCAAGGGATTAACTTGGTCAGGCTACCAATAGTCATTGCAGGAGCAGAACCCATCCCTAAAATGATGGAAGCGACTCGAATCTCTTAAAATAATCTCACGGTCAACAATTTTCGCTATGAGTTTGATGGCAGAGTGGCAATCCTCACACACACGCAGATTCTTCATAACTGTTATCGGTCCGCAACTCCCTGCATTACTGATTAGAGCAAAACATATAGCTAGCCTCTCACTATGAAAGGACAATGCTGCTTCTTTTTGTTCATCTTCAACATCATGTAGAGAATATCTCCGATCAGGGACATACCCCAAGTCCTTCAACTTTTCACCCAACCATTCCAGCTTTTGATATATTTCACGGCTGAGAGGGTGCGATCTACTGCCAGACACAAATTCGTGCCTCACCCCCTTGTGCGTTACCCAACTGATTCCGGGTGTTTTGATGGTTCCACACTTTTTCATCTGTGTTCTAACTTTGGCAACATCATTCCATCTACCAGCAAATGCATACATATTTGACAGCAGTATATGAGCAGAGCTGCATTGGGGCTCCATATTTAAAATATCATGTGCGACTTTTTCAGCTATATCAAAATTGTAATGTTTCCGGCAGCCATTTAGAAGAGAGAGCCACATTGACAAATTTGCTCTCATGGGCATGTTTGTAATTAACATTTCTGCCTCTTCCAATTCTCCACATCGGCATAGTATGTCCAACATGCAGGAATAATGTTCAAGCTTCACTTCCATTGATTTACTTTGTTGCAGACACTTAAAGATATGTCTTCCCTTCTGAAGCATGCCAGAATGACTACAAGCAGAAAGCAAACCAGTAAACGTGATACCATCCGGCTCAAATCCTGCACGTATCATTTGACAGAAAAGGGCCAGGGCTGGCTTGCCATATCCATGTTGTGAACAACCAACAACTACAGAATTCCAAGATACAATGTTCTTGCATGTAATCTCGTTGAAGACATCTATGCCATAACTTATATTTCCACATTTATTATACAACACAACAAGAGAATTACCCACAAAGTCATCAGTGTCCAATCCAAGCTTGACGGCTGCACTGTGTATTTGTTTTCCAAGATAAATGACCTCCAACTCACAAGAAGAGTGTAAGGCACTGGTAAAGGAAGATTGATTGGGAAGAATTCCATTTCGAAACATGGCCACCAAAACACTTATGGCCTCTTCATGCTCATTATTCGAACCATATCCAGTCATAAGCGATGTCCAAACCACAACATTCATGTGCAGCCTCTCGCTAAAAACTTTACAAGAATCTTTCATTCGCTTAAAATTCGCATAGAACGAGATAAGAGAAGCACTAACATATGCATCAAAAAGGGCCCCTAACTTGATCATATGCCCATGAATTTGAAGGCCAAAAAATAAGTCCGACACTTTTGGGCAAGCTGTGATCACACTTGAGAGACTACTCGCGTTCGGCACTACACCAGACCTCATCATCTCCAAGAAAAGCACCCGAGCCTCGTCACTCCTTCCATGTCGATCGAGTCCACTAATCATAGAAGTCCATAAAATAACATTCTTACAAGGAATCATGGCGAATAGCTTGATTGCGTCCTCCACTCTACCATTTTCGAAATATCCATTTATCATTACATTCCAAGCAGCGGAATCCCTCACAGGCATCGCCCAAAACAACCTCTCCGCCTCTTCAACTCTTCCATGTCTTAACAACCCGTTAATTAAAGTAGTCCAGGAAATTACATTCCTTTCAGGCATTTCATCAAAGAGTTTCAAACCCATCTCTAGTTTCCCAAGACGCAAATACCCCTTCAACATTAAATTCCATACAACTATGTCTTTCTCAGGCATTTTCTCAAACACGTCTAAGGCTTCATCAAAGTTGTCGTTTTCGATTAACTTGGCGATCATTTTAGTAGAATGATACACATGTGGAGATCTAATATTTCCAGAAACGGCTTTGGCTTGATCAACCTTTTGACTCGTGAAGTGTTTACACAAAACTGGATCGTTATTCGGAGCCCTTAAATTGGAGAATTCAGCAAAACCCATTAAAGGTTTTGTGGGCTTCGAAGAAATGTGTCTCTGAAAGTTAAAAAGGTGAAGGATCTTCTTGGTGAAGAATCCAAATTTCGAAACATGGGGGGATGCATTTCTGTACATTTGGGAAGAGGCCTTAGCAAATTAGTATGAAGAGTTTACAGAAAGCAGTGTGAGGTACAAAACCAGTAGCTGGAAGTGCTGGAACCTTGGATTTTGGTGAAAAAAAAAAATGGAATGAATTATGTTGGGACGAAGATTAAACCCTATTAGAAAAAAGGCCATGAAAATCTACAGAGTTTTTGGTTAAATTAATACAGGTTTACCTTGAACCACATCAAAAAAAAAAAAGAAAAATACTCAATCCAGGAAATATATTGTTTTCCAGATTATTGTTTTAATACAGGTTAAATTAAAAGAGTATGACAATGTATTGTTTTCCAGAAAAAATAGTCACCTTATTTACAAACTACTAAAAGAATCTACTGCAGTTATCTTGATTCTTGAACGTTATTCGAATCGAGACATTGCCTCACATCAGGAAATTTTGCGATTAAATGTAAAATTATCGAATCATCTCACTCGTTGTTAATTGGTTGTGACTTGTAAGTTAGATTCCGAATTGGACGACAAAATGGTCTTATAATAAAAGTATACAGAGTTTAGAGTCGGGCTTTGCGAATGAAGGTTTTCTGAACCCATCCTGCAAATATGACATTGGTAGTTTATCTTAAAACTTGGCAACACAAAAGTTAAGAAAGGAAACTTCATAGACAGGGAAATGAAAGATACGCTTATGAATATACTGTTTCTTTCTAACTTGGGGGAAGAAAGTGGGAAAGAAATCAAAATATGGAAGTATATATGAAAGGGGAAGGATATTCGAGTCTGAAACACAGAAAACAGGAATAAATTTCAACTTCCAAAACCCCACGTCAATTAAAAATGAAAGATGATTTTCTTAAAAAAAATAATGGAAAAGGGAAAGAATAAAGGTTTTCCCCGATGATGAAACAAACTGACAGAAGAAGAAAGGCCTAAACTGATCGGAGGAAGAATCAATGGAGTCGGATTTCTTGCTTGAGCATGAAGTACTTTGCCTTCTTTACAACCCCACAAAATGCCCTTTTTCCCAAAGGCTGCCCCTTTCAAGCAAGGAATTAGAACCCTTATCTTTTCACTTATTTATAAACCCAATCATCTCTGAGGCAGTTCTTCATTAGCAGCAGAGTAGTCTACTATATTTTTTTGTGCTCCCCAAATTTTATAGCATTCAAATTCAACTTCTTTCATACCAATACATAAATAAAATGGCCGGTGAGCAGATGAAACCGGTTGCTGGGCTGCTTCTGGTGCTCAATTTTTGCATGTTTGGTGTAGTTTTGGGCATCGGCGCTTGGTCTATCAATAAGGCCATCAACAATGGTTTCATTATCGGTTAGTTTTCTTCCTCTCTTTTATCCATATGTGGCATGTGCATTGGTATTTTGTAGTTACAATTTACGTGCAATATATATGATCATCACAATATCACATGATCAGTAATTACCTTTGTTGGTGCAGGTCCGGGATTTGAGTTGCCGGCGCACTTTTCACCGATATACTTTCCCATGGGAAACAGAGCGACCGGATTCTTTGTGGTGTTTTCGTTGATTGCTGGTGTTGTTGGAATGGCATCGGTGTTTACTGGACTGAATCATCTTCGTTTCTGGGACATTGATAGTTTGCCTGCTGCTTCTTCTGCTGCTTTCATCGCCTGGAGTCTTACTGCTCTTGCCATGGGGTAAAAATACAACTGTTATCTGTTAACAAATTCCCCAACTTAAACATAAGACATGTTCGTTGTTATTAATTTAGTTGTTCTTGGTTTAATTTTGCATTTTCAGCTTTGCCTGGAAGGAGATTCAACAGAACGTTAGAAACTCCCGCCTGGTATGTCTTTATTTTCCAAGTACTCTTTCTAACGGAGAATTTATTTTGTACTCCCTCTGTCCCAAAATTATTGTCCAGTTTGAAATTTAACTTTTAATGTAATATAAATTAATGAAAATCCAAACTGGACAATAATTATAAGACGGAGGGAGTACTTCTGACTGAAGCTTTCACTAGGTCTGAAAAACTTATGTTTATCTTATATCTTCTTTTATTCTTTCTTTGGAACAATTTACAGAAAACAATGGAAGCATTCATAATCATGCTCACAGCTACTCAGCTCATTTACATTGCTGCCATCAACACTACTCCGCTAAGGAGACGAACCATCAACTGAGGTCATTGTCCGAGACCGTGTCTCATCAGATTTCCCACTATGATGTGCTGCTCCTCCCAGTGTGTTTGAATTTCCCTTCGAAGTCTTTCTTACACTTGTGGCATTCTTTCTTTTCTTTGTGGCGTGTCGAGTGATTCAAAGATTTGTTAATTGATTTGGTTTATTATTGAATTTATTTCATACATTTTCTTACCAAGTGTTGGGACAAATTTGGATTCCGTCATTCAGTATTCAGAATGTTTCTCTACTCTCCAACTTATCATTATGAATTTGCCTTTTATAATTAATCAACACGCGACCAAGGCGCCAAAATCAATCATAAAAGTAACATTCAACACAACGACATCGAAATTGAAGTGCAATTTAAATGCAATCCTATCCAATCCAATCACAAACATGGTGGGAAATACTTGTGGTAGCAGAACTCGTTAGCTTCTCAAGTGTCACCATAAATGAAAGATCAAATTCGAAAAGACACCAGAGCTATTCACACTGGGCAGTTTAGTGATTTGTAAGCAGGCTAAAAAATGTTGGAAAAAGAATCCATTGGTGAACGGTGAGCTACATCTCTGAAGTTGTTTTCGAGGCAAACGATTAATAGCAGAGGAAATGATCCTCCACGCCGAGGAGGCGTTTAATATCACGATTTCCTAACATTATGTCTCAAACTTCAATGGAGTTCGAAATTAGTTCATTTCTGCAGAAGCATCCAACTGAAAGTGATGCCAACCATAAAAGCCTAGAAAAGTTGTTCAACTTCAATGACCATAAGACTTAACAGAGATGCTGCAGGGTTATTGTCGCATTTTCTGCAATTCACAATTCCATTTGAGCATAAACTGCACATTACCAAGAGGAGACGAGAAGGTTTCAACTCCAGAGACTTTCAAGTCCTAACCTAGGATCTCTCTACTACTACTACTACAACAACAACAACAACAAGCCTTTTTCCCATTAGTTAGAGTCGGCTATATGGATCTCTCTATGTAGGAAAATTGGTAAAACTTAAGCCTACCCTGGGAACACTCACAGCAGTGGGACCTTTTTGAACCTCAAAGTAGACCCCTAGAAGGTAAGAAAAGGATACAGAATCAACATGTATAGTGTCTTTTGTCTTGCATAATGAAAAAAAAACCTGCACTGTGTCTTTCCATAAATTCACTTTATGCATCTAATACTAATCCAGCAATCCGGTTGTGATTAAGCTACCAAAGAAATTCTTTCCTTTATTCCCTACATGTACAGCAACATCCCACAAACCCCAAAAACTCTTCTACATTCTACTCCATAATCTGTCTTATGTATTTAAATGATCATTCAATTCCTGTCTAAAATCTTTGGCAGCACCATCATTTAACCTCAGATAACAGAGTTATATGCATGAGCTATGTCTTACAAATTTCAAGAATCAGCACCAGCATTTTGTTATCACAACACCAGTTCTCTTCAACGTGGGTAAGGGTTTACTACAAAGCAAATTCAAACATAGCAGTCAAAAGTAGAAGAATGAAATAAGGCAATCAAGGTACAAACTTTACACAGCTACTCCAAAACGGCATAAACAGCAGGACATGATCTCCAAGATAGATGACAGTACTCAATTTCAGTTAGATCATAACCCTATTCCGCAATACCAATGTCGCAATCACAGATAAAAAACAAGCACTTGGAGTTTATAGCTAATCATTGCAATACGCTTGTCTAAGAAATATTCAGCCTCCAATCACATACTAGTTCAGACAATGAAAAACAAGCGCAAAGTGATAGCATTGACAGTCACAAGGTACTAAATTTACAGACATTAATCGCAACAGGCAACGTTCAACAATCCGAAGCTCTAGCTTCACCAAACAGATAAGACATAGTAGTTATTAATTAGTACTTCCGGAACAATTTCATAATTCAATCCTTGATTACCATCTAGTAACTTTAGCCACGAGCCTTGAGCTCCGCAAGACGCCTGGAGAGATCATCCTCATCCACCTTCTCTTCACTGTTCTTGGTTGGAATCGCATGTGCCGCCGCCTGTGGAAGCCCGACAGAGACCTCCAGGCCATAATCATCCGCAACCTGCTGCATCAAGGAGTTGACCTCGCCCTCCGGCGTCGACAGGGAAGTGCTTCCGGCCATGGAGCTCTCCATAAACTCGGCCTGAACTTCCATATTCACAAACTGGCGCTCGAATTGATCCATGGTCTCAGACATTTTCTGAAGATTCCCGGTGGCCAGGGTTGACTCGAGCGATTTCACGATATTGGACATTGACTTGCTGATGGTGGTCATCTTGGCTTGGGTATCGAGCCGAGCGACGACGGCGTCAAGCCTGGAAGCCAGGCGGAGGTAATTCATCTGCTCGCTGCGCTTCCTGATAGCATTCTCGGCGTAGATTCTGGCGCCGTCCATGTTCCCTTTCTCGATGGCCTTTTTGACCTTCAATTTCTCGGCTTTTTCGTCCTTCTCGCATTTCCGGGCTTGGCGTTGCAGGCTCTTTGACGTGAATTTGAGTTCCATGATTTGATTCATCAGTTTCTCTGCGTTTCCCATGGTAGCTTTCGATCGATTCCGACGAAGGTGTAGATAGATTCTAGGGTTTGTAATCAGAGAAGCAAAGCAAAAATATGGATAATAAAAATTTCAAATAGTAGATCTGTACGCGTTGATGATGAAGTAAAAGTTCCGTGTTTTTGCTTTTTCCAAATACGGGTATTCCACAATTATTCTTACGCTTAAGGAAGAGTACTGCGTATTTTGAAATTTTGTTTTTCATGTAATTAAATTGCATTTCAAAATTGATTTGAAAAACTTATTTATACAAAAATAGGCACTCCCCATTGTCCACTTCGGATTTTAATTTTTAATTCAGGTTGTACTGAAAGTGAAAATTTTTAATTTTAATTCAAATTGTACTAAAAACAAAAATCTAATTACAAATCCTAGAATCTATCTAAACTATATTTTTGGAACATAAAAAGTACTAAATTTTTATCGAAGATGACACTAAGCGGCCATATTGTCAGATAAAAAACTAACCTCCAGAGCAAAATATTATTCTATTACCCAAATTGCCCTTGTTAGTCCATACCATTTGCTCTCGGTGCAAAATTTTTTTCCCTTTTTCCGGCTCATGACATTTAAGAAATTCATAGATGAATAGTTTTCTTTCGTTCTTCATATTTACCTCTTTATGTCTTACTAAATTATTTTAGAATTTGAGATATATATTCATATGATTCGGTATTACAAAAGAATTCAATGTGAAAATATTGAGAACTGAAAAGAAAAAAAATGTATTATGTTGATTTTCAATAAGTAATTTATCTGAACCCGTATATACCTTCAATCAGACGAAATGAGTACTCCCCAATCAGTCATGACATCATGAGTTTAGATAATTTTTTTCATCTAATTCAAGGAAATTGAAAAACATATTTCTCATCCCACTCAAAGCAACTATACCGTAGCCAGAAGGTTGAGAATGAATGTTGACCCTAAATACATATTTAAATAGAGATACATTAGGTTGTGTATGAATGAATCATTCTCACACCATTAATTATTGAGTTTTTTGAGCTCTCCTATTTCTTAACAATAATGTAAAAATCTAGAGTAAGAACAAAACTTCTAGGCATGGAAACCATGGAAGTATACACAAATAAAACATATTACTAACAATAATTATGAACTGAACAACTAGAGAACAATAAAGCCAATTTTCATTCTTGAAAAAATTGAAAATTGATCATAAAGATAATAAAAGAAATAGAGTGAACCTTAAAACAAGTCATCAATCTTTAATATATTTCCACTCTAGGTCATCAATTAAATTTATTTGTAACACAGGTTACCTTACTAAAGTTTTAATCCATTTCAGATTATTCTGTTAATTTTGGCCATTAAATAGTGACGGAAATCTATTTTTCACATATTTTTGGGTTCATGGGTATTTTTGTCATTTTTTTATTTTTTATTTTTTAATCTTTAATTTTTTTTTTTTTACAATTCTTCTTCTTATACTTCCTAACTTGTATATACTAGTAGTATAATTCTAAATTTTAAAAATTTATTTTCCTTTTGTATTTTAACTTCTAGAGTATAAAATTTTTTAAAAAAAATTTAAAAAATGAAGAAGAAAAATTCGAGTTAAAGTAAACATGAAAATTAATAATTTACCATTTTAAATAAAAAGAAAAATTAAAATAATTAGCTAAGAAATAACCTAGAAGAAACAACTTGACTTAGCTAATTCTTTTAGTTTTTTTTATTGTTTAAAATGGTAAATTATTAATTTTCATGTTTACTTTAACTCGAATTTTTCTTCTTCATTTCTTAAATTTTTTCTTAAAAAAATTTTATAATCTAGAAGTTAAAATACAAAAAAAAAAATTTAAAAATTTAGAATTATGCTACCAGTGTATACAAGTTAGGAAGTATAAGAAGAAGAATTGTAAAAAAAAAAAAATCAAGATTAAAAAATAATAAAATAATAAAATGACATAAATACCCCTGACCCCAAAAGCATGTGAAAAATGGATTTCCGTCACTATTTAACAGCCAAAATTAACAGAATAATCTGAAATGAATTAAAACTTTGGTAAGGTAACCTGTGTTACAAATAAATTTAATTGATGACCTATAATGAAAATATATTAAAGGTTGATGACTTGTTTTAAGGTTCACTCAAAGAAATATAGCTCCACGAACGTGTAAGTTTGAAAATTCAGTAAATTCATTGAACTTGAAAAACTAAAAATAGATTCGGAAAATTTAAATTAATATAACCGAGCAGTTCGAATGGAGAGAAACATAAGAAGAGAGAGGGTTATCGACATTGAATAATGGATCGAGATGGAATAAGAGAATGGAGAGAAAATGGCGTTGAACAAATAAGATGAAATTGTAGAAATAGGGATTTAACTGATAAGGGTAATATAGGTAATAAAGCAATAAATTACAAAGGCATTTAAATTTTGCGAGGACAATATTGTTGGTCATGTAAAAAAAAAAAAAAATCAAGAATATATACTCTCTTTTTTTGACATTTTTTTTTGTCTAATCAATGGAAGGAAATCAATACATAATTATAACCATTATAACAGCACGGAATTAAATTTATCTCTACCGTAATTGTTTTGGCAATTTATAAACAACTAAACAGTATCTTTTAGTGATGGCGTAGAAAAACACGATAGGTAGTTGAATTGATCACACAGCTGCATACATGTTCGTACTCTAAAATTATCCACAAAATTATTTCAGGGTTCTTCGTTAGGATAGATTCAATGCCAAAATAATATACCAGTTTCACTTGAATCACCAAGACATAAGTCCAGAATTATGAAGTATAAATTTTCTTCAATTCTTATGCGAAACCGTGTGTTGAATCAAATTTGGCATTGGGTACTTGTAGGAGAATGTTTTCTCAACTTGTTGTCAAACAAAAAATATATTTTAAACAGACATTAAGATATCACGCGTTATTTAATCAGTTAAGATCAGATAGCAGATAATAATCTTCTTAAAGATAATTATCAAATAGCACATAAAATCAATATATTTGTATACTAAACCCAATAATTATTTTATAATTACTTTAATTATTTCAACTATAGAATTAGTTCTTTATGTGCGACCCTTTAAGTTCTGAACTAAAATAAATATAACTATAATTTATAGTTGGCTTTATTACAAACTAACAATTAAAACAGTCACTTTTTACATTTCACAGTACGAAATGTGATATAAAATTGTTTATGAGTAAAACACATAACATCACAAATATATTTTCAATTGAGGGAAGATCTATTCCTTGCGCTATTATATTGTCACAACAAAGCAAAATGAACTTACACATCGAAGTTAAGAAATTTTTGCTTCTGTGGAGTAGCCAATGTTTTTTTGTGATGTATATGTACGATTGCCACAACACAACACCACCCACCCCCGCGGCGCGCGCACACACACACAACCTCTAGTATGGTGCACATTCATTTAATAAATTTCCAGACTCAAATTATTTTGTTATAAGTTTTTAATCGGTTCTTTCTCATGCGTTGCAATGAGTATGTTGATAGATAATGTAATTGGTAAATAAATTGGATATCGGTTGAAAATAACTAAAAAAGACGAGTAAAAATAAAGTGGTGTGAACTAAAATTCTTTATTATTTTAAGCTTAGTGAAATCAATTCATATCATGTATATTGGTTTTTTTAAAAAAATTAATACGTTATGTAAATCAATTTAGTTTTTTCTTTAACCTTTTTATGTTGCAAAATTCATTAAATAAACTTTTAGAATCAAATGGTTTTGTGATGAGTCTTTAGTACAACACTGTATAAGAGAACAAATTTTAATATTTGATAATGACAGTTAAACTTTTTCATATTATAATCAAAGAATAACTGTAATTATACTTACGTATTATGTATGGATGAGAAAATTCATGATATTATTTAGTATATCATAACATGTTGATGATAGAAGAAATTGGCCATTGGCAAGAGAGCCATGAAAAAATATACTCCCTCTGTCCCAAAATTATTGTCCAGTTTGAGATTTCGCTTTTAGTACAATTTGAACTAAAAATGAAAACCCAAACTGGACAATAATTATGGGACAGAAGGAGTACATCTTATGTTCTAGATTGATTATCTTTTTTTTAAAAAAAAACTTTTGGTTTAACGTATACATTAATGAAAATATAAAATGGACAATGATTAGAAAACGGATAACATGTTCAAATGAAGAATAAAGCGCAAATATCATTCAGAAACAAATTTCCGTGACTGATACTAAAACGTAAATAATAATAAAAAAAATGTAAATCCGTTTAGATAATGATCAACTAGGTGGTATGATATCATCATACAATGGCTTAGGAACAAATCATTTTCTCTCCTTGGGAACAAACGGAGTAATGCTCAAACCACAACGATCTCCCCTCTAATTCCAAACACGTTATTTCTCACTATATACTTTGTGCACTCTAAAGCATAAACATCCAAACATAAAACCCGAAAAAAAAAAAAAAACACCAAACGGGCTAATCTATACAATGTTGAAACTTTTCCAGTTCCTTTTGCTAAAAAAAAAAAAAAAAGAAAAAATTATTCCGCCAAAAATTAGACCCGATACCGATACGTGTGGACATCAAATGGGATTTAAAAAATACGGTTCAATCTTACTAAAAAAGTCCACTTATTTCGTTTTTTTTTTTCTTGGTTTTTAAAAATATTTATTCATCTACTCTGAACTACTAATTAATTAATTTTAACAAAAAAAATTACTGTAATAATCACTTCTACGAGCGATAGTAATCATTTTTTTTACAATAATAATTAATATTCAAATTATTTTTTCTCCCTGTTTAATCACATATAAGAGGGGGGGTGGGGCGCAAAGCAAACGGGTATCAGTGTCAAAACAGAATTCAAGGTAAAGTCTCTTTTGCATACTCGAAATTCTCGTTTTCTCGTTCCTTTAGTTTTTTGGTGTGGGACTGTGACCATGTTCCTATTGGCTGATCAAACGTTATAATTTCTGGGTTTTGATGGTATCTTCTCTGTAACTTCTGGGGTTTTGTGCCAAGGGTATTTTGTATTGTTCTTGCTTGTTTTCTGATAAGTCTTCTGGGTTCAGCTCTTTTGGGTTTTTACACGCTACGGGTTGTGTATCTTTGGGTTTTGTTATTTATTTTGTGTTTTTGAACTATTCTTGGGTCAGTTCACGGTTGATATCTTTGTCGGTCTGGATAATTTTCTCTGTCGTGTGCTTGATTAACAACATGCAAGTGTAGTTTCATAGCTTTTTCGGGACTTTTGGTTGGGGTCTTTGAGGCCAAATGGTTAGTGAAACAGTAATTTTTGGTGTCAACCAGTGTCCGTCCTTTTACTGTAATTACTGTTACAGCTTATTCTATTGTGATGGTTTGTGATTTTGATGAGTTTTCTTTGTATCTTTCAATAGTCAAACGCTCGTTTATGGAATAATCTGGCAGGGTTTTCTTTTGCAAATTGTTTTTGATCACTATTGCCTGTATTTGTGGTATGGTATACTCTGCAGTTGGTATGTAGGAGCAAAGATTATGGTTCATTGTCCAAAATGTGTCACAAACAATCATCAACGAATTAGAGGGGAGACAGTAATACTATATACAAAGATAAGGTAGTGCCCGTGTTCTTTGTGGTCAGCAAAGTAGGAATCAGAAGTGTGAATAGCTTCGTTTGCTATCTACGTGATGAGAAGAAAAAAAAATAGAGTTTGCATATTAGAATTTTAGCATACTGGCATGTGTGTGAGAGAGAAAGGAAGGGAGGGTGGGAGTTTGATAAGGTAATATATAATTTCTATTCATATTTACATCTCGTTTGCTAGCAAAGTTAAAAATTTTGTTCCCTAAAAATGTGTGTACCTCCATTCTGATAGCGCTCATTATGCTTCAAATCTGACGTGCATCTCTATGATTTGTTTTCTTGATCTCAAATAGCAATTAATAAAATCTACTTTCTCTGTATGGAATGAGTATGGCAGCTAGAATGTTTTCTGCAATGGAAATAGTAGTATAATTTTCTCTAATCTATGCATAAATAATTGAAGGCATATGAATTTTCTTTTAGATGCCGGCTTTAAATTTCATTTTAGGTCCTGTTTTAGGCTGACGACTCTTTCTGGTCTGTCTCATAAGACATGTACTATTACATTATCAGTTGCAATAAGTAGGCCATTTTGCTTTGAGGCGAGCTTTATTGATCTTCACTGTACATGTGTGTGGACCTGATTTGTAAAATGACGACATTGGCGGTCAATTCCAGTTGTCGACTGCGGCAGTTGCCACGTTTATGCCTCAACAGCTTTCGTGTCTCCATCTTAGTTAATCATTATGCATGATGGCAATAAATGCCGCTGTTCAAATGGATACATAGATATATTAGTACCTATTAGGGGTCCGAACACATTCAGAAAATAGTTAACTCAATTTGTTGAAACTTTTTTGCTTTGTCTTGTTGCTTAAACAAATTTATTAGAAATTTATGAATTCTTCTAATTTTTTCAGTGTTCTGGCAGCTTTAGGTTCTTGGAATATTCAATTGAGAAATATTTCCGAGCAGATGGACAGTGGTATCTGGAATATCTTCTCGGGATCTAATCCATATCATGCCTCAAAAGATGCAACCATTTTTTCAAGTTCATTGCCGGTGCTTCCCCACCAGATATGTATGCGAATTTCACTCTTTAAAGTTTGCTTATTAGATGTTTAGCTGTAGATGAATACTCAATATTCTGTTTTGTTTATTTAAATACAGTCAATCTGAAAGATGCAGAACAAGGTGTCCGACCAGTTGATGATCTCTCTCCCAGCTTGAAGGAGGTGCACCCACTAGATTGGGAGGGTAATGATGCATTTGAAATTGATGAAAACCATGCCATTGGAAGCTTGCTTCCTGATGATGAAGATGAACTTCTTGCTGGTATAATGGAAAATTGCGGTCTTGGTCAGTTGCCTCAACATATGGATGACCTTGAGGAGGTTGATCTTTTTGGCAGTGGTGGTGGATTGGAATTGGAGTCGGATGTGGAGAATTTAACTCTTTGCGCCTCTAGGGCTGGTCTTTCTGATGTTGTTGGTAATGGAATGAATCATTTTGGAGTCACGAATGGTACTGGAACTGTTTCTGGAGAACATCCACTTGGAGAGCATCCTTCTAGAACCCTGTTTGTGCGGAATATCAATAGCAATGTTGAGGATTCAGAGCTCAGAAGTCTCTTTGAGGTAGTTCCTAACAGATGGACATTTGTTCGCCACCCTTATGTTTCTCGCGGTTTTCCCTCTCTGGTTACTTTATTTTGTCCTTAGTAACTTGCTTTGCCTTATTATTGCATGTATGCTTTGACATCAAGTAAGCGTGTGGGCTTGTTGTCTTTACCTAGACAATATTCCTAGAAAACATAAGAGAAGCGGCTTTCATACTGTCCCAGTCTGGGACTTTTTATATATGGCTTTTAGTACCCATGGCTTTTATTAATTTATTCTTATGAAGTTTTATTAGTTTCCTCTGGGACAACATTCTCCTCGGAGGTCACATTTGAAGTTCAATATTTCATCAATTGGGACCATTAAGTCGATCAGCTCTTGACTTAAGTTCAGGGTTCTATGTAAGATCAGTGTCTTTTGTTCGCATGTATGGGAAAGTTGTGTGTCTATTCTAGAGAAAAAATTATGGCTTTTTTTTTGCTTGATGTCAAATCATTATTGTCAGTGTTTTCTTCTTTACACTTATTGCTATGGTTTTTCAGCTTATGTTTTCCATTGTGGCCCTAGTACATGATAAGTATGATCTAAATTAATTTATAGTTATGAGGCTAATAAACTATTTCAGGTTTGCCTTTCTTGTCCAGACGAGTTTGCAAGTTTAGCTTATTGAACTGTATATTTTTGCTTATATTATTTGTCAATTTAGTGGTCATCTTTTTATTCACTTTCGATAAGTATAAAAGATTATGCACTAGATACATGCTAAGAAAATCATACAGTTACTTGACTACCTGTTGTATTTAATGCGCAACTGTCTTGTTACTGTAATTTTTCGTTGCTCTGTTTTCAGCCACATGGGGATATCAGATCTATGTACACTGCATGCAAGCATAGGGGCTTTGTCATGATATCTTTCTATGATATTCGTGCTGCTCGAAATGCTAAGCGGTTGTTACAAAATAAGCTCTTGGGAAGGAGAAAACTGGATGTTCATTTTTCCATACCAAAGGTATCTAAAATTGCATCTAACTAAAGTTTACTGTTTTTTGTAAGTATGTTTCTTGACTCTCTCTCTCTCTCCCACTCTACAAACATGAACACTGATCAGGATAATCCGTCAGACAAGGATCTTAACCAAGGAACTTTGGTAGCGTTTAATTTGGACCCATCTGTGTCAAATGATGACCTCCGGCAAATATTTGGGACTTATGGTGAGGTGAAGGAGGTGAGACATGTTCCATAATTCTTTTACCCAATTTTGTTCTGAAAAACGTTAGACGATCTGTTTTTTTAACTGTATGATCTGTGTATCTGAAAGCAGATAAGGGAAACCCCCCACAAGAAACATCATAAATTCATTGAATATTATGATATTAGAGCTGCAGAAGATGCTCTAAGATCCTTGAACAGGTGTGACATAGGTGGAAAACGGATAAAGCTTGAACCTAGTCGTCCTGGGGGAGCGCGGCGAAAGTATGTCTTCATTTAATCTTTTCTGAATTTTGAGGGTTCCTGGTTTTCATCCTGAACAAAACTCACCCGTCCATTTTCATTGCTTTAGCTGCTTCATGGAACTGTTTTTCCTTTTTATTAATTACTTTTTGATTTAGTCATATCCTTGTCAATCGTTTGATGCTGGGTGTTATATGCTATGTATGCTTATTTGGAACGAAACAGAATGAAGAGGAATGATGTGATAACATCTGTTATATTTCTGTACGTTCATTTGTTGTAAAACTACTGTGTCACCTCAACAAGTTACAGTTTGTCACTCTATGCCATCCCTTGGGGATCATTTGTGTTGTTTTTTTTTTCTCTATCTACACGTTTGCGTAAGACAGTAAGGAGTGTGTGCATGTGCGCATATGTCATAAGATTAGCACTTACGGCTGATTTGTTTTTAAGAACTCTGGGTTTCTTGTTGCTGCTCAATTTCATCGAGCTGTCAATTGTCATCTAAGGTAGTTTTTCAACATCTCATTAGATCAGTTACATATTAGAGTTTCGCCTGTCCTGTTTTTGCTTAGATTAGCGACATGTCGCCATTATATGCAAAGAGCATTTTTCCTTCTTCAGCAATATGCCCAGAATAAATTTAAATCTTCAATTTCCTGAGTTTGTTGGTTCCAGCACTGGACTAAATTGTTCAAGCTTTTGCATTTCTTAATCTACCAGTCTAATGTTGCACATGAATCAAGACAATGAAGATGATGGTCGGAGTTTTCGGCATCAATTGGGTTCCTCTGTCGGCAATTCCCAATCAGGTTAATTCTTTAAGAGAACGATCTGATTTAAAATGTCTTACATTTATTGTTCTTTCTTATATGTTCTTTTAAGAGCTGCACTTTGGCGAAGTTGGTAACCAATCTCATATCTTTTACAGGTAACTGGCCGCAGTTTGGAAGTCCTCTGGAACATAGCCCTCTGCGGAGTCTCAGTATATCCCCCGGTTTCAGGTCTCCCACAATGAGCAACAAGTTTTCTGGTTTAGCTTCGATTCTGGATCCTCAGACCTCAAACTCTCAGCGGGCAGCCCAAATTGGCAAAGACTTTGTGGGGAGCAGCCAAATGGACCTTATATTTACCAATGGGAACACACAACGTGGAGATACTTTTCCACAGCCTCTTTCTTTTCCTGAACGCAGTTCAAGTCTGTTTTCTGGAACTGCATCTTCTTTTGATGCTTCAAGTTCAAGTGGTTCAGTTTTTGATGCATCATTTGGACCTGAGTTCCTTTGGAGAAGTCCAAAGCTATACTCTGAGCCCAGTAAGCTAACTAATTCAAGAAATCAATTTATTGGGCATCATTTCACATCTAGCCAAAACCATGGTCTCTCGTTCCCAAATCATGGACCATTTTTTGGTTCATCTCTCGGGGACCACCATAGTTATCATCATACTGGATCTGCTCCAACTGGTTTTCCTTTTCAAAAGAATGTTAATCATTATCAAGAGCCTCCAGGGACATTCATGGAACCTCTTTGTGGTGTGGGTTATATTCATAACAGCAGAAACTCTGTGATGAAGTCCAGTGGTCGCGGCAGCGTTTCTGTTTCTGGAAACATTTCTGAAAGTGGTTCTCTTGGATTTGGTTCAATATCTACTCCTGGATATAGTCCGATGATTTCTGGAAATGGTACTTTCTCTGGAGTTGAGGGTTTGGATGAACGTGGATGTATCAGGCATGTTGAAACCCCTGGGAACCAAATGGACAATGGCAAACACTTTCAGCTAGATTTACTTAAAATTGGAAGTGGTGAAGACACCAGAACAACACTGATGATTAAAAATATCCCGAACAAGTAAATTTTGGTCTCTCAAAATTTCGTCTTAGGAGTATATTTAGGGTAACTTATTGTGTACTTCTTATTCTTGCCAGGTACACCTCAAAGATGTTGATGGCTGCTATTGATGAAAATCACAGGGGCACTTATGATTTTTTCTATCTGCCCATTGATTTCAAAGTAATTTGCTTCAAGAATCTTCTGTTAGTGTACTTTTCTAGATCTGTTTCATTATCTGAGAATCTCTTGCTTGAATTTGCAGAATAAGTGTAATGTGGGCTATGCGTTTATCAACATGTTGTCCCCATCGCACATCGTTCCATTGTATAAGGTACATTTTTCATGCTTTCTCTCAACAACTGGGATGTTAGTTGTCAATCTTTCCTACAATAGTAAGCAGGCTTTATTTTGGAACTATGGATTGCCAGGCTTTCAGTTTCTGCTTTTTTCTTTCTTACTGTTTCCTTTTGCTTCTAATGCAGATAGTTCATATACGATTTCTTTTTACCATTCTTTTGGAGCTATGGAAATTGATATGACGTTTTTCGTATACCATTCTTTTTCACAGGCATTTCATGGGAAAAGATGGGAGAAATTTAATAGTGGGAAAGTAGCCTCGTTAGCTTATGCTCGAATTCAGGGGAAGGCGTCTCTTGTTTCACACTTCCAAAATTCAAGTTTGATGTATGAAGATAAATGCTGTAGGCCTATTCTTCTGGACTCGAAGAGAATAGAATTTGCTAACCAGGTAATGGTCAATCATGCTTAAGGAGCAATGAAGTTTAGATTATTTAGTTGTTAACTTTCTCTTCTCATTGACTAATATTTATCTACAAGGTTTTTCATAGACATGAATTGTACTTTTTCATTAGGGAAATATTAAGGGGGAGACTGTTGTTTTTGGTGCTTCTTTTTGTTACTTGGATTAGACTAGTAGTGTACATTCAGGGTACACAAACATTGAAACATTTATCGTATACATTGAACAGGATCATCATCCTCCAAAATATATGAACACCCAAGTTTTCTCATCATATGGACCAGAACCCAGGGAGGCTCTTGAAATCTCAGGAAAAACAGCTCTGTATCCTATGTTAGGGCGGAGATAGCATTGGGATGAATGGTCGCATGCCAAGTTCAAAGTGAACTTTCTGGTAATATGGAGTTATGTTTGTGCATATTGAAAGTAGGAGATGAATCAACGACTTTTGGGTTGATAGTCTATATCGTACCTGTTTTGGCATTTTGGGACGACTTCGTGACCGGGTTTTTGTCTGGGTCTTGACTGTTGGTGGCCTTTTCCTTGATAAAACAGTAAGATAGAGAAGGGCAGGGGCAATTTTCATCATGGGTTTGCTCTCTCCCATTTAGTCTATTGTATGTAATTTATTAGCACCTTGGGTACAGGAAAGCCCTACAGTTTGTAATTTTCTGTTTATAAACTCAGAAATGCTGCTGCACTTTCTTACTATATGGAAAGAACTGAAAGCTTTTGTACTGTATATCTTTGTGCCAAACCCAATTCTTTTTTTCTGTTGATTTTACTCACTTTCTGCTGCAAAATATTCTGTTGTATTTTGGACGATATTGTGGTGATGAAAGCTGCCACATCATTCGGTTGCAAGCAGGCCAACCTCTTCTTTGAGGAAGTGGGCATTGCATTGTGGCCTTAATTTAAAGATAACTTGTGAAGGAATTGATTATCTGTTCTACTACCCCTCTCTCTCTCTCTCTCTATTTCTAGGACGGTTGCCCAATTTGATTATGGCAGGTCAGTTCATCTTTCTAATTTTAACTCCAAATTTGGAATGTCTAATTTAACTAAAAAATTGTACATTTAGAAACTGTTTTTTTTTTTTTGGTGGAACGGAGGGAGTAAAATTAAAAAAAAAAACTCCAAATTTTAGTTTAAGACTCTCCCTATGCCGTGGAATGATTTTTTTTGTAAATTAAGTGTGTCGTTAAATTAAGTCGTTTGCATATAAATGGAGTGCGCATTCTTACTAAGTAAGGCTTTACGTCCCAAAATAAAGAGTTGTATAGTTATCGATGGCAATTGTTAGATTATTTTGAAAGTATAGTACCACTTTTGCAATTTAATTTAATCTAACATACGATGTAGTATAAAAATGCAATTTAATCTATAGGTCCAAAGGATTGAATACTAAAAGAAGATGGGCAGAAGTTTAATTATCTAATCTTGAGGTCATTATTTTAATTAACTTAATTTCATTCACAATTTTCACATTATAAAAGGCGTTTTAGAGACCATCGTTAGTCAAAATTGAACACAATTCTCTCCCTTCAATTTTCCAAAAGCCGCCTATTTTCTCTTTTATTTTTACTTTCTCTCTCTGACTATTCAGCTTCTCTTTCTCGTTCTCTTTCTCTTTCTCTCTCTCTCTCCACGTCACCTTCCGACCGGCTTCGCTTTTTCTTTTGCTCCGGCGTCTTCGCCGGCCAAAGTCATTTTTAGGTTTGCTGCTTCATCTTTACTCTTTTCCGGCCAAACCACCTGTAGCTACTACTTCAACAACTTGACTGGACTCCTGTTAATCCAGCTCTCTGTCAGGATCGTCAAGTCAACTCCGATGATTAGGGTTTGTCCTTTTCCGCTCTGAATTTTGAATTGAAATTACGTGTTTTAGTTCATTTAATGGTTGGAAGCTTTACTGTTTTTGCTGATTTTGTGTTTCGTGTTCTTAGTCGTTGTAGTCGTTGACTTCGTTTTTCTTTTTTCTTCTTTTTTTTGCATTTTTTTTCCGTTAGTTGTGGATTTTGTTTTTCGACTATTTTACTTTGGTGTCGGACCGGAATTAGCTTTGGGATCATTTGTGGGCTAGAGGTCTGCTTTTGTAATTAGTGTTAATTATGGTGAATTTTTTTTTTCCGGGCAATTATATCGGCATGTGTTTTTGTGCTTTTGGATTTTGGGTTGGATAATAGTTCTAAGGTGATGGGTTTTTTAGTTGCGGGGGTTTTTTGGCTTAGTTTATATGCTGCCTTGTGAATTTGGATTCCTAGTCATCAGATGATTGGAAGTGGGATGGACTATGGAGACTCCCGCAATCTATAAGCGGGTGGTCTTTAGCTTGGAGTAATCAGGTCTTGGTTGCAACCGTAAAGGGTGTTGATTTAGTACAACAGCCAGTTTTGTCATGTCTAAAAGAGACCTTGCTCCAGTGCAGATGATTCAGACTGATATGTAAAAACCGGAGAATCATTGAGAGAAGAGGAAGGTAAGGCTTAAATGTGAATTGGGGAAAAAAAAACCTGTTAAAAAGGACATAGAGCATGTGTTTTGATAAAATTGATGACAAAATACGATCAACATAACCGAACTCACATACTGGAATTTGCTTTTGTTGTAAGTAATAGGGTTGACTTGAGCTTGAGCATCATGACTAGTTTAGCCTCATAGAGTTTAAAAGTGAATTGACTGTGGCATGAAGATGGAAGTTCTTTTGTGGAACTTGATTATGGACTTGCGAAATGAAGGCTTGGGAAACTGCACCAGAGCTTGAGGTGGTTAAAATTCCTTCCCACACCCTCCCCCGATTGTTGTCCTATGGAATGAATGACTGGTCACAAGAGTGAGCTTTAGGATGGTGTATAAAGTTTACTTTTCTAGGGGGTCTTGTGTAAATTATTAACGGGAGTATGATACTGCTGTATTTCAGAAGTATACTGGCGGTGACAAGAGTCAAGCTCAAGCGGGGCTGAAATATGTGTCTTTTTCAACTTTGTGGATGAGCTTTTTTTTATCAATTGTATAATTGAGTTTCTGATTGAATGCACTTTATATGGATTTGGGCCGTTTGAAAGCATATACCTAACAGCTAACTTTTTTCCTTGGTTTTCCTCTCTGTGGCCATTGGTAAATTTTTCAGCTTCGTTCTTTCTACTATTTGACTGTGTGCCATTAAGTCAACGAATAGGTTTTTCTTTTCAACGTGTTTGGATTAATTAATTTGTTAATTTCATTTTTCAGCCATGAGAGTTATAGTCATCCTGTATGGACTCCTCATCCTCGACTCTTCAATGAACGCCCTGATCTGAGTGCTCGAGGATAATTACATTGATCTTTGAATGTTACTTAATCAAGATTCTGGTGCATTTCGGTGGTGTAGTTCAAATGCCATCATTAAAAATGAAAGCGAAGTCAACTGTGGGTTGTTTAAAAGAAAAACATGGTCTCCGAATTTGTCCAAAATCGAGTGTGATATCCAAGAATTCTTTTTTCATTTCCAAGATTGCTCAAACCACGGAAGAACTGGGGAGTATGATTCATGATATTCCGGACGGTGAGTGATGGTTCATGAATGATGAACCATTAACTGAAGATATTCTTTCTGTTAATTTGTTTCCTTTCATCTCTGAGTGTATCTTTCGTCTTTGCTTTCTTGTTTCTGTTTTTGAAATAGATTCTAGATGCTGATGACTTTAAACAGTTAAATCTTTACACGTTAAGTTATTTTCAATCTGGCTTTAAATACTGGTGGAATAAATTTAAGTCACAAAGGTGTCTCTTAAAAACTTTGAGGTACATGTTATGAAGGTACTGATGTGTATCTTTTTTTTGGGGGGTTGTTTGACATTGCTTCAATCATCTTCTTTCAAATAATACGGGTCCGTTGCTCCTTGTTGATTACTGATATTCTGTGGACAAATGCATGTGGATTCTTTGTAGTTTGTTCGTGTGATGAGAGGCAAGCTTATGACAGTGGGGCAAATGAGGGTCTGCATGATGAATCACATGATGAAGAGAAACTTATGCTTCATGATCATTTTACACCTTTGACTGATTCTGTCAACAGGATGGTAATACTCATTCACGTTTCTGAAATTCATTACTTTACAAATGAATTATTATTTCGTTATTTTGTAAAATGTGTTATTTGTTGCATTCCACAGCTTAATATTAGTGCGTTGTATTTGATGCTTTTAGTTTTCTGGAGAACAATTGCTGAATCATGTCAGTTATTACATTTAACTTATATTAAGATCCATTAAAAAAATAAAAATATTGGATGAGTAGGCGCGGCGACTTTCAACTTTCAGGTAAAAGGAGAGAGGATTATTGTGTTTACTCCTGAAGTGAATTAAACTTTAATGTCGTTTGATTATGATCTCTCGTACTTTTCTCAGTTTATGAAGTAGTGCTTTGTTCAAATTATAAACTAAATTTACTTGAAAGATTGCATGGTGTTTGGTTATAAACGATTACGCCGATATGGATTTGCACAATGATTATCCAAGTTGTTTTTAATTTTGCTATTTGAATTGTGACCATGAGTGTCTTCATTTTTCTCCCATTTTGCACTGCTCTCATTTTTGCTTATTCATCATAATTTTAAATATATCTTTTGACCTTAATGATTTTAACTTACAGGAGCCTACACCAGCCTTATGTACCAGCTCAGAGACAATTTTTTCACCTATACTAGAGTCCATCGATATTAGTACCGAGTCATTTACTGACTTTTATGGAGGTTTGTCCCAGTACTCTGATATATTTCTTTCCTGTTGAGTGCTCCTCGGAACTGTGTTTTTCCAGATCAATTTGATTGGCTTATGAAAATGAAATATAATATTGGAACGGGCTCACATTAAAAACCACTAACATAGATACAAGAATACATTGGTACCTTCGGCCAACCGTTCCCGTAGGGGGGCATAACCTTCATGATTTGCTTTCCGAAGGGTTTGTGGCTATAACATGGCAGCTACTGCATCGATCTGTTATTCTAAAGATTTCCTGCTTATTCAACTCATTGTCTGCGGGAAATGCGACAGTATATTGAATAAAATGATCAGCCTCTAATTTAATGGTTTAGTTGGTTGGATTGGAATCTGGACGTTAGGTGAAAATGGAGAATATAGGAGTCTGTTACTTCATTACCTGGTATTTGTATCTGTAGATGTTTCCTCATCTCTTTATCTTGCATATTCTATGGAACTCCAGAATTAGTTTCTTGATTATATGTTCTACTGAGGAAATAAAGGCATATTATTTATGTCCAAGAATTTTTAACCTTCCTGTCTCTTATGGTTCTGTAGGAAATAATCTGTATGTGCCACAACTGGAGACGGAAGATAGTGATGATAGCAGCAAGGGTTCATGTGATTACCAAACCTGTAGTATATCAGATTTCTTTATATCTGACATGATTTTTTCTGGGATACCAGTTGAAGGAAGCTTAGTTTATGATGATAGTTCAGGAGCCAAGTTATTCCCAGATTACAAATATGAACCGTCAATAACCTCTTTTCATTTGCCTGAGGAAACTGATGTTAAACCCTGTCCCAAAACTGCTGCGGATATTGGTGTTGATGATGACACAATAGCTGTAGATAGTACTGTAGGCTCCTCTGAGTCGAACTTGTATCTTGCAATTCATCAGTTGAGATCCTGCAACCAGGACTCTGATCTCAATATGTACTCAGATATGGATCAATCAGAGTCTTTTGATCCACAAATGTTTATTAGAAATGTGCCAGATTTACCTGACTTGACGTCTGATTTGCGGTCACCTGTTCTTCTGAAGGAAAAGAAGAGTACAAAATCTGTGACTCTTGTACTTGATTTGGATGGTAAGGGGGTTTTCTCGCCGTGTTGGTGGGACTGAATTAAGATATATGCTCACTTATGAATGCATTTATGATTATAACGTTTGTTTTCTGTGGACAGAAACCCTTGTTCATTCAACCTTGGAACACTGTGAAGATGCTGATTTTACATTTCCAGTCTTTTTCAACATGAAAGAGCATACAGTTTATGTGAAGAAGCGGCCTTACCTGGGGACATTCCTAGAGAGAGTGGCTGAGATGTTTGAAATTGTAATATTTACGGCTAGTCAGAGCATATATGCGAAGCAGCTGTTGGATATATTGGACCCAGATGACAAGCTTATCTCAAGACGAGCTTACCGTGAATCCTGCATCTTTTGTGATGGAAGTTATACAAAGGACTTGACAGTTTTAGGTGTTGATTTAGCAAAAGTTGTGATTATAGATAATACTCCTCAGGTAATTGCTTACAGTGGATATTTTTTAAATGTGCTTTTTCATATATGTGGTTTCTTTAATGTTTTGCATTATTCTTTTTGCTGGTTACATAATATCAGCTTTATCTACTTTTTTGGTGGTGGTGGTTATCATATGTTGTAAAATGTTTTTAATTGTTTATGATATTACCTGAAGTTTTTATTGACTTCTGTTCTATGGTCTAATCCTGTCCTGTTACAGTTGAGTTGATCAAGTTTGGAAATCTCGTTTGACTATTATACTAACTGTGAGAAAGAGGCTAGCTAAATTTTATGATGTCCCAAGTACTCAAATTTTTCCATTACTTATGGATTTTATTTTCCTGACGATTTCAGGTGTTCCGTTTGCAAGTAAATAATGGGATTCCCATCAGGAGTTGGTTTGATGACCCTTCAGATTCTGCATTAGTTTCACTACTTCCGTTCCTTGAGACACTGGTGGATGCTGATGATGTTCGGCCGATTATTGCTACAAGATTCGGTAACAAGGGATGAGAGCTCCTTGCTCTCATTAATAGTTTCTTTTTTAGCTCCTGTCTGTTTGATCTCATTATAAACAAACTTCTTCGTTTAGGTGCTCATAGATCCATTCTGCTTTGAGCATGGATACGATTTTTTCCCCATACAATAGGGATATATTCAAGCTTCTTTTGTTTGTCAGTATCCTTCTCTAGCTCTTGATGACTTGATTAGTTAAGCCGTTTTTAAGCTTCAGAGGGTTCTCATGTTTGCACTGTACAGTTCTATATGCTTAAAGGTTTAAAAGGTTGTGTATATTGACAATTCTTGTGAGATAGTTTACTAACGTCTAGTTGCCTTTTTCTTTTTGAAAAGTTCTATTTAATTGCTATATTACTCATTGGAATGCGTTTATGTAAAGCATCTTTCGATTTGAGGAGCATCTCGGAAATATCTTCTGAGCAAAAATATAACTGGTAAGTAGAAGCAGCCCTACTTGTCCTACATAAGCTAGTAATAGTAACCTGTTTTCGCAGAAGCGTGAGTCGGTATTGACAATTTGAAAATTCTCCTGTATGATATTGGAGTATTCTGTGGCAGAAATAGGATAATTACTGCTTGAGAAAAAAAGAAATTTAAGCCCACTTTGTTAAATTGGTATAGTGGCAAAATTCTGGAAAGCTGAACAAAATAATGACTTCTGGATATTGGGATTACCTTTGATGTTCTATGTCACATGCAGTTTGAGAGTGCTGAATTGAGTATGTTTATGTTAAAAGAAAAAGCAGGAGTACTTTGAGATTAATCAAATTTCTGAAGATTTTTTATCATATTTTATTCTGAGATCATAGAGCCACATGTTCCTTAATTTGGATAAAGCTTACAGTTTTGTGAGCATAGCATGCTGAATTTGTTTATTTACATTCCTGGAGCCACTTACAATGGAAGTATGCTAAATACTTCAATGATTCCTTTGTTTTACTGGCATCCCTGTTACCTGTAAAAACACTATCTTTTCTGCTATTATTAAAATTTGGGAATTAGCTGGGTAACAGAGGTATGTGTAGAGGCTGGAGAGCAGTGCTCTGTTAGGTCCTTTTGAGGTATAGGCATGAATGGCTCCAAGTAATGTCAGAAATTTGCTTGATTTTTTCTCGTGAAGGGGTAGTCTAATCTTAAGGTACATGAACGAGAAGGGGGGTTGAAAGAATTTGCTCAAGGAATGGAGAAAACCAAAAGATCTCCATGATGATATCTTATCATTGTTTGGATTTGATCCTGCTTTCAGGGTTTAGCAAATCCTTGGAGTTTATTACCTCGTTTAAATTAAAAGCTCTTGGACTGCTAATGCCATTTAATGTAAGATTGGGATTTGTGATCCCTATTGTAGCTTGGAGATTTTTAGGGGTGATTATATAGGGGACTTTACGGGGCTACACTCTGGAAAGGGTGACTTCTTTCATTCTAAATTTCAGGCAGCAAAAAAGCTTTATGCAACCTGTTAAGCAATTGAGGATAAGATTTTGAACTAGCTAATGAGTTATCACATTGCTTTCAAGATGGAATTTGGATTTTTTGCGGGAAAGAAAGTTTAGCACAACCAGCAGGAAGCCTTCACTTGTTATGGCCCAAATTTATTGGTGTGTGATTTGAAACATTGAACTTGAATAGAATGCAGTGAGATGGAGGGAATATATCACCTAGCCATTTCAATTTGCTTGCTATCTGTTTGTTTATTTGCTTTAAAATTTGGCTTCATTTCCTTGGTCATTTCTATCTAGGGACTTCATAGTTTGTTGTTTCTTGAACTCTTGAGCCAGTAATCAGCAAGTTTAAACAGGTGTGTTTGGTGGAGTTCCATGTGACTCGAGAGTGCATATCGTTCCTCCTTTACATCCTAAATTTTGAATGCATTATCTGCAGGTCGTGCAAAGAAACATAATCTTTTTTTGCCACCAATCTCATAGCATTCATGCGGAATTTATTTTTGAGTTTCTTGTTTCCTCACCTCTTTTTGATAATATTCTGACATGGCGCCTTGTAGGGAAACTGTTTTTAGAGCGGTAATTGGTACCTGGCAATTGGTAGTCTTGTAGAACTTGATATTTTATGTTATTGGATGTTGATTTTGTCAAGTAATTAGTACCCGGCACATGTATTTGGATGAGGGTGTTTAACTTGTAATTTGGTGCGGTTGTAAGCTAACCTAACCTAGTTCTATTGTTTTAGTTTACTTTCATTTGACTAGGCGTGGAGCCAGAAATTAATGATTTGATTAATGTTAACGGTTTGCTTGTCTACTCTCTGTTTGAAACTGAGATTTTCACTTATTGATATTATTGTTATAGCGGCATTATTCAACTGGGAACTGCTGTTTTCAATTCATACAGTTTAAAGTTATCAGATGAACCTAATCAGATGTCATATAGGAACGGGAAAAGTTTAATTTTTATGTCACATAAAGGCATTCGTCTTGCTCGTGACATTTGCAATGTTCGTGCATTAACGACCGTTTTATGTTATAGAACAGAAAGTTTAAAATACAAAACAGGACAATGTTATTGTGGCTTTACAGCAATCTCCTCGAAAACAATCAGGATTTGATACCTTGATTATTTTTCTGTGATACTAAATGATTGTTGTATTAAAAATGAAAATTAAAACTTTGCTCCGAAATGATTGCTGTATAAAAATAAAAATTAAAACTGAATAATTATTTTGAATTGGAGAGAGTATTTAAGTTCGGAATAAAAAAATTTGAACGTAATTATTATAAAATAACAATCCAAACTGGACAAGTGTTTCGGTTCAAGACCGAAGGAGTAACTTTATTTCTTAAAATTTGTTAGAAATGTCATGGAAAGTATCAGAGCATTTGTTGGACCTGATTTATGCACTCGCAACCATTGTTGCATCGAGTATTTACATCTTAGCCACTTATTTCTTCATTGCATAATTCAGCAGCTGTAAGTGAGTTGCATTTTGAGTGACCGCTTTCCACTAGAGTAATGCCTGTCAACTTCATGTGTCGCTCCAGATGAGTTCTCAGCAGAATAGGGATTGCATTAAAAGATCGCATAGATTGCAGGAACGTCAGTCCTTCAACTTTACCGTGGAAGATACAATGCCGAACAGAATAGATGACGATCATCAAATGCAACATCCTTTTTTTGTTTTTATTTTTTTTTAAACCTTACCGGTTACTAAGGAAACTGATATCCGTCACATTCAAAGCACACTACGCAAATGAGACTTCAGAGTAGTCTCGCAATGGTCTTCCCACCTATGCAACACAACAACCTAAAGATTTAGTCAAATCTAAGTAAAAGACATTGCAAATTTGTAACTGCTGTGATGTCTTTTAGTAGAAAAAAAATAAATAAATAATGAGAAAGATATTAGTGTAACCGTTGCTGATGGCAAAGGTGCTGTCGTTCAGAATCATCGCAACATAGTACAGTCTTATCAAGTTGATGATATGCAGAAAAAATGTCAGGATACCCTACGATACTGCATGCAATTAATAAAAGGCGGTAGCAGCAGTAAAGTGTGACAGATTGTCAGATCCACAATTTAGAAATCGCAATGAGAAACACTGATATCTTGGATTCTAATGCCCTTGGTGCAAAGGTTCAGGTGTGCCCATCTCATGGGAAGGTGAAGTCCCGCAGGACGGCTGCTGTTTGCACGAAGAAACAGCTGGCTGGGATTGACCATCGGTGATTGTTTGAGCCTTAGATTGCGGAGACAAATGTTGTGCAGAATCAGGACCTTCTGGTGCTCTTCGTGGATCCTGGAACCAATGCAAATTAGTTTTGACAGCAAGCAGCAATAACAACAAAGGATTCTGGATAGTACACTAACTTGATCCCAAAAACACACCACAGAATATGCATGACTTCCAGGTTACCTAGTATTAAAGGATATTCTGGGTACGCCAGATATGAAAGAGAAAGACAACAATCTTGGGAGCTAAACAATCCCATGAGGCATATCTTTTCCTTATTATGTTCTCTTATGCCTGAGAATATAAAGCTCAACACCTTTGCTTTCCATTTTTTGAAACTGAGCAAAAGCTGAAGCTAACCTAGTAGGAAAACAGCACCCAATAAATAGATGCAGTCCTCACTAATCAAGCAAAGAACAACAACATCAAAATCAACATACCCAGTATACTCCCAACCAAGTTGGGGTCTAGGGAGTCAGTTGTACGCGGCCTTACCCTTGTAATTACAGAAAGAGGCAGTTTCCGTTACGACCCAAGATACATTGCATCATTTGATATGTTTATTTCCAACAAGTTCACTAATAGAAAAAGCACTGGAATTTGACAGAGCCATTTTGATCTAGTCCGTTATTAGCAGAGCTAAAAGAACTGTCAATATGACTATTCCAGCTCCATTTGCAATGGACAGCAGTTGGGCAAAGAACATCATGATAAAATTTCACAGAAGTAAACATACAAATAGACCCAGGGAAAGAAATGGTCGAATGACGTCATCACAGTGTAATCCCCTCTAAATAAGACGGGATTAGGACTTCTTTTTTCCCCACACACGGGCAAGCTTCGAATTATATTACTTTCTACTTCATGGAGGAAGTAGACCCAGGGAAAGAGTCACTAGTAAGTATTAGAAACCTATACCCAGGAAAGGAATAGATTTAACCATCGTTGTGTGGAAAGTTGGGTTTGTTTGTTTTTCTTGGGGGGGAGACCAAATTCACTTGACAACAAGAGGCATATGCATTGTTTAGGAACTAATCCAATAAAAAGTGCCTACATATCCAAAGACCAAACTTAGCTGTCAACCCTTTAGTTTTATTTCATGTGGCACAATATGCGAAGAACTTACCTGTGACTGTAGGCTGGTATCTTGCAGCAATCCACTATGTTGTTGATGCGGTGATGGAGCCTGATGCAACTGCATAAGATTATATTGATACTGATGTTGCTGATACTGTGGCAACATTTGTCCAGACACTTGTTGATGGAACTGGTATTGCTGCAATGGCATGTGATATGCTTGTGCTGTATTTTGCTGCTGTCCCTGTTCATTTATGTCGTGATCACTTTTTCTGACTGATAGTATAGCTCTAGCTGTTGACAATTTACTGGTGGTACCTGTCCTTGATGAAATTGCAACTGTTGTGTCAACTGATGGTAATGATGCTGTATTTGTTGATGTGCCTGTTGCTGGTGTTGAAGTTGATGTACTTGATATGGTACTGAATAAGATTGCTTCTGCTCTGGTTGCCAAGAGGATAGATACTGCTGATTGTGTTGCCGTCGGAGTTGAAATGGATGCAGTTGCAGATGTGATTGTTGATATTGTTGCTGTGTTAGCATGACCCCTTTCTCGGATGGCAGCTGTGGATATTCCCATACCAGCCCAGATATTTGGCTATAGTTTGCAGTCACAGGTTGGCTACTACCCTGCAAGCCATGGCGCATGAAGTTTGGTTGAAAGCACAAAATTGGGTGGTGGAAGGGGAAGAAAGACATAAATATGAAAGAAAAAATGAGGAATCTTGCACCTATTAACTTGTCACAGAGGATTAAGGGCTGTATTCACCTGGGCACCACCTTCTCTGTTCTGCACTTTAGAATGGCCCAACGGTTCCTGGATTGATGGACGCGGACTATATGCTTGACTGATAGGCATATGTGAGCCTCTTGGTATAGGTTCGTGTTTTAATGTCGAATGCTGTAATTTTGACGGCAAATTCACTCCTGAAGTTTCAGCGTTGGCGACACTAGGCACCAGGTGGTGCTCTCCAGTAATACCCAGGGTGGCAAGCGAATCAGGATGCGTATCTATTGCAATTCTCTTTTGCTCACTTGCTGAAGATGAAAAACAGCCTGATTCAGCCCCACCTGATGATTCTTGAACTTGACCAGAATCAATAGCAGGGATGCCATTTGGACTAGATGCAGGAGATTTAATTTCTGAATTCAGACAAACCTGTGGCCCATTGGTGTCGGACTTGGACACAATTAAGGTAGGATCAAGCTGATCAGATGCCACAATTATTAAATCTGATGAGGCCTTTTCAACAGAATGCAAGGACAGATTATCAAGAGAAATCGGATTTGGACACTGTTCAAGCTCTTGGTCTTGTTTATCAAATGAAATGGAGTGTTTTCGTGGAGACTCTGGAGCTGCAATTGCTTCTGAGTATTCATGTAAGCTACAAGTCTTCTCGTTTGAGCCTGATGTATCCTCAGTATTGAGATGCACCAGTGTTCGGGTTGCTGGTCCAGCCCTCTCTCCTTCGGGCATCTGTGGTGAAAAATTGTCTGATTTCACTTCTGGGGTATCATTGTGCTGTTGAGGCACCCTGTCACTAATTACTTCGTTAACTTCTGATGCAGCCAAAGATGGATCATTGGCCAATAAATTGTCTTCCTCACACTCCATGTCATCGATGCATTTCCAAGTAATCTGGTCAGCACAAGCCACTTCGACCTTGCTTGCATGGTTCATAGGCACAACCGACATCTGGTCTTGGACTGCCGGGTTACTTGTTCGGCCCTCAGGTTGCAGAATCCGACATGCACGATAACCATTTTCTCTTTCTTCCAAGATCCTATCAGAAAAGCAATTTACAGAGTCCACATGCATATCTACAACATTGTTCCTTACTGATTGCGGAAACAATCGAACATGACGAATCCATGCATTCCTAACATCATGGGAAGTCCCGCAGAGGTCCACAAACTGCAGAAATATCAACTTATCACTATCATAAAAGATAGCGAGCAACAACATATTTTCCTACCAAATTCATGGTTGCCAACCAGATAAAAGATCAACAGTATCTGGTTCTCAATGGAATCATTTTGCCAAGCATCCATTTGGGCTTTCCCTTATGAGTTTCACCATAGGAATCATCAGAATGAAATTTGCAATAACAAACCAAAAGTAGTAGCAAGATCTTTAGAAGTAATAAATTTTGTGAACATACAAGTAAATGGCTGAAGTTTCCGACAAAAAACTCAATGACATTTGGCAAAATATATGATAAGTACCAAAGTTTACTTGATTATGCACTGGGCTAAACTTGTAATCCACGTATTCAGATCAAAATAATCATTAGAGCCGACATGCATCATGTGTCTCAATGAAAGTGAGGACAACACCAACGGGAAAGGGGAAAGTCGTGCACTTGGATGGTCTGGGCATGTGCATAGCGAATTTATAAGTATAGATGCCCCAGTTAGATGACTGAAATCAATAGATTTATTAGCTCGAACTAAAAGTGGGGAGGGAACGAGGTATCCGATCCATTCAACTTTAAATGAAATCTGTGTTTTGACAGATCAGTATGGCAAGATAAGACTTTATAGACAACCTTACACAAAGTGGTAGATGTTACATTGTTGTTCTTTTTGCATTTGTTGAATTAGACAAGAACAGCGAAGACCTTCACAGAATCTCAAAGAACTATTAAAAATTGACATGATTTACTTAAACCTAAAGGATATTTTAGTTGACAAAACATCATGATGACAGAAGATTCATGTAGTCAACTGCTTATGATAGAATGCTTGGCATGGGTATGTTGAACAAAAGTTGCATATAAAGAGTAAGCCTAACCTCCAAAAACAAAGAAGATATGCGCTGTCGATCAGTAAGGGCCAGACTTTGGGATCCATGTGCACTAGTGGAAGGAGAAATCGCTTGATCTATAATAGAGTCTAAGAAATTCACTTGTTTCGATCCTTCATGGGTCATTGCAAATTTTATCAATTCCTGCACGCGTCACGCTGTAAAAGTTTCCATGACGATTTCCTCATGGAGGGGAAAAAAATGAAAAGTAATAGAATGGAGCTCTAGAAACAGAAATTTCAGTCTACATAACATCTGATATCCAACAAATGAACATAGGTTTTATATTCCCAAAACGGAGCAAATTATTGAGAATCTTTTGAATTCCTTTTCCTGTAAAATTTAGGGATTAAACGGAGTGTTTAGCAAACATAGTAGCTCTCATCTTTCCTTCCTACAAAACAAGCATGTATTAAAGAAAACGAAGTGGAGTACTCCACGTAAAAGGAAAACAGTACCTCTAGAAGTTGACTGCAATCAGGAATACGTTGAATTCCATCAATTAGGACTTCTCTAGCAGTATCCACGCTGCCTGTAATCTACAAGTCATTAAAATTTCAATTAGATACAAGTTAGGTATGCAATATCATGCCTATTATGAAACAGCACTTAGCATTTTTTTCGACAATAACCCCAGTAATGATAGTACGAATGCAGACCAAACATTGTAGAAGTCACGGTTAGAACTGCTAACTGGTCATAGATTGAACAAACCATTATGTACAATTCATCCACATTTTCCTAAATACTACTTAAAATCAATTTGAATCTATATAAGATACCATGATTGCAGAAATATACATATTTAAAGTGCTCACTTTTTATCCACATTAAACTGTTTTCAGGTAACAATTCCGCATCTGAAACAGTCCCATCTAACTTCAAAACAAGCTAAATTGATGCAAGAGACATGGTAAATCGATGTAATACCAAATTCACTTTTCACTCATTGCATGAACATTCAGCCAGAAAAAAAAAAAAAAAAAAGAAACTATCTGAGTAAGCACAAAAGTTCTTTGGTTTCTTTCAAATATCCGATATAACTTTATCCTGGATCTATCAATAAATTATTATCCAACAAACCCAAATTCAGATTTTACATACACTCCCCGAAAATTAACACACCATTTCAAAACATTAAAAAAATAAAAAATAAAAAATCCTCCAGCTTATATTTTCCCTTTTACCTCCACAGATTTGTCCTCCCAAAAATGAATTTTCCCAAGAAGAAAAGTGGACACAACATCAAAACACCAACCCTTCTGTACTCTCTTTATATACATATCCATCACAGATAGTAAGGCAATCTTTTTGGCCAAGTATGAATAAACTGCTCCTTAAATAATGATCAAACAGTAACAGAAAATGTATAAGTAAGAAGTTTCAGATCTACAGCGTAAGGTACTACTCAACAGCATACCAGGTACTTGAGACGGCAATAGTAAATAAATAGGCTAGAAAAATTATGCAATTTCCGCATCTTTTCCGTCATATTAATTGCTTTATCCAATGTAGCACAAGCTTCTTCCAAACAACCCTGCAAGTTTGCAAAAGGAAGATTTTAATTCATATACTCAGTTCACAAGGAAAAAAGCAGGAGTGAATTCCAACCAGACGCCTTTGGATATTAGCCAGCTCTATGATATGTTTAGGCAAGTAGGATCCTGATCCAAAATCACACTGAGCAAGCGCAGCAGAAGCAGCAACTGAGTCTCCTATTTGCTCCTTAAACCTTGCATTGAAAAGATTTATTTCTGGCACATTCTGCATCATGTACATGCAAGGATTTCATAAAACTTTAAGACATGATATAAGCACTAAAGACAGGCAATCCAGTGAAACAAAGAAATCAAGGATCTCAGTCCATCACTTGTTACACAAACATCAAAGGAAGCACGGGAGATTTTCCACAAGAGTACACAGAACTTCGGATTCCGATTGTGAGCAAAAGAACACCTTACTATTTTTTTTTACAAATATGCGAATCATCAGGAATTCAGGAACCCCTACCAATTTTTTTTATCCACCAACAGCTAACAAGGGATATATCAGATGCCAAGTTTATGAAAACCTAGAATTCTACTAGCATTATTTACAAATACTTAAGAATGTTTAGTACAAATCTGGACAATGAGATCTTATCTTAATCTTCATTCTTAAAGTTACCTTAAGAAAGACTTGTGTAGCCCGGTCCAAAGCCGAATTCGCAAACTCTCGTGCACCTTTACTTTCCATGAATTCCACATAACGCATCCAAAATTCAGGAAAGTAAGCACAAGGAATCAAGCATCTTTCGTAGAGTTGCTGAGCCTGTAAACATAGATATATATATAAATTTTGGCAACATAATAAGGAAATATTTGCTTGAATCCATTGAACAGAAACACACCCAATCAAAGTCCTCCTGCTTTTCAACAAAGTCCAGATACTGATGCCAATTCTGCAGCTGTCCTTCATCAAGTGGTGCAGTGTCAAAATATAACCTTTTGATATTGGTTTCATAGAGCTTTATTCTTTCATCAAGCTTGTTTGCTTTCTGATAAAATTCTTCTCCAATATACTGATACATATGGACTGCTTTGGCTAAAACAGCCTCATTGGCCGGATACTGCAAGTCCTTAATGACTTGAGAGATTTCATAATCCGACCACATAACTTCACCATTATGCCGGGGTTTTACCTCAATCCCACACTGATTACATTTTCTCAATTCCTTTTCCATGCCATCAACAAAATGTTCGAAACTGAAGATTCAACCAAAAAGGGGCATCATATCTAAACTCATAATTGCATTTTCATATAACAAACAATAAAGAAACTACAAAGGTGAAATGATGACCTTTAAGAGCAGCTACATTTTTTTAAAAGCACTACATGTGATGTCAAATGTAGTAACTGTTACATTGAAAAGGCATCAATCTGAAGCCCATGAAAATCAGATGGCGTCATGGGATCGTACGTAGCCAAAAGAAAAAAATTTACATTCTTGTCTGCTAGCTTACATGACTGTATAGAGAAAAAAGACACTAAATACTCAGACACATTCTATATCACAGAGAAGCACATGCAATGTAAGGTGATTTTTGGACTGATAAAAACTGCAGCCTCTTAGGTGTTGCAAGCCATAGATGTTGATTTTTACAGTCTTTGCTCTGATAAATCAACATAGCACATAAGCATTGCAGGACATTAAGGCTTCAGGAAAGCAAGATAGAATAATGAGGGTCCAAGATCCATAAAGTACAGTACATCTGACTATGAAGAGCTTGCAGAGATCAGGTGGGTTACGGAAGAAAACTAGCTTCATTGCAATATGGCAAAATAGAAGCAGATGCGAGGTTCAAAAACAAGAAAGCATGGTTACCAACAATGAGGTTTCCCTGGATTGCTTGACTACAGTTTTTTGGGAAAATTTGGATGCACTACATCAAAAAAGTTGATTGTTCATTGATGATTTTATAAACCCTCCAGAAACTTCTTTATGTCAGAAGCTGAATAAAACAAAAATAGAGATACGAAAATGGTTCAGAGCTTTAATGTGATTTGGAATCTAGAATTGTCCGTGGGTGGTGCAAGATGTTCACTAATGCATTAGGCAAGCAATATTTGAAGTAATCATATTCCTACATCAATCTAAAATTGTCCATGGGCGATGCAAGATGTTCACAAATGCATTAAGAAAGCAGTATTCCTCCAGCAATCATAATCCCATCACAGATCTCATATCCCAAAAGCACAAGGATGTTTTGCTTGAGTCAATGCTTTCTAGCCCTTAGCTTTTTCTTACGTTCTGACATTTTGCTTCATTTTTTGACCATTCCAGTAAATCCCGTCCATGAATTATTTACATCAGCCTACTTTTTACAAAAGCAATGCACGTACAGATAAAATGATGACCATTGCAAATTTAGTCACATGGACTCATGGAGGATAACTTAGTACAGTGAACTTTATCAGAAAGAAATTTTGAAACTTCACATACTTCTCATAATACTTATGCAAATATCCAGTAGGGAATCTCAACACTTGAAGGTAAATATTTGCAAGAAATTCCCAGTTCTGCTGAGAGAGCTCAAACTTTATGTACTCATTCCATAAGGCATGACAAAGGTAATCCCTTCGAACATACATCAGGGCTCTCTGGAATAACCTGTTTAAAAAAGAAAAAGGTCAAATGTAATTTGATAATAACATGACCAATACAAAAAAATCCAGGTTAAACAAAATCCTAAAAAAACTCAGATTGTGTTTAAACGGCAAAATGAAACAAACTCGTAGTGGCCAACAAGGAGATAAATCATAAAAGACTAGTACCATGCACGGATGGTAATATAGAATGAGATATTGGGTGTCTTTCCCCAAATGAGAAAAAAATGAAATTATAAGAACTGGAAATCTTGATTCTTGAATAATTATTGAATGTTCTGCAAATATTGAAAGAAAAATTCCCCACCTACGAACATCAAATGGGTCCTCGTAAAAAGACACGCCAAAACGACAATAGTCAACCCACAAACCAACAGAGAAAGTTGCAGAACCAACTGCACATTCAAATACTTTAACAGCCGCGTGAGCATCTGAGAGTCGTACAGCATGATCGGCATATTTTCTCCAATACCAATGGCACAATGGAAACCTTGACAAAAGGGAATCATATATTATTGATATGATATCCAAGTTATCCTGCAATTTCAATAACAGGTTTTACTGGAATTAGCAGATTTAGCAGAATGAGCAAAAGTCATAGCATACCCATATCTTTGCTACATTGTCCTCTTAAGAAGACAAAATTGAGCAATCACCAACTCACTGAACATTTTCTCAAGGGTCAATATCCTACTCACTGTATAATCCTCCCACTAACGGTATAGAAACAGAAACTTTATAACTTGTTATTGGAAACATAACAACTCTAGTCTGAAAATTCATCACGGAAAATGCCAAAGAGCAAAAGACAGATGAGTAACTTACAATGCATTTTCTTTCAACCTCTTCGATTAAAACGCTCCAAGCATCGAGGTCGTAGGGATCTCCAGCAACGATTTCATCCAGTCTTGTATGGAAATATGCCCCTAGAAAGACCCAAAACTTTTCTCATTTGAGGAACATAGCAAGCTTGAATGTCAAGAAAATGAAGAATAGGTTGCACTAGAATATATTGGAACTCAAGCGCTTCAATGTAGCCTAAATTGCCTCAGTATGTGATCAAAAAATCAATGGCCTATATAGGGATGCAATCAAAAAGAGAGCTTTCTGGAGAAAGACCCAGTTGTACCAAAAATGAGGCACACTATTTTGTAGCGTCAAAAAGTACACTTACCCTGACCCTGAAGAAGGCAAAGTCCAGAAAACGAACCACACGAATCTGAACTAAGAATGAGTAAAACATTCCAAATTCTCCAGTCAAATTTAGTACATGCATGCACTTGAATTTCACAAACTAACAGTAACTTCTTCATTAAATTTGATTGCACCCCAATTCATATATCACCCAAAAGGGATCAGGTATAATCACCTTCAGAATCTCGTTCATTGTCTGATCGAGGTTCAATGTCTTTAACAAGGAGGGTAGAAGGAGAATCTTCCAAACCCTCCATGGCCGCAAAAACCCAGTTCTTCCTTTCTTTAAGCTTGGCAATCAAAGATGGGATAGTTTTTTAATTGAAGTCTGTATCTTCTTACCTTTTTTGAATCGCCCAACTTCATATATGTTTGTGTTTGATTGATATATATGAATATATTTTTTCCCCAGAGTTTTGAATGCCTGTTTAAAACTTGTATACTAATTGGGGAAATTGAGGATGTTTGAGTAGATGAAACGCTGTCGTCTGCTGTTCATGGAAGGCAGTTATACCCTAGCGGTTCTTTTATGTGGAGAAACAGCTGACGTCGAAACAGTTCAATTTGTAGTTTCAAGCTAACCTTAACGAGTTTTTATGGATCTAATTCATTGAAATTTACACACACTAAAATGGAAGAATTATTAATTTCCAAAATAATAGTACTGTAAATAAAATTATTGGGAATGATTGACAAAAGATGTTTTATGACACTTTTACCTGAATATCACACAAAAGTGTCATATCAAGTAAACTGCTACCAAAATGCTGTAAATTTACATATACATTAGGCACTTAAGAGACACTTTATCACCAAATTTAACTCTCCTTTTTTGTGTGTTAAACTACATTTACTTTATATTTAATCGTAAAACTATGGAAAAATGAAAGAAATGATGGTGTGAAATTTAGGAACACCTTAAAATGACAAGAGTTTATATGATGTCTGCCTATGAGCAAACTAATACATGTTTGACATTTATATACGTTTTAAATTTAACTAAAAGTGTGTATTCTTTCAAATACTGAAAGAGTGATGATATCAGAGTGATTCGAGTTCGGAATCCAAAGATGGTAGTTTGGTTCAAGTATGAAAGGAAAGTGGTGAATCTTGTGACTTTTTTTTGTCAAATAGCTGCTTTATAGATGCAAAGTCCATTGTTGCCTGTTTAGGAGTACCCAGAAACAGTAAGATTTCGTTTCATTTTGTATGTTAAAATCCTGTTAGGTTGTTCAGGGCTCTTATGAGGGACTTGAATTTGGACTATTTCAATATTGTATAGCTATTTAATCCGCAAAAGTTGTTTGCCAGACCCCATAAAGAACCAAACACTTCCTTCATATGGCGGTGATTTCTATCAGATTTTAATGTGTTGATTACTTTAGTTTGGAGATTATTTTTTTCGGATTTTAACGTGTTGACTGCTTTTAGCTTGGGGATTTTATTTGATTGATTGTAAATGTTGTCTCTTTTCTTTGTCCAAACAATAATCATATCTATATCTATATAATATATTAATAGAAAACCAAAAGTGAGAAACTCTAAAGAGGTGCTTATTTTGAAGGTTTCATATCTTGGGTATGGGTTTCATAGGAGCTTTGGTTGCTTGGTTCACCCACTTGAAATGATGATGACCCACTAAATCCGGATTCACTCCAATTTATAGTGACTTTTTCCATACTCAACTAGTTGGGAGAGTTTGAGTTCCGGGAATTATAGAATTTAAGAAATTATCAAACCATGCATCTATCATATCTAAGTCATTGAACCAAACACTTTCTAAGTTATTCTTCTCATGCCAAATTTTATGTGGCAATTTCTTAATTTTTTGGATTTAAAAATCACAAAAATGAATTACTATCTACAATTATTATATTAATTGTAGTCATAATAAAGATTTCTTACATCTACAATATATTGGAAATCAATATTTCTTACATCTATATTAATTGGATTTACAATATTTTTGATATTTCAGGTTTACGTACATAATTGTTCTGATTTTCAACTTTTCATAACAAATTAAATCACTATATTTAGGAATTTTAAAATGGTTTAAAACTTGATCAAGATACGACATCGTCACTTTACACTCATCCTGGTTATCTATCGACTAATTATATCTCCTTCTCTCGCTGCTCTTTGTTGTAAGATCCCTCATATTTTCTCCCAAATCCAATCTCTCAAATCAATCTTAGAGTTATGTAAAAAGAAATTATTGAAATAGACTTTCGTTTTGTAAAATGATACGCTTTTGTTATAAATTTATTAAAATATTATTATTTATCCCGCACATCGTCCGGGTAACAGCTGGTGATATGCGGATAACAGTAGTACCTTAAATCACAGTACAGTATACTTTAGATTATAGTATCTACAGTGTTTTACAGTAGGTTTCCTTCAATCCAAAAATCCTATATTCTATCCAAAGAGAAATATTCTCTTTATATTCTTCTTTACCTTTTATTATTTTAATATAATTTATTAATTTTCTTAAGCATTTCAAAATAATAAACATTAAAACAATAATAAAAGTGTAAATCATGTATATTTAATTTTTTTAATAAAAATAATGAACTTGGGCTTCATTGCAATAATTTTATATAATTTAAATGTATCAAATGACATATGTAAACTATCAAGAGAGACCATCTTTATTGATCAAATAAAATTTCTATGGACCAAATCTAAATGTATCAAAGAAAATAAATAAATGCAAAAGGAAAGAAAATGCAAGGAAGAACAGACAAAGAAAAAAAAAGAAGGAAAAGCAAATAAAATGGGAGTATTAAACAATGACCGATGATTTTGTCACAATAATTTTTAGGGGTAATCTTTTCCTTATTTTCCCAAATTATCCTTATCAATGTCAAATTCCTCATCTTCCTCTCTCTTTCATCTCCGGCTCAATTTTTTCTCTCCCTCTTATTTGCATTCGAACTTCCCCGAACTCTCTCCAAAAATTATAAGGATCTTTGTTTTTCTAGGTTTAGGTTAGAGATATTTTTGGTCCCAACTCCTTGTTTTGAAGATTTGGGCCCCTATGAGAAGTCAATTGTTTGATCTTAATCCTTATGGATTGCAAATAAACTTGTTTATTCTCGCTTAGGCTTTCAAGTTCATCTCGATCTCAAGCTCTGCGGCTATCAAATGTGATAGAACTAACAAATACCAATTTCGTCCATCAATTGAGATATGACCAAATTTTTCCAAAAACTTACCACAAAATAAATGTAAACTGATATTTTTATTCTCCGAATTATAATCTTCAGGCAGGTTAGATATTTGGAAAGTATATTTTAGAGCATGCCATTCCAACAGCAAAAAAAGCAGTAAGCAAAAGAGATTGTTTTCTACTGGAATAAAAGAGCTGGGAGGCTACTAAACGCCCTAAAAATTTCCCTTGAGCACCCTAATGTAATACCAAAAGACTATTTTGTCCCTACATGATTTTATAAATTAGGAGTTTCAATTTCATTCTTTTAATTCCTAAATCAATCTTTCATTTTAAATTCTCTCAATCCAAACTCCCAAAAAACTTAGATTCAATGCCTGAACGAATGAAACGGCTACGTAAAGAGCTACGGAAACTGAAGGTACGTAAATTTAGATTGTTTTTTTGAATTAGAATTATGTAGGAGTATTTAAAAAAAAAAAAAAAAAAACCACCACAGCCCGGCCGGCGCTACTCCTTACAGAGCTGTATTGAATTAGATAATTTTATAATTAGGTATTTAAATAATATAAAACTGTATTAAACTAGTTAATCTAAGTTGCGTGTAAAATTTAAAACTTTTGTAGGATGGGATATCGTCTCTTGAGGGATCTGGACATCGGGCAGAAAAAGAAAAAAAGTTAAAGAAAGTGAAAAATGTACATCCTACGTTTGGCCCATTTGGTGAGTCAGCCAACGTAGACGATGATGATGATTTTGAGGGAGAGGAGTCAGCAGAGGATAGTTTTGAGAGTGGGGGAGACGATGTGGATGAGGAGGATGACACATCCGAGTATTCCTCACCTAAGAGGAGAGATATACATATTGGAGATAACTCAGTACTGAACCCCATTGGTCGTAATGATGACCAGACTCCAGTTCACCCTACCCGGGGGGGAAGACCCTTGTTGGATTATCGGCCCTGGATTCAGCTTACACTCCTGTGGTTCCAGTGTTCGTGTCGGCCCACAGAGTACTCTTTTTAGAGGTCCCAGTACTACTCTTCATCATGCCGGCCTGCAGAGTACTATTTTTAGAGGTCCCCCTCTGACTAGTCAGCCTCGTTCCCGTTTTGGTGGCGCATCCATTGGTGCCTCTATCCGTCCTGAGGCAGCCGCATCGTCATCAGGTACGTATTTGTAACAATTTGAGCATTCATTACTGCTTGGTCAATTTCTTAATTGCATTCGGTTAAGTATTTATAACACTATTCTTTATTCGGCTTTCAGGTACTAGCAGACGGTCTAAGGTTTCTACCGAAGAAACTGATTATTGGGTTGTGACGGACGACGTACCTGGTGGGCCATGTGATGGGTCAGTGATTCCTAGTTTTCTTGGCCACACTGCTTATCAGTTGTGGAATGGAGAACCAAGAGATTACCTGTCGATGAAGCCAGTGAAAAAGAGTTTGTCTAGATTGCATGGATGGTATGCGAGGTTGCCGGAGAACACACAGTTGCAGATTCAGAATACCGGTTTGTATCATCTGATTGATACCATGTATGATGACATTGACCTTACGTTTATTTCTGCATTCATAGAGAGGTGGCAGCCCGACACAAACTCTTTCCACTTGCCGTTTGGGGAGATGACCATTATGATGCATGATGTGGCACACATTTTGGCGATTCCACTTGATGGTTACTTGTTGACCCAACCTGCGGAAGCTAAAATTTTGAAGATGCAGGTCGTGGGATTGCTTGGGATGCCGGTGGTTGAGTTAAAGCGTGCATGGAGCCATGGAGGTGTGAGCGACATATTGATTAAGGAGTGTTGTCGCAGGGTCCTCCCCGCTGTTCAGGTGCAAGCTTGGGTGTGGATCTTGTTAGCCTCGACACTCTTCCTTGACAGGAGTGGGGCAGGATCAGTGCTTCGCTTATGAATGAGCTGCACGGAGGTATCGACAATATTGCAGAGTACTCTTGGGGATCCGGTACACTAGCATTCCTCTACTGTCAGCTTGGGATTGCTAGTCGAGCAGGGTGTACCACGATGGCTGGTTGTATGACCCTTCTCCAGGCATGGATGTATGACATGCTTCCA